TATTTTTAATCACTAAAATACAAGCCTCCACTATATGAACTCAGTATTCAATGCCCAAATCTATATTGAACAAATCGTTACCTTTTCATTGATGAAGTTATGTTTTTTTATTTTCTCTAAAGTTATTTTACTACAATATTGCTTTATGTTTTGGGATTAGCTGTATCGAAACACCCAAGATTGCATTCGCAGAAAATAGTAACAACCAGGCGACTGTTTCTTAACTACAGACAAGGAAAATGTACTGTTAAAACCTCTCTAACTCTAGGCGTTAACACTTTCGGAAAAATATCTACAAATATTGCCAGATTTCTGAAACTAGAAGTTTCAGCAACACATACCTGTCACTTGTCACTTATTTCGGAGATTAGCAGCTACTTTCTTAGCAAATCGTGGCGCAGACAGTCTTTGAAGCATTTTGGAGGTTGGAAAGCGAAAAGTAGCTGAAGAAAATATCCAATATTCTCTTCAACAGAAAATTGAACGGCAACAAAGCTGGCGCTGCCTCTACTACTGCTCTTTTTACGGTTACTGCTAACGTTACCTCTTCTACTGCTTGTTCTACAGTTACAGTAGCAATTATACAAATAGAACGACGGCTCAAAGCAAATGAGCCCCTCCGTGATTTCATTTTACTAGCGACTTCAAGAATTTTGTCACTACTGAATGAATCTTGAATTTAGTCACTAAAAACAATCTCTAAAGCACCTACAAAACTGCAACTGCCGGACAAAATAATTTTTGATACTCTCCGTCTTCGATAACGAAAACTGAGTTTTTCGAAACTTTAATTGTGAAATGTGTTGCAGTGATTATTGCAGTTATGAAGAATTATAAAGACACACAAAAAAGTGGTTTCTATATTTTGGAGGTTGGAAAAGCGACATAGTAGCTGAAGAAAATGTCAAAGATTCTCTTCCGCAGAAAATCAAAATTGAGAACAAAATTTCGAACGGCAGCAAAGCTGGCGCTGCCTCTACTACTGCTTGTTTCACGGTTAATGGTGACGCTACCTCTTCAACTGCTTGTACTACAGTTACAGTAGCAATTATACAAAGAGAATGACGGCTCAAAGCAAATGAGCGCCTCTGTGTCAGTTTTGGTAGCGGAATCCAGTTTCACAATGCAACTTTCCATTTTAATATAAATACTAATAAAACAGTTAATTGTTTAATGTTGTTTTCTTTATTTAAATTATTTCATTCTACTAGCGACTTCAAAAATATTGTCACTAGTGAATGAAATTTGAATTTAGTCACTAAAAACCAATCTCTAAAGCACCTACAAAACTGTAACTGCCGAACAAAATAAGTTTTAATATTCTCTGCCTTCGATAACGAAAACATAGTTTTCGAAACGTGTAATGTGTGACGGTGATTATTGTAGTTATTAAGAATTATAAAGGCACACAAAAGAGTGGTATGTTCTGATCAGGCCCTTCATTATTATGTTTTTGTACCTGCTGAACACGAATCTAAATTAAATTAATTAACCTAAATAACTTTATTACTAAGACAAATTCGACCTAACTGTCTTTGTTTTGAAGATCAACGAAAAACTGATCTGATTTTTGTTTGTTTTTGTGGTTTTAATCGAACACAGACTTTTAAACTCACAATCAGTCATTGCTAGAACACTTTTTTGTAGGGAATTCAAATATGTAGTAAGATTAGCCGTGACTAGGATGGACATGCAACTTTTGCTTTTTTTATTTTTTTTTGTGCATATTTATTTTCCTCAAAATACGAATTTTACAAAGTGTGCTTTGACGACAACAATGAAATTTTGACAGTTTTGTTTAAGTTTTCATTGACAATGTCAAAATTTAAATAACTAAAAGTGAAATGTTCACATAAGGCAGACCAAGATAAGTCTCAAATTTATTGATCAATTAAATTAAAGTATATCCTGCTTTGTTTTATGTTAAAATTTAATTATCCAAACACTGACATTGCTAATAGAAATTTAAGAGAACTGTCAAAATTTCATTGCAGTGGCAGTAGCGGATGTTTTGTTTTCAGAGCACTCTAGATCATTTGAAAATTTTACGAAAACAAAGTAAACCATATCGTATGACACCAAACTAGAACTACTTAATGATTAATTTATCAATAAACAAAAATCACCAAAACTGGCCAATAAATTAGAACTAGTTCTATTCCTCCAATACCTTGGCTAATTTCTTGCGCCAGGAATCGTTAAATATTCCGATCCTGTATCTGGAGACGCGACGAATTCTAATTATAATTATCATACAGATAACCCCAACACCTCTTGAGAGAATGTCTAAATTTTTTATCGGTGTTTGTAAAAAGAAACACATCGTAACATGTGAAACTGTGTAACCATGAACATAATTAATACATTTAATGGGTGTTATCTGACAACAGACCCTGAGTAAGTTCCATTACGAATGTCCACAGCAAGTGATGTAATGCAGCGAAGTCATTTCTATTTTAGCTGTTATTGTAAATGTTAAAAATTAGCATACACAAATAGGTGGACCCAACAACTGTATAATGATTTACTGGCGTAGGAAATGGCGAGTTATACGCTGGGGTATCGAAAATGAGAGGAAAAAGACCGAAAATATTTCGATCGACGCTGTTTATGCAGGGGGCGTCAATGTTTATTCGTCAATTGGCAGAATAAATAGAACAAAGACCTCTCTGCTCTAATTTTTTAATCTTCCGAAGTCAAACAATGTTCTTCGATACCAGAAATCTAATCTATCTAAAACTGTTTTTCAAAATTTTCATTTTAAAAACAATTTTTTTTGCAATAAACTTTTTCGAGACTTTAAATTAAAAAATTAATTGTGTAAAAACCATTAAAGATTTCTAAATTTCAGGACTTACTGTGTAGTAATTATATTTTAATAAAAAATTTAAAAAAATAAGACCTTATTTATTATCATATTTTTAATTAGGTACTAATAAATAGTTAATTGGTTAATACTTTCTTTATATAAATTATACTTAATTACCTATTTTATTTCACTAGTGACAAAAAAATTTATTCAGTATCGATTGAAATTTCAATTTAGTCGCAAAAAAAACAACCTATGAAACATTTACAAAACTTTTTTTTCATTTTTCAATTCAATACAGAACGATACAAAAAATACCTAGATATTAAAATACATTCCGTTGCATTATCTTAAATTATGACAATACAATGGTCAATGGTCAATGGTAATACCACAAACTTTGTTATCCGATATGTGGGCGTAAATAAAATGACCAACATTGTAAATGCAATTCAGAAGTACCTCCGTAGGTGTCTCTCATTTATAAATAAAAAAAATCATTTGATGTAAGAAAAATACAATCTATTTATTTTTTCCTTTTATTAAAATATATTAGCATTTCAAGCGCAACCAAGGTTTAATATTCAAAATGTATAATGTACAAATGCATTATAGGAAATACAAACCCCCCTTTATACCTATTCATTTTTGTCAGATAAGCGAAATTTATAAGGTACTGTAGACACCTATACATTATGCAGTATTACTAGAAAACAATTAAAATTTTAATTATTTTACTTACTCCCTGCACCTATGTATGTCAAGGTTGGGGTATTTACTTCTACCAACGTTTAAATTATAATAAAATCTCTGGGAAAAGTCAGATTGTCAGGTACTTAAGTAATAAAGGTTATTGATAAAATATATTCCAAACAAAAACAAAAAACCGACCCTTGACACAAATATAAATAATGTACCTATTATAGCAGAAATAAATAATAAATAATAGTACTACAATTATTCAAAGTTTTTAGTAATAGTTAGTTACCAGAAAAAGCTCTATAATTCTTAATTTATTTTGGAACGCCTAGACATGTACGGCTAAAATCAATGACCAAATCGTAAAAGAAAATGTCAAACGCAAAGGAGAATTCAATGAAACACTAGTTGTCCGCGGTTATTTCCACTGTAATTCCATTGAACATGCTAATTTAAGGTCTAATAACTATAACTATTAGTAAATGCGTTCAAGGTAAGTGTAATTTGAATGCAAATAAAATGTTTATCCGACTAATGGAAACCGGCAAAAAACTTACCCATTGTCACTGAAAAGGGTGGTTTTTATCACACAAATTTAGTCAACGTCACTTTAAAACACAATCACTGCATACTATACGTAATAATTTTTACAAAAATATATGGTTTATTACACACAAATTATAAAAAATTGACAGGAGACGTCAACCAAAATGGGCGAGCCCAGATTGAATGACTACTGATGTTACCACGACGCATTTGTGGCAGCACTGTTCAAATAAAACTAAATCAGTGGCGGCACAACAAGGACTCATTAATGAAAAAGATGAGATCTTCATATAAGATTACTACCTTCGTGATTATTAGTGATTAGTTAGTTGATATGTAGTTCTAGATACATTTATAATTATTTAAGCTTTATAACGCATTACTAATTTTCAATTATTAAATACAAATAAAATTTAAGATTTAAAAGATTAGATTTCAATCACACTCGAATGATTTTAATTCTTTAAATAATAAATTGCAAATAAATGTACCTATTAGAAAACGTAATTGCTAAAAATAAAGTTTATAAAGTGTCATAAACTTAAGAAGAAAATAATAATATACTAACAACAATTTTCCACTTATACCAAGGCCCACTATACTATTTTGTTGTTGAACAGCTCAGTTTTAGGTAATATGCTACAAGTTTAAGATATTATTGTGTAATTGTGCTATTTATCTGCAAAAAGGCTACCGTTTTCCGCGGCTGTCTGACACAGGCAGATTTATTACTGTTGCATATTCTTGAGTTTATCTTATAACTAATACATTATGTCTTCTATGGTTTAAAATACATGTACATATATTTAATTACATTGAAATTTTTTAATTTCGCTGCAATATGCAACTGAATAAAATAAAAGGTACTGACCTAGTGCATAATAGTATGCTACTGATGGTAGCAGTGTTACCGGTGAAAAGTCAAGGACATAATTGTCAGCGAGTGATGTCAAAAGTTCTATTTTCAAAATATTATCAATCGAAAAATCTGTAAAAAAACTTTTTTTTATTTAAAACAACTATTGTGTATAGACATAGCGATAACAAAAATTATTTATTGCTGTTTTATAACTCAGTAAATGCAATAAAATTCCATGTACGTTAAGCAAATGCGTCTTGTATTCACGTGAGTAGTTTTCTGCGTGCCCATAATAATAATGATACAATTTTTATTAGTCATTGCCACTTAATAAATTCAATTAAGACGTATTTATCAATTGTAGATTATAGTTTTGTTATGTGTAACTTCCATCAAAGTCTGATTCTCTATCAAAATGTTAGAAGGATTGGTTGCCTGGGTCCTAAATAACTATTTAGGAAAGTACGTGCAATTAAATACAGAGCAGTTGAGCATTGCCCTTTTGTCAGGTAATTTTAATAAAGAAATGTTGAAGTCAATATTTAATGTAACATGTTAGGACACGATGTTATTTTTTATTTTAGGGAAAGTAGAATTAGAAAATTTGCCTTTAAGGAAGGATGCACTTCGTCACTTAGGTTTACCTGTAGTGATAAAAGCTGGTTTTGTCGGCAAAGTTCAACTACAAATACCAGTACGGCAGATTAGGTCAGCGCCATGGGTTATAGCTATAGAGCAGCTTTACTTAGTGGCCAGCCCATTGCCTATTAACGAGGTAAGCAAAATTTAAAAAAATGAGGCGAATATTAATGTACATTTTATTTAAAAAAAAAATGTTAATTAGTGGGATCATGAAGCCGAAGAACTAGCGAGGCATGAATTAAAATTGAGTGCACTAGACACATTAGAAGCAAAATGGCGTTTAGCAAGAGATGTTCAGGACTCAAATTCAACATATTATGCATCAAGTTACTCTTCCTGGTATAGTTATGGTACTGGGCTTGTTTCAGAAATTATAGAAAATTTACAGGTAGGTTGTCACTGTGCACAACATCGCTCGGAAAATTACATTATTAATAACGGCAATTTCAGCTTAAAATTCAAGACGTGCATATCCGCTATGAAGATACTATCAGTATACCTAACCAATCCATTGCTTTCGGTGTTACAATTGAGTCTCTTATAGCCCAAAGTTGCGATTCCAATTGGCTACCGGGTTTCGTTCATACTGGAAAGAGTGAAGAGTCGTTTAAGTTACTTGAACTGCAAAATTTTGGGTTGTATTGGATAACGTTGAAGGAAGATGAACTGTTATCTAACCTAAGCGTTGCAAAATTGGCTGTAAGTATTCCCTAATTCTAAAATTTCTGCATTATTTACAACTTGACTTTAGGAAGCGATGTGTCCAAGTAGGACGAAACGAGACACGAAGAATTACATTGTTCCGTCTGTAAGCGCCCAAGCTCACCTCAAAAGAAACCGAAGTACGCAGCCCCTGAGATCGTCCGATCCAAGAATTGTCTGTGATTTAATCTTAGAAGAAGTTCCATTATCGTTAATCGATGCAAGTATTATATAAATATCTTAAGTAGAGTAATACTGAGTATTATTTTAGTGGCAATACAACCAAATAGTAACTTGTTTCCACGGACTAGACGACATAGCAAGGCTGAGAAGTTACCGGCAGTATAAACCGTCACGATCCGTAAGGGAGGATCCGAGAGCTTGGTGGCTGTATGCTATAAGTTGCTTTTATCCCGGCAGCCAACCGGCCATTTGTAGGCCTAGACCGACTTGGGAGTCGTGTCTTCAAAGGGCCAGAGAAAATGTAAAGTACGTTCAGATATGTATGAAGTTGTTGCTCACGCCGACCATAGCTTTGTCTGCCGAGGAGAAAAAGGCTAAGGAGGAGGTGGACTGGAGCAGAAACTATGAGGAATTGAAAGTTTTAAGGGAGGTAAGATGAAATCGTAATTTTAGGTACACAATAATAAGGCATTTTTTCAATTGAAATTTCTATCATCAATGCTTCATTATTAATTGTACTTATTTTTTTCTTTTTTTTTTTTCTTTCACCATTAATGGAATTGGATGCCTACCATACAGTGTGTTAGAAGTTTTATGCATATTACATGGGCGTTTTTAAAATGTATTCAGTATATTGAGTAATTTTGTCATAACTTGGCAACAGTGGAAGTCGAATCACTTGTCCTAATTCTAACAATAAGACAGTTTTGCCACAACTTGGCAACAGTGCGAATCGAATTAAAAAACAATAAGTTGTTACAAAGTTATGAGCCTTGCCGTAAAACCTTAAAAAAAAAATCCCCCTCCATGGTCGCATCGGGTTATCTGAAAAAAAAAAATCAAATTGCATTAGAATCTACAGGGTGTTCCTAAATAAGTGTCGCAACGGAAAACTGTAAATTCCTCTTGAAAAAAGAAACATTATTTTCCTCTTCCATTTTTCTCTCCGGGCTTTCGTTTTCGAGATACACGGTGTCAAAACTTTAATTTTTTTTTTTAGTTTTTCGCCAATATCTTAGGAATCGTTTGAACTACAGGACTGAGCTTATGTACACACTTTACCACTATTAATAGCTACTTTTGCGCACCCTTCTCGAATTCATTGGACGTGCCAGTGGTGGAGATTTTAAGGTATCGTAAGGGTTTTTTCCCCCCTAAATTTTACGCCACTGGAAAAATTGACTTTTGGCAGCAAATTCTAAAGCGCCAATGAATTTTACACAATAAGAGTTCTCTTGGTTCATTGCTCTAAAGTCAACCGTTTTCAAGAAAAATGACTATGAACAAACGCAAACATTTTACTAACGTTTCGAAAATCTTTTGTAATTCAAAAAATAGGTAGTAATAATTAACAATTTTAACGAAATTTAACAACAGATAGGATTTTAACTTTTTTTTATCAATTTGGCGAGTAAAATTTACAGAAACTGTTCAAAATTACGTCCGTGGCTTGAATGCACGCATTACATCTTCTAATCATGTTTCATTCTGCCGCTGCGGCTTCATCTCTATCGGTCAACTTTTTGATAGTATTGACATAGAACGTTAGCAAAATGTTTGCTTTTGTTCATAAAAAGTCATTTTTCTTGAAAACGGTTGACTTTAGAGCAATTAACCAAGAGAACTCTTATTGTGTAAAATTCATTGGCGCTTTAGAATTTGCTGTCAAAAGTAAATTTTTCCAGTGGCGTAAAATTTAGGGGGGGGGGGGGAAACCCTTACGATACCTTAAAATCTCCACCACTGGCACGTCCAAAGAATTGGAGAAGGTTGTGAAAAAGTAGCCTATTAATAGTGGTAATGTGTGTACAAAAGCTCAGTCCTGTAGTTCAAACGATTCCTAAGATATTGGCGAAAAACTAAAAAAAAATTAAAGTTTTGACACTGTGTATCTCGAAAACGAAAGCCCGGAGAGAAAAATGGAAGAGGAAAAAAATGTTGCTTTTTTCAAGAGGAATTTACAGTTTTCCGTTGCGACACTTATTTAGGAACACCCTGTATATGAATGTAGTTATCGTTGTACATATCTTTTTTTTTTATTTTTATTTTTTTACAGAATGGCGATTAATTGAAAATTTGTTTCACTTTTTTGCCCCTTTTTTGCATTTAAGCAGTCTTAAAAAATAGTAATAATCAAAATTTTCAAAATCGGCTACGCTTAACTTTAGCTATTACAAAGACGAATAAAACAAAAAAAAATTGAATATCGGTTAATAACACAGCCACACAAAAAAGAAAAGTTGTCTGTACTTTTCATGCGACGTATGTTATCTGTAGTATTTTTGCCTCGTGATCACAAATCCGGTGTCAGAATTGAGCTATCACATCACAGGAATTTTCTAACCTCAAAAAACAGGTAAAAAATGGCAAAAATTCATGAAAAAGTGCTAGGAAAAATACAAAAATTTTTTTTTTAATTATAATCAAATGTTCATTTATATAGTTAAGACCTCGCTCAACATGAATCCGCGGTCAGTTTTTTGAGGTTAGGAAATTCCTGTGATGTGATAGCTCAATTCTGACACTGGATTCGTCGTGATCAGGAGGCAAAAATACTACAGATAACATATGTCGCATGAAAAGTACAGACAACTTTTCTTTTTTTTGCGGGGCTGTGTAATTAATCGAGTTATCGAAGTTGAGTTTAAAAAAAGTTGTTTTGAGAAAAACGTGTTCGGACCATTTTTCTTACTACAAAATCATGTATCTACTAACATATTTATACTTACATCAAACTGGGCAATATGATGGTTCTTTCTCTAGATCTCCAGTAGTATTGCCCTTTTGCGCATGGTTCTTCATCTGTCTCTAGCGCACCGATGATTTATGGCGTCTATACCTGCCTCACTAAAATGACTGTAACTCAGTCAATTTTTGGAATTTTGACTTAAAATTTTATACACAGCATTTTATACACATATTTTGGAAGTTATAAACTTTAAATTGAAGCAAAACAAATTTTTTTGAACTATTGCAGTGACTATCTCCTTTAAAGACACCATTTCTAGTATTGACTGCCTCATCTGTAGCCAAAATTCTTATAATCAAATTGGGGTTGAGACTACTTGGTGAAATCCCATCTTCAAAATATTACCGAGGGGCGAAATCTACAACTGACAATTCTTGAATTTGCTGTAGATGATACGGATATACGAATTGGCTTTGAAATGTTCTGTAAACAGTCCACTTCTTGAATGATATTTCGAGTGCTTTTTTGTAGATTTGGGCAATGATTTTCAGGTCGAGGGATGACATTACCAGTATCAAGAAGATATTTTAACAAATGTTCTTCTTTTATTAGGCAGGGGATAAATACTTTGTGCTCTAGCAGAATTGCATAGAGGATAACCTGGAGAAAACTATTAAAATAGTGATAGTAAAACTATGTTACACAATGTCAAACACCAAGACCAAGTAATTGTTTTACTAGCAGCGTACTACTGTCATTCTATCGGGCCGTTGTCATATTGCATGATTGAATTGAATTTTACTGACTAACAAAACTAGTTAATTTATTAAAACTAAGCACAAACAAATTAAAAGAAGTGGTAAATATTGCATTTTTAGTGGTATTCTGTGCACAGAATTATGTCGAGTTTCCCTAATTAACCTAACTTTTATATATCAAGAGTTGTTAAACAAGAGCCACATCCTACAAGATTTTGTTTGTTTATTTTGATTAATATTGTTGCCTATGAAAATTATAGTAATTTAACTGCTAACACGCTGTATAATGAGGTTTTATATTATAGATATATGCAGTAATGGTTACAAGTAAGCATTTTCTCTAATTAATACTTTTCTGCAGCTCGCGATGAGTTCCGTCAAGTTGCCACAGGTAAGTTCGAATAATGGGAAATCGAAAGGTCGCAGCATGTTAGTATCTTGGTTTCCTACATGGATGGGATGGTATTCTTCCGGTGGGTCTGAGAGCACATCGTCTTCATCGCTTGAGACCACCCAACTGGAAGGAGAAATATTGCAGGTGTTGGCGGATTCCGCCGAAAATAACACTATTTTGAAGAGGGACGCTGTATTCGGTCATTTCAACTTTTGTCTCAAGAAAGGCACCTTAAATTTGTGTACTGTTGAGGACAAGGAGAGGTGAGTTCTGTAATCATAGAGGTTTTTTCTTATGTTGAACACCTAAATTTAAATTTTAAATCCCAAAATACATTCCATATTTTTTTTGGAACTAATTATGATTTTTTTTCATAAAGTGAATGTAGATAGGTTTAATGTCCTATAATGTAGTTTTTTTCTTTTCGTTTTGCAGCTCCGCAATGTTGGAATTGGAGTTTAAAAACTTGTCCCTTAATATCCTGAGCAAACCGCGCACAAGTTCGCACTTGGTGGAATTATCGTTGCATTCGTTATTCTTAAAAGATAAGATCACACCGAATACCATGTTTCCGATTCTGGTGGGACCCCCCGGCCAAGACCGGATCAGTGTGCCGAGGGGCAGGGGTCCCAGCCCGAGAGTCAGTCTCAGTACGAGTAAATTTGACGAAGGTGCAGAAAATTTGTTTTATTTAGCTTACGAAAAGAAACCGCCAAACTCAGGCTGTGATTATAGGTAAAATTTACGATCTAATATCCCACCGGGTTTTACAGTTGTTTGTTTTTAGACTGAGCGTTAAAACGAAATGTTTAGATGTAGTTTATCAACCGAACGCGGTGAAGTGGCTTACGGAATTTGTTTGCTTGCCTCACCAGCGCGATATTACACAGTATCAGATAGAGGCCATGAAGTCTAGGACAAAACGAGAACTGATGAAAAATTGGGAGCAAATACTGGAGGGCAGAGTGGTAAGGACATTAATTCTTTTATTAATGTTAATTATAACAAAGATTTTATACCTGTTTGTTGTAAAAGTACAACAAAAAGGAAATATTCCTTTGTGGAAGTCAGAAACTTGTAATTGCATATTTTTACTAAAATCATTAGAAATTATCATTTTGAGTAACACATTTAGCCAATTCATTCTCATTGTGCCAATAAATAGAGGTTTTGTTTGTGACAAAAATACTAGTAGTAAACGGACTGTGCCATCATATAAAAGTGTGATTCACAACTTATCAAAAAAAATTGGGAATAGATGCGGCATGAGAAATGGAGTCAAACATTTTTGTAAATTCCTTATAGTTTCCGAGAAAAAAATTATTGAAGTTACATACATAGCTGGACAACTATAGTCTCTAACGTCATTCGCAATACGTGTGGAGAGCCACGTGGCCTCAGCGATTGCGAATACTGAAATCTGATTTTACAATCATCGTTGCGATACTGTTTACAATAGTTTTTTAGTAATTAATGTCAAAAATGGCTTGCGTGTACAGCAAGACAACGTTTGTATTATGGTGAGGCACTTGTGTTATGGTGAAGGAAGATAACATTTGTGTTTACATGTCGGTGGGTAAAATTTTGAGCAGTTGTAAAAAAAACATCAAACCATCAAGGTTTTAGGTACCGAAAACTACGAAAATACTAACTTTTTTATATACAACTCCACATATAAATATTCTTATAACATTTACTTGCTTAGTCCTACATATAAAATTGCCTACTTTTATTTATAAGTACGTGAAAATAATTCTTAAAATGTGGGGTTAGGATAACAGCAAACGCATGTTTTACAAACGCTTTATTTAGTTATTATTTTATTTGAGTAAATTTAAATGGCAACAATGAATAATCAGAACATCAAGGATTTTATTTTTGTGCTTACTTTTGTTCTACACGTTTTACTTTTCAAGATTTCAGTACCTAAATATGCCAGAAATTTCACCATTTCTCGGCCAGGGATATGGCCATCTTAACCAACTCTGAATCATCCCGACTGCTTCATTGTCAACTATAAATTTCTATATTTGCAAATGTTCTTTGAAGGGTTCAAACAAATGACAGTCTGATGATTCTGTATGGTGGCTGCTGGCTAAAACACCTCCAAAAGTTAAAAGGGACGACGCTAACGTCAAAAGCGTACTTCAGTTGAGTGGAATACAGACAATTTTGTTCTAGAACAAAAATAGTTATTTTTGTATCTAGATCACAAAATGGTACTTTTGCATTCAAAAATATAAATAGAAAATTTGGAATTATTCAATTTTCGTGGCTGAAAACATACATAGGCATTGTCGAAACCAAGAGAGTTGCACGAACAAACTGTGGACAGGATATAGCTAATAGAATGCGAAACATCGCCTTAATGTTACAAATGCTGTCACCGCCGTTCTTGGTGGTGAAAATTCGAAATAATTGAAATTATTCAATTTTCGTGGCTGAAAACATACATAAGCATTGTCGAAACCAAGAGAGTTGCTTACATGTAGTGCAAAATAAATTAACAGTAACGGCAAAAGCAGTTGAATCTATGATATAAAATAGGTACTATAAAATTCCATTTATTTCTTTCCTTGCGAAAGTTTTTGTTGGTTTTTACCACACTTTGCCGCCATGCCAGTTGTTGCATTGTGTGAGAAATTTTTTTTTTTTGTATAAGTTCTGAATCACCCTGTATATGCTTATACAGGGTGTCTCATAATTGGGGTCCAATAATTTACCACTTGATTCTATTGCCAAAAATACAAATATTTTTTCATATTTGGTTGAGAAATGCCTACACCCCTCTAAATGGGGCCTCAAAAAAATTTTTTTTTTTTATATTTCTGAAATGGGTTGAAGGAAAATTATGAATTTTAACGCCATGAACGTTCATTAAAAGTCGAAATAGATCATAAAATTTGTCAAAAATTTTAGTCAGGGGTGTCTCAATTGGGGGGGGGGTCGTTTAAAGTTTTGCCTAATTTTTTTTGCTTGTCGAAATTTTCAAATTCAGATGCCAACATATGATAGACCCTCATTTCCGCTACAAAAAAGGTACTTTATTTCTTTCAATAAAATACAAAAAAAAAATTGTTGAATAGCTACATGTACCAATATGAATTTTGATATGTTTGGCAATTGCAATTGCCAAAACTAATGGCCTGACAGCGCATGCTTTGTTCACACTGTCTGTCTGTATGTCGGAGGGTGGTGGAATTGCTTTTCCACCGCGACACTTAGGCCTTATTAGGCCCCTTGTACACCCTTCTTCATTACTCGAGTACTTTCATCAAACCATCCTATCACCCATCCAAGTTCCAGCCTGCGTCCGGGATGCTTAACTCGGCAGATCGAAATCCACCGGCCAAGACACACCCAGCCAGGCGGTCCTCTTGTGCTCACTTAAAGTACATATAATTGACTACTTTTGTGCACAAGGTCAGCTCTACAACTTAAAAAATGGTGGAGTAATGAATTTATGCAAAATTTTCCTATTTTTCCAAATTTTCTTTGTTTCTAATTATCGACCTTTCATTTTATTCGTATTTCAATTCTCTACAAATTGTCTCTTTATATCAATTAAATCGCTTCGTTAGTTTAGGTTTTATAAGCAAGAAACTAAAAAAATGTGTTTTTTGCATATAAATGTTAATAAAAAATTAATGGAGTATTAATTGGAGTAGGAAACATATCAGCATATACATATCTACAGACTGTCTTTTATAAGATGACCCAGTCTGTTTGCTACTGGTATTTTTGTCAAAACCACTGATTTAATGCTCTATTGATTGGCCTACATATTTATTTTCACTGTTACCAATATTTTACTTCCGTCAGGTCACTAGAACGTCATGGGAACTAGAATTAGATATATCAGCACCGCAAATTATATTCGTAGAACAATTTACCGATCACAATTCTTCGATGGCTGTGATAGATTTCGGTAGGCTGCAACTAAGAAACAACATCGGAAAAGTAGACCCACCGGCTAAACCCGAATTCATAACCAAAGAAAGCGAGGAAGACGGTAAGCATAAATCATCGATTTGTTACGTCATTCTACTAAATCGTTTTGTAGAAATGTTTGTAACTCCGTGTTCGACGCCACCGGCGAGCGAGGCTAGCGACTCGGGCGAACAAACGCTGGAACTGGTGTCACAATTAGACGAGTATCCGGACCTGCCCCTGAACGAGTCCAACTTTCACCAGAAGCTCTATGACTGCTACTTTTTAGAGCTCACTGACATGCAGATATTGATAGGCAAAGCCAAAGACAATTGGAGGTACGCCCTGAATAAAGGCTCTTCGAACCTGCACGTCCTGGATAGGTTCAATATTTCCGTACAAATTGAAAGGCGAGTCCTACACACTTCCGATCCGCTTTATCCGAGTCTAACGATGAACGCCAACCTCCCTAGGCTCTCCGTACACCTAAACGAACAGAAAATAATTTCCGCTAGGAATTTAACACGGCTAATAATTTCCACCGGGTTGCCGTCACCGTTCAAAACAACTTCGAATGCCGAAGGCACTATCCCCGAAAGTACTCACGAGGAACAATCTGAATGTACCGAAACTAGCGTAGAATTATCCAGGCTGTTAATGGTGCAGTTCTCCATTGATCAGATGTCGCTGGAGGTCCAAAGCCGAGGACGATGCATAGCGGAACTACAAGTGTCCGGCGTGAAAGTGGCTTTCACCAGACGTGCAGTCGATCTCGGTATAACCCTAACGGTACACAGTTTACTACTCGTGGATGCTTTGCAAACGTTCGGTTCGGACTTTGAATTGCTAGTAGCCAGTCACAAGCACGTTGGCATGGATTCCATGTCCGGTAGTTTACGGGACAGCGAACCCACTTCTCCCACGTCTCCGGCTAGTCCGGATCCGAACATTTCGAGAGCTAGTGCCACTTCCCCGGTGGCTTTGACCCAGGCGCTCACTAATTTATCGACGTCTCCGCCGTTTAAATGGCCGGGAATAATACGGACCGGTCCACTTATGGACGCTGAAGCTCTGATTACCGTTGAAGTGGTATTGATTACTGGTCAAGAGCCCATGCAGATCGCCAATATACAGTTCAATAATTTAGACATAATCGGTGAGTTTATTACATTTCATTTTATCGTAGTTGCTAAATCTTTTGTTCCTTTGCTCCAGTACTAAAACAATACAGTTTAATAAATCAAACAGGTTTTACTACTGCATGAAAATTGTAATGTGCCATTTATTTTGCATAATGTTCCGATAATATATTCAGTGTACGCACTTGTGTTAGGTTTTAATTTCTTTCTTTACACACACAAAACAACGTTTTACTTTTTGGCTCGCTTTATTTCGCTCACACCCTTATAACATCATAAAACAACCTAACCTCATATTCTTCTTCTTCTTCCTGTATATATTTTTTTACCTAATATCTACAAACAAAATAAATAATTGCCTACACTCGGACAATCTACATTAATCTTGTTCCTACAAGATATTTTGCGTTTCTTCTTCGTCTTCTGTACTCTCTTCATCTTCTGGATTTCTCCAAATCTTCAATTGAGATACATGAGCTGTGGTACTGAACCGTTTACCTTCTATTAAATTTGCAATGACATATGTATCCGAGGGCAATACCCTTGTAATCACTAATGGACCTCGGTAACGTCTTTGCAGCTTCGTTGACTCACCGGTTACGTATGGATTTGCTTTCATATATACAATGTCACCAACATTGTATTTTAATCCTTCGTATCTATGTTTGTCATACCTATCTTTCATCTTCTTTTGTTCCACTTCTATTTGTGTACGTACTTCATTTCTTAATTCCTCGGGTAATTTATACGTCTCCATTTCATGTGTTAATAGCCCACTTTGTCCGTCTTCGAATCTCGGAGTGTAACCATACAATAACTCAAATGGGGTTTTATGGGTGGTTTTATTTAAACTAGTATTGATGTCTCTTTCTAATTTCTTTAAGATCTTATCCCAATCTCGTCCATCATAAGTTTCCACTGTTGATTGAATCATTGGTAAAAGCGTTCTATTCAGCCGTTCCACCATCCCATTGGCTTGCGAATGTCTGCTAGAGTTTAATACATGAATTATTCCATATTGGGTACAAAAGTCTTTAAATTTCTGAGAAGTATAACACGATCCGCGATCACTTATTATCTTTAGAGGTGCACCGAACCTGTTAATGAACATTTTCAGTTTATTTATAGCGGTTTCAGATTTAGTGTTCTTTACAGCATCCAACTGTATGAATTTGGTAAAATTGTCTATTACTAACAGTACATATTTATTCTTGAGTATAGATGTCACAAAAGGTCCCAAATGGTCTATACGTATTATTTCGAAGGGTCTCTTACCAGGAGGAATTGGATTCAAGAAACCAGGTTGTTTACCTGTACGATTCTTTGACATTATGCACTCAATGCAGTAACGAATATGTCTGTCCACATAGTTTCTCATATCAGGGAAATAATAGTATTTCTTGATTTTATCTATAAAACGTTCTACACCAAAATGCCCTGACAAATCATGATATTTTATGACTAACGATTTTCTCATGCGTTTTGGCACCACATATAAATGTTCTACTTTGTTATCCCGTTTCCCAAACTCACATTTTGATAACTTGATTGTTAGTTTGGCATCTCTTATTCTCATCAATACTTGTCTTAAACGTGACATTAATTCAGTCCAATTTCTAGCTGGTATAAGAATGTCATCGAGGAAAAATATAACCGTTTTACCCTGTAAGGGGCCTAACACTTGGTGTATCAGTTTAGAAAAGTAAAAAGGGGCATTCATAAGGCCAAACATGGCTCTGGTGAACTCTCCTGTCTCATCTGGAGTGGATAAATGCGGTCTTCTGTCGGCTACGTTCCTCCAAGGGCATCTGAAGATAACCGTGGGCCAAATCTAGTGTTATGAAGATACTACTTCCATATAATAATTCCATATATTTGTCAAGATTAGGTAAAGGAAAATTGATTCGCTCCGTTTGAGCATTTAGTCTGCGATAGTCCACGACTAGTCTAGCTTTACCAGTCTTTTTTGTAACTAACAAAACTGGACTTGCATAAGCCGATGTAGTTTCTTGTACCAACCCAGCACTCTTCATCTCGGTAACAATTTCTTTGATTTTGGTTCGGTCCTCTTGATTTGCACGATATGGTCTGCAATACACAGGTACACTTCCAGGTTTCTCTTGTATGTTCATTCCTATCACATCAGTCTTTCCCAATTCATATATATTTTTTGCGATACAATCACGAAATTCATTCAAAGTCTCCAGTAACTCTATCCTTTGCTCCTTGTTTACTTCTTTATCGAAACTTATTTCTTCTTCCATCACCATCTCCTTTTCTTTGCTTTCTATAACTGGTAATTCTTTCACGGAAAATATTTTCTCTGATAATTTATCTCCTATTTTTAAGATCTTGTCATCTTCTTCAAGATTCATAATTGGCAACATAAATCCTTTCTCATACATGTTAACGTCGATGAAGTTCATCCTTCTAGATGGCAGAGACTCATATTTACTGACTTCCGGTTTTTCATATCTCTTGTTTGTCATAAATAAGGGTAAGGTTTCATCACAATTTGCTTGAAAATGCAATTCGTCATTTAGTTTGTAATATACTACATGAGGCAATTCGGTATATGTTCTTCCGATAATAACATCTGTGGGTTGAACTTCGTCTGGCACAATTCTCAATGATACATTCTCTCCTTTTACACCATCAACACTAATTGTGGTTATTATTCTTCCATATGACTTTACAACATTTGTACCATCTCCAAACCCTTTTAGTTCACACATCTGTCTCTCTATTGGAAAATTCCCCATTATAACTGCTGTAGATTTGATTGTACAATCTGAACTGCCTGGATCAATCATAGCTGTGTAACTCTGATCATTTAGTAAGATATTCTTTATATATTTTGCAGAATTGTTTGGTTGTACATCAGTCTTTACTAATTTCACTTCTGCATTTTCCACTTTCATAGGTTTTTCACAATACTTAGAAGTATGTCCAACCTCTCCACATCTGTAACATTTTATTTCCTTCTTCGGTTGACTACAAAATTTTGCAATGTGTCCTAATGTCTCACAATTATAACATTTTGGTTGCGCTTGATCATTTTTTAATAAGGGTTTTCTCTCTTTATCGTCCCTTCTCTCTTGCTTTACTTTTTTGTCCTTTCCATCCATAATTCTTTCTCTTCTGGTATTGTCAATTCTTTCATACTTAACTATGTCTTGATAAAGTTCGTCCTCATCCATATGCGTTCTACTTATTATAAATGCACTTAACTCTTTGAACCATAACCCTATGGCTATTTGCTCTTTTATCTCAGAAAATTCCAATTCTAGTTCTTAGCAAAGGCTCAGCTTCTCATAAAAGTATAGACTAACACTTTCTCTTGGTTTCTGTATTCTGTGTTGCATACTGCTCCACAATTCCGTCTTATTCTTGGCAAATATAAATGTTTTCTTAAATGCGAACTTGAACGAGTCCCAGTCATTAACGTCTTTAGCATATAACCAGAATTTTGCAGCTCCCTTCAAACTATTTTTTGCTGTTTCAAATGCAAATGGTGCTGGCCAGGAATGTAGAACCGCTGCACTCTCTATCTGTTTCAACCACTTCTTTGCTGACACTGGACTGTCTTCACCATCAAATATGTCAATAGTTTTTGACAAATCTGGCATTATATTAAAATTTTTCGTGGTATTTTCTTCATCTGTGGCACTAGCTACAGGTTGTTGTTCAGGTACTATATTTCGTTGTTGACTCAATTGCAACATGTTTAACATGGCGGCATTTTGTTGCAACAATCACTGTACTGTAACCATTAATTGATCTATTTGTGTTTGACTTTTTACTTGCGAATCATTACTGCATTCTGCGGGATTATTTCGATTTGGTACATTGCCGGCATTTGACTGATGTCTCAGATTTTGTTGAAATTGTTCGAATTCGTCATGGTCATCCATCTTGTTTTTCTAATCACACTACTTCTACGCTTCAAAAGTACTTTCTTCTCTTCGTTCTTTCAGGCTTACCGACGTAATTTGCGTATTTTGAACTCCCATAAACCCCACACCTGACTTGTTAGGTTTTATTTTCTTTCTTTACACACACAAAACAACGTTTTACTTTTTGGCTCGCTTTATTTCGCTCACACCCTTATAACATCATAAAACAACCTAACCTCATATTCTTCTTCTTCTTCCTGTATATATTTTTTGACCTAATATATACAAACAAAATAAATAATTGCCTACACTTGTACAATATTTTATGATTATAAGTGCCTATTTCTATCTTACGATCTACAAAATGACAGGCAGACTGCATGGTTTGATTTCTTGAAATCCCTCCGTGTAGCAGTTTCCAGCTGATGTGTCAGTGCTTGTCATAAGCTTACAAGTGAGAAAGAGGTGTTGATATTTACACAAAAAAAATTAGATTAGTATTCTGGAGAATGCATACTACCCTTAGGGCCGGTACTTTCAGTCTAGATTAGATAAATATAAACCTCGGTTAAACTTTAACCCTTCGTTTCGGTTACTTTCAAACACTGTCAACCATTAACCAGGAGTTAAAGTGGGCGTGTCCGTAGTTAAATTTAATCGGAGCATCTATCCGCGATTACCGCCTGATTAACGTGGTTTTGATACTTTTGACATAACTGACGTTTTTAAAAATAATGGATTTGAATGAATTGGAGGAGCTATTCGATGATAACGATGAAGAAATGATAAACTACGTGAATAATTTGCGTACATATGAAGTAAAAACACGCATAAACCATTTTGAAAAGTGTACAGAAGAACAATTTTTTAATAGATTTCGGTTTATCAAAAACACTGTCAGGACAATCTTGCTTCCACTACCTTAAGTTATTTATATTTGCTATTTTTCTTGTTAATTAAACCATTAGATGTATAATAAATATGTGTTTCTGTTTTTGTTTTATAAGTATTACTTTGTGGTTATCCAATCACTGTTATACATTTATTGTCTATGAAATAAGACGTCAATTTGAAAAATTTATTTACCAAAAGTTAAATATGAATCTTATACCAGATTCGGTTTTAAAACGGCTAATAATAACATGATATAACCCTTAACATTACTATATTATAATTTACTTATCACAAAAGTAACACGTGATTTGTGTATAATTTATTATTAATGAGAATTAAGATAGCCCCAAACTTTGTTTAAGTTTCATATTCAGTTCGGATTTCAATATTTCTATTTTTATTTTTTGTTCTTCTTGCAATCTGAATAGGGTCCTTAAGTAAAGTTTGTTCTCCTTTTTTTCTTGTTATCCATTTTATAGCTCAACACACACCGCAAAAGTAATTAAAAAATCGTAGATTTGACAAGGAATGTATGACATATGACATGCATCATAACATAAAATTTAAAATTTGTGTACGACGTACGTCTTTCCTACTATCCTAATTCAAACCCAGTTTACCTAACCTAGTGTTTGAAAAAACCGTAAAGTACCCAATATCCTTTAAACTTCAGTTAGTTTACTAGGATTAATTTATAGATCGATTAGTTAACGGTGTATTTAATCTAGACTGAAAGTACCGGCCCTTAAAGTTGAACACTGTATATTCAACAATTTTTGGAACTATAATTTTTAAAACTCTCTAAAATGATACATTTCTCTCATTTCGAGAAAAAGACACTGTACTATTTTGGTACTGGAATGAATATAAGCTGATAAATTACCACTTTTCTTTATAAGAAATTAACAAAATCAATTATTCATAACCCTAATTTTTTTATAGCAAACCAAGAAACTCTAGTGGAACTAATGGGTTTCATAAAACGGGTATTTCCAAAGACTCAAAAACCTCTAGCGCCTAGCATACCCCGTATCCCTTCTAGCATTAACCAGTCTACCGAATCGCTCCTAGACGACTTGACGAATTCGAACATCGGCACGACTCAGCTCACTTTCGATTTCCATCGCTTAAACGTCCTCTTACTCAGAGGTGTAATAAAGGACGGTACTTTGTACGGGAAGAAAATCTGCACCGCCACCATGAGCGAGGCTAAAATTCAAGCAAACGTCAGTAGTAAGCTGGAAGTTGAAGGGTCTCTAGGAGGTTTACAAGTGTTAGATTTAACACCAGAAGGTCACATGCACCAGCGTATAATCAGCGTAGGCAGAGATCCCCTCTTGGAAGCTCCGCACCCTTTATACGTCATGTCTGGGGCACAAGAAGACAGCAGAACTGCCTTTAACTTCAAAATTGTAAGGAATTTGGAGAAGACGAGTGAGAAGGACACAGCTAACGTCACAATTCGAATGGCCTCTTTGTGGTACACGCACTCGCCCTTGTTTGTTGTGGAACTTCAGTCGTGCGCCACAGAATTCAAGCAGTATCTGTCAAATTTGGCAAAGTCAATAAAAATGGCGGCCACAGATATGGCCTTGGGTCTCGTACATGCGAGAGCCGAGGCGTTAGCTCAGTCTCTAAATATGAACAAAAGGTTGCCGGGTTCGATTTACAGCAGTGCGTTGTCGTTCTCGGAAAGCGCTTCTCCCAGCAGAAGAAGAAGGCGATCTAGTTCTACCGAGCCGTCGGGTTATGCCTCTGCCAGGGATACCGTTCCTCAAACTCCCTACAGCCCCGCCGACGATGAAGAATTTATTATAGACTTGAATCTCGATATCGAACTGGATAGTCCTGTCGTTGTTTTACCGAGAGCGAACAACAGTCCCCAAGTTTTTGTCGCTCATTTAGGGAAGATAAACATAACTAATAACTACATAGACGAAACAAATACAAATGGTTTTCATTATGAGTACCTGGAGAGCAAAGCCGAACATTACGACATTGAAATCAGAAACATGAATATTTATTCGTTAGACACGAGTTCTCGAAGGGTGCCAAGTCCGATGATCAGCAGACCCGAAGTGATGTATAGTTGCAAGACGTTAGCAAAGCCCATTTTGCACGACACCATGCTCCAGCTCAACATCGACAGAGAAATTAACAAATCCATGAGCGCCAGCCAAGGCAGCGACTCTAACTTATTACTACACAATGAGGAAGACAGTACGAGTGGCAACTATCACATTAACAGTGGATTGATTGAAATCGACGGCAGCGTAGTAACGGCTCTAAAAGTATCGCTAACTCGAGCGCAGTACGAACAAGTATTAGATACTTTGCAGTGGTTAACTTCCTCTCCGACCTTAAACGAAGCCCAAGGAATCTCTCGTTTAAACACCAGGCCGCAGACCGTTCTATCGGACATAAGCGAAGAAGACACAGGTGTGACTACCTTAAACATGGACCCCCACGTACGAGCCAAGTTATTTCCAACGGTCGGCGCTGCACCGAAAAGCAAACCCTCATCCCAATCTATGGTGGCACTAAAAATAAGCTTTGAACTACCGGTGTTCACTGTGGAACTACGGGGCGATACGCCTACTGGGGAACAGGGACTGGTTGATTTGTCTTTTAGAGATTTCACGTTCATTTACGAGAAATGCCACAAGTACGAGACGAACATACAGGTCTCTTTGAGGTCTATATTCATGGAAGACCTGCTTCAGCCTGAAGGATGCAAGCACCGAACTATGGTGATCTCGTCTTCTGGAAGCGAGGCACCTCCAAATGCAACATGCGTTTCGAGATCTTGCCCCGATATAACGTACCATCCTCGAATGAACAGCCCATCACGAGGGTCGTTGCCTGACCATTTAGAGACCGCGAAAGTTTTTGGAATGGGAAATATGAACAACTCGGTTTATAATGACGCAAACGCGAACGGGGAAGCTTGTCCTTCCACCCCTCCTCCCAGTCCTCACAGAAACAAAAGCAAGCCTAAGAACTTGGTAATCGTTAGCACGCTGTTAGTTGACACGTCAACTCCGAATTTCCAAGAGACCTACGGTGGTTTGCAACGTTCTACTTCTGTGGACTTCAATTGTTTAGACTTGGTGATAAGTCCCAAGTCTTGGGTGGTCGTGATTGATTTCTTCAGCGCTTCTTCTTCGGAACCCAACTATTCTTCTGCTGCTACGGATACAGATACTGTAGATTCCGCAAATCCGGTGCCCTTAGAGGGCAGAGCTATGACGAATATCACAGTGCGGTCTTTAACGGTGGTTCTCGTGAAACCGGATCGTGATATCGCCAAGGCGAATATCTCGAATGTCGAAGTTGTGGTTAAAACGACGGGCTTGCTTAAGGAAGTCGAGGGAAAACTGGGAACAATGTCGCTTCAAGATTTAACCCTTCACGGACAGTTATACAGAGAAAGGTTTATAACTTCGCCCGAACAGGCGTTACAATTTAAATACGTCAGGTAAGCGTTCGGTTACTTTTTTAGGTTATTGTTGATTTTTTATTTTCGTTTAGGCATCCTCCCGATCTAGAGAAAAATTACGACGCTCAGTTAACCTTAGATATGGTCTCGGTTATGTACGTGCATACTAAGAGATTTATAGCGGAGATCATGGCGTTTTACAATACGTTTACAGAGAGGCAACAGGCGGTTATGAAGGGAATTCAGGCAGCTACCAGTGGTCAATTGGTGAGTTGTTAGAAGTTCACTTTCCGTCGAAATTAATGTACCACTAAAAACGAAATTCAATTTCTAAATTGATTCTCTCGTGGCTAATCTGGACCTGGTAAGCTTTTTTTAATGATGGTCCAGGCGGTATCTGTTTTAAAAAGGGTTGCTTTAACGACTTCCAAATAACATCAGAAATGAAAATTTTTCTATGCAAATAAAAAAAACCCTGGCTTAATTGTTATTGCAAAAAGTATAAAAAAATAGCAAAAAAATTATTTTTTTTCTGGATTTCTCGTCGACAACTTAGCAACTATTCGTTTTAGATAAAAATGGATTGCAATTCGAAAAAATAATTATTGTTGTTGCAAAAATCGGAAAAATCATTTAAAAATTTGCAAAAAATGCTAGTTTATTTGTCAATTTTTTGCAGACACTTGAATAATACCTAGGATCTTCATACTTTTCCCAATTAAACTTTTTAGTGTATAAAATCATCACACCAAATTTCATCCAATTCGGTTCGATAGTTTTTACATAATAATTGTTTAATTTTTTTTTTTAATTAAAAAATTTTCAAAATCAAATTTGTAAAAATCCTGCACTCTGTAGAGGAACCAGACTGCCTGAAAACTAAAGGCAAACCCGTCCTGTTGATAATCCAATAGTACGCCGATATTGTAATATGAAAACACCAAACAAATGATAAATAATTCACAATTTCAGATAAACTTACTTTGAACTTAGCTCCTTTATTAACGGAAATATCCGCGAACAAATACAATTTCCGCTGACGTCTGTCTTCGAGCTTAATACGGCCACTAAAATCGGTGTTACAACCGCTGGGTATAACTATAGCGTTGCAGGTTTGGAAGTTGTCGATTTTAATCTCTAGCTCTATGACTTTTTCAGGATCAATCTAAAACATAACCGTTGACGAAAAGTCCCACACTGGGCGCCGAACCGGTTTGGCGCCCAACGTGGGACTTAGAAACTTACGCTAGTCACAGATGCTTGTGCGCCAGCTTTAACGTGTCCATTTTCCCCAGCGAGGTTATAAACTATATCTATCGGAAGAAGGTTCTCCAATTTAACGGTAGGCCATAAATAAATTCTATGAGCTGGCTGGTCGTATCTCGTACTCGATCCTATTAACAAATTCTCTCTAATGATTTCGGCACAGAACCTAAAAGGAAAACGTTACGTTACAAACACTAAACGTGATTTTAAACAAAGAAAAGGCACTACGAAGCATAATACTCGACAGACCTGTAATTATATCCCTTGTGAGTGTGGCACGTGGCCAATTCAAACACTTTGTCGACATAATTGGGCATTTCGGACCAGTTCAATGTTGGCATGCAGAAAGTATACTGATGGGGCGACTATTCGTTTTAGACAAAAATGGAAAAGGAAAAAAATTTTGTAATTAAATTTTGAACAAGATAGTTAGTTGCAATTCGAAAAAATAATTAATGTTGCAAAAATCGGAAAAAATTAAAAAATTGCAAAAATGCTAGTTTATTTGTCAATTTTTTTCAGACACTTGAATAATACCTAGGATCTTCATACTTTTCCCAATTAAACTTCTTAGTGTATAAAATCATCACACCAAATTTCATCCAATTCGGTTCGATAGTTTTTACATAATAATTGTTTAATTTTTTTTTAATTAAAAAATTTTCAAAATCTTTCTAAAAATCTGAAGCCTTTGAATATTTGAAAATTTCACTACAAAAAGAAGAGCTCCCAAGCTTTAAAATGCTTTTTGAAAAATTTAAATCGGAAGATTAGGTAAGCCGTGGTGATTGTAAACATTTTCGCAATTTTCATGCTTATAAACAATTGCAATAATTTAATGTTTTTTTCAAATTTTTCTTTTATATTAAAATATGGTTTGAAAATACTCAGAAAGACGAGTATTTAAAAAAAAAAACCTGATGATCTGCCCATTATTTTCAGTAAAAGCCCGTTAAAGTTAACCCTTGTTTACAGCAAAACTATAAGAGTATAAGGGCTGTTTTTTGAACTAATAGGTTTGTCATTCCGAGTACTTCCCAGATATAAGTTTTTAAAATTTGAAATCACGGGCGTCCCATTTAAAATATCATTCAAAAATATTCAAAAGCGCGTGAAATCAATGAAATATCAGTGGTGGGGGAGCAAACACACAGCTACTCCGATCTGAATTCTCGAGTTCAAAATTGCGACGCTTGGAAAAATTTCACTTATCTCAGCTTCTAATGGACCAATGTCGATGATTTTTTTTTAAATCGATGTCTCGCAACAACAAAAATTATTGCAATTGTTTTTAAGCATGAAAAATGCGAAAATGTTTAAACAATCACCACGGCTCACCCGATTAAAATTTTTCAAAAAGCATTTTAAAGCACGAGAGCTCTTCTTTTTGTGGTGAAATTTTCAAGTATTCAAAGGCTTTGGATTTTTACAAATTTGATTTTGCAAATTTTTTAATTAAAAAAAAAATTAAACAATTATGTAAAAACTATCGAACCGAATTGGATGAAATTTGGTGTGATGATTTTATACACTAAAAAGTTTAATTGGGAAAAGTATGAAGATCCTAGGTATTATTCAAGTGTCTGCAAAAAATTGACAAATAAACTAGCATTTTTTGCAAATTTTTAAATGATTTTTCCGATTTTTGCAACAACAATAATTATTTTTTCGAATTGCAATCCATTTTTATCTAAAACGAATAGTTGCTAAGTTGTCGACGAGAAATCCAAGAAAAAAAAAGAATTTTTTTACTATTTTTTTATACTTTTTTGCAGTAACAATTAAGCCAACGTTTTTTTTTATTTGTATAGAAAAATTATCTTTTCTGATGTTATTTAGAAGCCGTTAAAACAAAAATCTCCGATTGTATGCGTTTTACCCAACCCGAAACAGATACCGCCTGGATTATTATAGGTAATGGTAGAGATAACGACATGAATCAAAAAACAAATTCTTCAAAATAGCTGGGACGGCAGTTTGATTCAAGTATGCATTTGTTATTGTAGCCATCACATCCCACTGGGTGCTTCAAATTTCAGAGAAGAAAATTCATCCTCCCGTACACCTTGAATATACTGAGAACTGTTTCAACAAAAATTGCTATTTCAGCATCATAACTGAGGAAAAAACATTAATTATGAAAATCGAACAAGATCTTCATGAGAAAATCAACTTTACAATTGAGACCAATTTTTAGTGGCACTTTAATTTTGACGAAAAGTGTACTTTAAAAAATGTAATAAACTTATGTTATTCTAGGCAAAACGCGTGCCATCACGTTTATCGCTGATATTCAAGGTTGGCTCGCCTATTATGCTGCTCCCCGTCAGTTCAAAGTCGTCAGACTTACTTATCGTCGATCTCGGGCAGTTATATGTAACGAACTTATTCAAATTTTCCGGGGAAGACGGGACGATAAGCGTAGTCTCCGACGAAAATAACAAGAGATGTTTACTTGACGTTATGACTATTGAACTCGAAAATATCGACTTATGCACTGGCTTAATAGAAACCGAATTGAGTCCCCAGAAGAAGCAGCCGTCTTCGGAGAGCTTCAAATTAGGTGGCAGTTTAATAACGAAAAAGGGGCCGTCTTTGCTGCCAAAAAAATTCCAGCTGAAGTTGCAGGTGGAACAAAATCTGCACAAAAAGACCTGTCACATAGTACCTGACATGAGTATCTACGGCGAGTTGTCCACTTTGGACGGCGTGTTGGACATGAGACAATATCGACTTATTAGGGGCTTGCTAACGTATAATTTAGGCGAAGATACGGAAAGAATCAACCCTTCTGTTCCTGCGCAAGTAGTAACTAACGAGGTAAGACCAAGGTTCTTTGCAAAGTTAAGCTTTTTCTAGTATTACGTTATAACTTTCCCGATTTCATTTTGCGTTTATTTCAAGTATTTTATGAATCTTTTTAGAACGAATCTCACGAAGAATGGAAAATTTTCTCTATTAAGCTCAATTTGCAAAATGTAACGCTACAGCTTATAAAATCGCATAGCAGCGCTTCTCCATTAACCTGCATAAACTTTATAAAGTCCCACTTAACCATTGAAACATTCAGCAACCTGTGTCAAGACATCGACTTAGTCTCCCAAGAGATACAAATAGTGGACACTCGTTATAACGGTGCGAGGCCAAACGAACGTTTTAACGTCTTCACCAACATACTGCAACCTATAAAGTACAAAGAAAACGACATCGTTCAGGCCGAAATACATAGTAGGAAGCGGCAGGACTACACTAGAGTTACTATCCTTTTAAACGATATGAGACTGATGGCTATTTTTGATTGGTGGGAGTCCATAATGGAATATATCTTCCAAGATATCGAAAATGTACCTTCCAGTCCGGAACATCAAGTGTCGATATCGACCACGAAACAACCGGACAATATGAAGTTTGACTTAAAATTGAATATCACCGATTCGGAAATCGTGTTAGTTGAAAACTCGTCCCAGTGGGACACGAATACTGTGATTTTAAAGGTTTGTTTGTTGTAAAACCGTTTGAATCGAATGTAACATTTAAACTAATTTTAGAGTACTACCGTTTTAAAATATCGTCCGTACAATTTAGAGAAACCTCTATCGTGTAGCTTAAACAATTTGGAAATGTTTTCTTGTATTTTGGGAATGGAAGATGAAACTGCTCTGTCCATTATAGACCCGATTACGTTGAGTATCGACATTAACAAAGAGAATATCCTAGAGGTGAGGTGACGGTTATAATAAATAATTTTTATAACGCCTTATTTTTAGGTGCAACTGCAATTTTTAATCGTACGACTCTCATACCACGACATGTGCATGTTTATGCAGATGTTAAACTCCTTGCCGAAGCAAATATTTAACAGAAACGGAGAGCAGGGACAATCTTCTCTTACGAAAAGTATGTAACGGGCCAATTAAGACAAAAAAACTATTGTTTTCCCCAATTTCTAGGCCAGATTGCCACTCTGACAGGTCTTGGATTCAAAACGGAGGACTGTATTGTGGCCTTGGAAAAATGTGAAAATAGACTGGACGATGCTGCGCTTTGGCTAACACGTAACGCAGTACCCTCTTCTCGTGTGCCAAAAAATGAAAAATATATCAGTATTAATGCGATTGAGGTAACGAATTATCGATAATTTCTCGTCTCAATTTAAACAATTAAATAACTTTTAGGTAAAGGCAAATTGTGTTTCAATTTGCATTATCGACGATTGCGGTGATTCAGATGTGCCACTTCTAGAACTTTCATTTTCCGATCTTCAATTAAACCAACTTCTACCCGAGTTAAATTTAAACGACCCCGATCCTATACATCCTCAAGGCTCGTTATGCTGTATTTTGGCCAGTGATTATTACAATAGAGTACTGTCAGGTTGGGAACCCATTTTCGAACCGTGGAGGTAAGAGAGATTTAACAACAATGTATCCCGTAGCTAACATGTCGTAACATTACAAACCAGTTCCATTTTTATTTCAGGTGTACTATAATATGGGAAAAAATAATTTCCCAAACGTTGCTGAAGAATAATTTGTCATTTAAAGTCAGTTCTTATGATACATTCAACATTAATATAACTTCGACTTTAATGGAGTTGTATGGGCAAGTAAAAGAAAACTGGACGATGGACTATTATAAAGTAAAGCAGACCTTAATGAGAAATCAGAAAGAAGCAGATCCTGTTAGTACTTTGGATAGCTTCAGGAGAAGATCTCCGTTCATACCGTTTGCTTTAAAAAACGAAACGGGTTCCTTGCTAAAGTTTACAACCCACATATCAGACATAGACAAGTCTAGCACCCCCATCGTATATAAGTCGGAAGAAAATTGGATAACGGTCGATTCTGGACAAACGGTACCTTTTTCCTTTACAAGCAGAGGTATTTGGACGAGATTTATTAAACTTTGCTAGCATAATAAATGTTCTCTCTCTTTTTTAGATAAAATGCGACATCAGGATTCACACAAAATGAAAATGCACCAGCTGGGCGTAAAGGTAGAGGGGTGGCAACATGTCAATCCGGTCACTGTCGATAAAGTCGGTGTTTACTTTAGAGACGCTCCAGCGGAAGTGCAAAATAGAGTAAGAAAATAATGTTCTCGTTATTAATACTACTTTGCTCGTTTTATCAATTAAAACAAGTCTTAAAACTGAATTATGTAATAATTTGCAGTTGCAACAGTACAACCTTATTCATATGATTTGACAGGTGTAAATTCACAATGTGTGAGGTTAGAATTGCGATTGTCAATTGTCAACTGCATGACAATTGACAACTGTGCTTTCTAACTTCACACATTTGACAACTATAATGGAAACAATAATTAAACTACTATTCACTTCAAAGTTTTATTATTATTATTTTTTAGTCATTAGATCTACCACCGGTGAGAATTGTATTTGACATAGCCCTAGAGGGATCTGCCAGAAAGTTGATAACAGTTCGATCGGCACTCTTGATCATCAACAACTTACCGCAAACGGTAGAAGTAAAACTGGAAAACAGGTTACCCCATGATGCCGTTACTCTGTGGGTTCCAAATAAATCGTTCATTGTGGACACCAAGAAGACGCTGGCAGTGCCTTTAGTCCACGCCCATTCTCAGATTAATGTACGACCGAGTGGTTCGCCCCATCAGTATACTTTCTGCATGCCAACATTGAACTGGTCCGAAATGCCCAATTATGTCGACAAAGTGTATGAATTGGCCACGTGCCACACTCACAAGGGATATAATTACAGGTCTGTCGAGTATTATGCTTCGTAGTGCCTTTTCTTTGTTTAAAATCACGTTTAGTGTTTGTAACATAACGTTTTCCTTTTAGGTTCTGTGCCGAAATCATTAGAGAGAATTTGTTAATAGGATCGAGTACGAGATACGACCAGCCAGCTCATAGAATTTATTTATGGCCTACCGTTAAACTGGAGAACCTTCTTCCGATAGATATAGTTTATAACCTCGCTGGGGAAAATGGACACGTTAAAGCTGGCGCACAAGCATCTGTGACTAGCGTAAGTTCCTATTTTATTTTTTTATGTAAATATGGTAAGCCCCACGTTGGGCGCCAAACCGGTTTGGCGCCCAGTGTGGGGCTTTTCGTCAACGGTTATGTTTTAGCTTGACCCCGAGAAAGTCATAGAGCTAGAGATTAAAATCGAAAACTTCCAAACCTGCAACGCTATAGTTATACCCAGCAGTTGTAACACCGATTTTAGCGGCCGTATTAAGCTCGAAGACAGACGTCAGCGGAAATTGTATTTGTTCGCAGATATTTCCGTTAATAAAGGAGCTAAGTTAAAAGTAAGTTTATCTGAAATTGTGAATTATGTATCATTTGTTTCGTGTTTTCAGATTACAATATCGGCGTACTATTGGATTATCAACAGGACGGGTTTGCCTTTAGTTTTCAGGCAGTCTGGTTCCTCTACAGAGAGTGCAGGTCAGTTCGATGAACACGAACAAGCCAGAATGATGGCCCCTTTGCTTTTCAGTTTTTCTGACCAAGATGCCAGTCCGACAATAAACGCAAGAGTTGGCAAAAAAGTTGTCTGGGATGGAACACCTCAGGTATATAAAATAAAAAAAAAAAATGTATGTATGAGAATTCTCTAGCTTTGGATTTTCGTAATTGTTTGTATCGCCCCCAATTTTGACATTCGGAACTTGAATCTGAAGCCATTTTGTGGAGGTCGGTTATCGTTTTCCGGAAAATTAAAAAATTAAAAAAAAGCTGATTAAAATTAGGGTGTATAGCAAACATTAGGAGATAATCTGTTAAATTGACATTTTCCTTTAAAATTTCTGATGAAATTGATACAAGTTGAAGTTTTTCACAAAAAAAATTAATTTCTACTAAATTTCTTACATATTTTTTTCTTTCTATGAAAGAATTCAATCCATCACCAAAAATTGATCTGTATTTCAGTGGTGCTCAAACTTTCATGTCCAGAAAGGCACCCAATACCGCAAATTGCGTGTGACGATGAGAGACGGCAAACCCGACACGGTTTTCGTGGTCGGTTTGGAGGTTAGACCCGGAAGAGGAAAATACCGTTCTACCAACATCATTACTATTTCCCCGAGGTACCAACTTTACAATCGCAGTTCTTACCAGTTAATCTTCGCGCAGATGTATTCGGTGAAAAACTTAAGCCCCCAAGCTCAGAAGACCTACTTGAAAGCTATGCCCAATTCGCATATGCCCTTCCACTGGTCCAGCCTGGAAAAAGAGCAGTTGCTTTGCGTGTCGATACTGGACATTCCGGACTGTTGCTGGTCGGGCGGATTGAAAATCGACAGCATCAATTCAATGCACGTCAACATACGGTAAATACAAAAAGACAAACTATAGAAAAACGGTTGTTAATTTTTTTTATATTCTAGAGACGCAAATGGAAGAGTTTACTTCTTGCGCTTGGAGGTAATCCTTCAAGACGCAACTTTCTTCGTCATGTTTACAGACGCGGACACCATGCCTCCGCCCATACGAGTCGACAACTTTTCCGAGGTTCCCATTCAGTTCGGGCAGAACTGTTATATCGACATCATGCACAGCATCGCACGAGCGCACTCTAGCGTACCGTACGCGTGGGACGAACCCACAGAACCCAACATAGTAAGACTGATAGCGCCAGGGGGCGTTTCTAATATTTATAATATGAACAACTTGGGATCCATGCATGGGTTGACCTATGAAAATTTTATTTATATAGCATTTGTGGGCACTTTTAAGAAGTAAGTAGACTTTTTTTATTTAACCGTCAATAATTTAGCGCTATTGTCAGTACATCGCTACCTAGCGCTGACAAATTGTTCATATGACACGCGGCCTATATCATGTCTTAAATGTCATTGCTACTAGTCATGCTTACTCTACCTACAAAACTAGTAGGTCACATGTGCCAGTAGGTACAAAGCAACACTGTGATGTATCTGTAGGCATTGAGTAACAATGACATTTAACATATGTCAAATTTTACAGGTTGTATCTCACCCACACTTACATCATTATTGAAAAAAAACACTAACTTAGAGCATCTAACCAATTGATTACCAAAAATGTTTTCATGTAAAAATAAAGCAGCTCCAAAGGCGTCAAAGACCCTCACGATGTAGAGAGCCAGGAGCTGGTCCTGGACGTGCGATCGAAGGACAGCAGGGTGATCTTGGCCACGAAAATACCAGGCGAACGCTCTCAGTTGTGGCGAATGACCTCGGAAGGGCACCTGCAGCACGAAGGGAGCAGTCCGCCTTCTCATCCCAACCAGCCCAGACGGAAGGATAATATTCTGGTGTTGGACATAGAGAATACCGCTCCGCAACCCAACACGTACTCCCGGTTGATGCTGCGTCGCATAGACCCTAGGAGGCAGTCCACGCAGAAATGGAGGTTCACCGAGGAAGGACGGCTGTGCTGCGATCATTACAATATGTGCGTGCAAGCGCAAGACGGGTTTTATGGGTTGCGTCCAGGTTAGTAGTTTTCTATACTGTAAGATAGTATTGAATTTGAATTTTGTAAAATGTAAAACCATCGTCAATTTCACATTAAAAAAAAAATATTTCATGATAAATCAAATTCGTCTCAAAATCTATTAAAGATAGAAAAATACTGATCATACGTTGTCAAGTTCGAATTTCAAAACAAATCATCTCATTTGTTTTCAATTTACAGGACGATAATAATTTTTGTAACATTTTCGGACATTTTTGTATCTGCATTGTTAGATGGATTAAAATTAGGTCTTATGGAGTTAGTTGTTAAAACGATATCCATCAACTCAACTTATTATACACGTAAGCAATTTTTGACACTAGAAAAACTAATGTAAACACTATCGCAAAAACGTAAATACTAACATCGGATTTCAGTATTTGGAACTAGGGCCACGTGGAGAGACAGCGCATTGCGCACAGCGTACAATGTGAATGACGCTAGAGACTACAATAGTCCAGCTATGTAAAGGTTGAAAATGCTACGGAAACTATAAGGATTTTACAAAAAATTTTGATGACTCCATTTTTATGACGCACTTATTTTAAAATTTTTTTGGATAAGTTCTGTATATTGTTTAAATTGAGGTCATGGTTATAATTGAGAAGGACATAATTTTTTCTTCTTTGGAATGATGTATGTCAGTTATTTTAGCAAATAAGCTGCAAGGTTTTTTTATGATACATGTTTTTAATTTTTTATAAAAATTATTATATTTTATAATGATACTAGACATTTTTGGCATTAAAGTTGAATTTGTATTGAAATTCAAACTCAAGAATATAACGTCAATTTTTTTCTGTCCTTATTAATTTGTGAGATTTCATGGAATTTAATTTATGAACATTATAAGACAGTTGCAATTTCTTACACGTACATTTTGTACATTCTAGGCAATGACACAACAAAAGTATGGATGTGGCAACATTGTATGTATTTTGTTGTGCACTGCATATTAAGTTTTTATCATATTGTATTGTTAAATAATCCAATTAATACTAATCGCAAGTCGCTTTAACCTAGCAAAGCTCTATGTTCACAAAAAATTTAAAATAATTAAAAACGTCGATTTCCTATTTAGGGAATTCAGCCGTTCTCGGTTTACCGCAGCCCATATGCCACAAAGTAACGGACAGAGGCATTCCGATCGAGCAAGCCATCGAACGGCAGAGATTACGTCCAGGCTCCGGTTTCCTGGCCGTTGACATATACATGGACGGGCCTACGCAGGTCATAAGCATCAAAGACATAAAACAAAAATCGGTGTACGCCTCTCCCGATGACAAGGAATGGGGAATGATTTCTCGCAAGCAAAGGCCCGATCTTACCTGGAAAGAGGATAATCAGAACAGGATCACTACCGAGATGCAATTCGGAGTGGACTTAAGAGGGCTCGGTGTTAGCGTAGTCTGCAGGAAAACCCACGGGGAGCTGCTGTATGCCCATTTCTCCGATATCGTTGGACAGTCGACGATAACTCCTCAGACTCGGCAGTTCAGCATCAGCGTCAAGGATATACAAATTGATAATCAGGTCGGTGTTCGTTTATAAACGTATTTTGTACGAATCCTATTTTTGCGATTTGACACAAATATCACCTAATATTACTTTGACAGACTTATCCAGATATTTTGTACTCACTTAATGCTTTGTCCATCTTGTTTCACAAATAGCTATTATAAAACTAAAACATAACGATAATATATTCCAGCTTTTGGGTTCATCAGTGCCCGTTGTCTTGTACGTTACGCCGCCCAATTCGAGAAACACCGACGAAGCCTACGACCATCTGCCGGCGCTTGTCTTTGACGCCGAAATGCAAGAGAAAGATAATTCGAATGCGGTTATTTTTAAGGTAAAAATAAATAATTTTATTGCGCTCCGAAATAATAGAGAATTTTCAGCATTTGATTTTACGGTTGAAGAAGATTACGATAATTATCGAAGAGATGCTGCTGCTGAAATTTTTCTCGTTTATGGGGCTTCACTCGCAAGAAGAGGAACTTTTTAATAAGGACGAAAACGATTACGAGACTCAGAAGTTGCTTATGGAAGTATCGGCAGCGCACGCTAAAAGGTATGTAAAAAAAAAGAATTTGAAATAAATATACATGTTTTTTTTGTAAAAAACTTGTTGAGAATCATTGATTTTACTGTGTTATTTCAAATAATATAGCATATATGAGAGTTTAATCGGTGTTACACTGAAACTCTTATTTTTATTATATGAAATATGAAAAAAAAAAGTTAAACGAATATGTTCGAATGTTTTTAGATGATACGTCAAAAAAAATTTGAAATATCTTCATAAAGATGTTTGTGGCCTCCTCATTCCCTTATTATTCCTGTCCAACAATGAAAATTCACATATATGTCCTGTAATTCACATCTAGGTAGCTTATCAACATGATGTTCAATTGTTCACATGATTTTGGAGATTAGTGTTGCGGTTTGTGGTAATCAAGCTTTGAAAATCATTGTTGGGAAGTGTTTACATTTGCAGCATGTTTAAACAAAATCAAAATATGTATTTCTTAATTCAAATTTAATATTCGTTATTTACGCATTGAAATCTATATTTTAAATTATCTAATCTATAATTAGAGGTTATATTTTTACTATGAAAACAAGTGAAGTGTTGACTTTTGTTCTTATATACATGTGGATGGGAAGATTACGACAACTTTAACTTAGCGGGTTGTTGACTAAATGTATTTTGTAGTAACTAACTACTTGCAGTCTTATCATTAAATTTTCATATTGAAATTTTAACAACTTTGTTAAATATTATAAATGTATACGTAAAAATTAATAGCAACCATTAATGACAAAATAATTTAAACAAGATGTTAAAAATCCAATGGAGTAGTTCAAACGTCCCATTTTTATTTGCAGGTTGTTGATGATTTTTCTATGAAACAGATTTGCGAGCAAAATTTTGTGAACCTATTCATCAATGCAAGGCAAATTAAATATATAAATATTCACTTATTACTTTATTTTTTGTTCTAGATATTATTTTGGTATCATCAAACTGATTCCTGATCAAATCCGACTGAGCGTTACGACGGCCAGTAAACTTCCTAAACATTTGCAAAGAATCAAGAGAAAATTAGGTCTAACTTTGATCAAATTCGAGGACGCTGCTGTCGACCTACAAGCCTTTGAAAGGAAACACCCCTTTGAAACGAGAGAGTTTCTGTTTAAGTCTATTATAAAGCATTTTAAAGATGTAAGTACAGAAGTGTTAAATTTACAGTCGCCTTATTTATTTTATCGAACAATTTTCCAGGAATTGATGTGGCAAGCCGGAATAATTCTAGGTTCAGTCGACTTCATTGGAAATCCCCTTGGACTGATGAACGACGTTTCCGAGGGCCTATCGGGCTTCATCTACGAAGGTAACGTTGGCGCTCTAGTAAAGAACGTCACTCACGGCATGTCGAATTCCGCCGCCAAGATCACGGAGTCTTTATCCGACGGTCTGGGAAGAGTGGCCATGGACGACTACCACGAGGAGATGAGGCAAAGAATAAGACAGGTACAGACCGGCAAGAGCTCGGATCACATCTTGGCTGGGTTCAAGGGTCTCGGTTTTGGAATACTGGGCGGCGCTACCGGCATATTCAAGCAGGTGTATGAGGGTGCCTCTAATGACGGGATTCAAGGTGTTTTTTCTGGTCTCGGTAAAGGTCTGGTGGGCGCCGTTACTAAACCTGTGGTAGGAGTGCTCGATTTCGCATCGGAGACAGCTAGAGCTGTAAGAGATTCGAGTAGAAGGTGAGCGTGTGTCTCTAGTACTAAACGAGAATTAAAATTGCGAATGAATGTAATTTTGTTTCAGTAAGACGATGCCCGAGCGTATTAGATTGCCCAGATGCGTCCACGGGCCCGGGGAACTGTTGCCCACATATAATTCTAAGCAAAGTGAAGGACAACAGTACCTTTACATGGTCAATCATAAGTAAGTACCATGGACATATAGAAAATGGTTCTTACTGGTAATTTGTACGTTTCGATGTTTTTAAATAATTTTTTCATGTTTAGAAAGTGCTCTGGGTAAATAAAATCTATATTTCAGGGATTACGAAGAGCAATTAATCGCGTATCAGGTGTTAGGAAGTGCTTCCGAGGACTTGCTTTGCATCGTGTCGAATAAAATGATTCGGATCGCCACAAGCACAAAGACTCCGGAATTGGCTACCGTTCTTGAATGTCCATTAAGGTAAGACATCCGATTAAAAAATTTGTTCTATACAGCGTTCATAATCTGAGAAATAGAGCCGACAACTAAGGGTCAAGCAGGATAAGATAAGGTCAGTGGCCCCAGAAAGGTATTTTGAAAATGACTGTTCGTTAGACAAAACATTCTACATTATATATTTTTTATAGAATTTTTCTGTATTATTAATTATAATATACTATAGTTACTGTTTTATTTGAACTCGCCTCAGGGTTTCGGTTTGATTTACCTATTTTATTTTAATTTATTTTGTTTTGCTTTATTTTATTTGTTTTATTTAGTTTTGTTTATTTTTTTATTTTATTTTGTTTTGTTTGTTGTTATCTTTTTTTGTTTTATTTTATTTTGTTTGTTTTTACTTTATTTTGTGTTATTTTATTTTTTTCGGAAGACAATTTTTTGATCGTTGTTGCAGTGGAATGGTCTCTGCTTCTTTCTTCGTCGAAACCCCTCTGGACGGCAAATGTGTAGTGGTCCATTTTGGGTTTTGTTAAAATAAAATGCAGAATTTTTGTTGCTTATAACGTGTGAGCAGGTTGTTTGCAACGTGGAATTTTTCGTTGTAATATTGAATCGTAGACGGTGATTTGACTTTGCGTAGTTGCAAACCCTTTTTGTAAAGCTTGATCTAGCGCGAAGTTGCTTGAATCGAGTGTTGATAATGATCGGAGTGTGGCCGGCTAGGTTTCAAACATCCAGCTCACACGTTACAAGCAACAAAAATTCTGCGTTTTATTTTAACAAAACCCAAAATCAACCACTACACATTAGCCGTCCAGAGGGGTTTCGCCGACGAAGAAAGAAGCTGAGGCCGTTCCACTGAAACAACAATGATCAAAAAATTGTTTTCCGAAAAAAAGTAACACAAAATAAAATAAAAACAAAAAAAATAAAATAAAACAAAATAAGATAAAAACAAACAAAACAAAATAATATAAAATAAAAAAATAAACAAAAAATAAAATAAATAAATTAAAGCAAAATACAATCCTCACGATAATTGAAGTCGAGCTACTATAGTGGTGCTGGCATAAAAATGATACTTAAACAAAACACAATGCACACACTCTAATAGCTGGAAAGTGACAAGTTTCGACTTGTTCTCTAAAAACATTCCACAAACGATTTTCATCGGTTTATGTCTAAATGAAAGTCTTCCTTACATTTTTAACTACTATCTAATATATTTTTGAGTAACAAACAGATGATAATGGTGTCACAAACGGGAAGTCATTAGTACCTAAGATGCTCATAAGAAGTTTTAATTTTTTTGGATAGTGTTGCACCCATTTTATATTTATGCACTTTTTGAGAGTAATACTAGACATAGTAGGCTACATTATATATTTTTTCTGTGATTGTACCTCTGTGTGAACTAAGAATAAAATCTTGAAAAAAAATATTTCTATTTTGTTTTGTTTAACAAACAGTTTTTGTTTTATTAGGGCACTTGCAATAGTTTTAAAAAAAAAAAAATTTGAAAAATACCCGCTCTTGCATCTATTTGTAGGCGAGCGGTTCACCCCTAAAAAAAGGCATGAACCGACTAAATTTTTAAAACAAAAACCTACAGCATGAAACTTTTTTTATTTTATAAAGTGTATTTTTCTGATAATTTACATATTTTTTTTTATATTTTTCGGCGTGTTAGTCAATTGTTATAAACAAAAAGTTGTAAAAAAAAATTACTCGCCGAATGGCTTTGAAGATAGTTTTTTCTTTGTAAAATGGACCTAAATAAACAGTTTTTATTCTTTGACAAAAATTCGAAAAATGCTTCGTTTCTGAGATATTTACATTTTAATGTGAAAAAAATGACGAAATCGACAAAATTTCGGAATTTTTTTCTCAAAAACTACTGAACAGATTTTAATTCTCAAAAAGGCATAATAATCGGCAAATTTTCTACTTTAAGATGTATTTTTTTGGTAAAAGTAAAAAAATGTATTTTAAACATGCATAAAAATATTTTTGAAGCATATCTAACGCAGTTTCTCCTTCGAAATAATTAAAATCCAAACAACCATTTTCGATTTTCCATCCATGTGTCAATGGATCTAGAGTTACAATTTCACTATTTGTAGACTGTAGACTTTTTTTTACTCAATTTAGACCTTCAATAAAATAATTTACCTACACCAAAAAAATATATCTTGAAGTAGAAGATCTGCTGATTATTATGCTTTTTTAGAATTTTAGAATTGAACTCTGTTCAGCAGTTTTTGAAAAAAAAATTCTAAAAGTTTACCGATTTTTGTTTATAGCAATTGACTGACCACGCTGAAAAATATAAAAAAATATATGTGAATTATCAGAAAAATACACTTTATAAAATAAAAAAAGTTTCATGCTCTAGGTTTTTGTTTTAAAAATGTAGTCGGTTACCTTCATTTAGAAGCATCTTTTTAGGGGTGAACCACTCACCTATTGATCAATTATCTCCAGAATGCAGTGAGATGCGAGGCTGAATTTGTGTCAATGGTAGATTTATATCTCGCCGATGTTACCACACAAGTTATTTTCAAAATACCTTTATGGGGCCGCTGACCTTATCTTCTCCTGCTAGACCCTTATTCCAAAAAATACTGATATACAGAGTGCAACTTAGAATTAACGTAAACTTTAAAATTTTTGAAGAAACTGTTGAAAAAATCGTTGTGATCTGTGACTGTTGTGATCATGTTGTTTATATGTTTCTATTTATCTTTGGTTTTATTGAAATAATTTTTTCAGTGATTTGGAAGTCTGCAACGTTATAAGAGAAAAGGACCACGGGGAGAGCCGCTACTACATCGAAATCGTGATGCACTACGCCGGAGTAAGCGCGGCCTTAGTGAATCCGGATCCCGTAAAGAAACCACGAGTGAGGTGTAGGACTTCCGACCTCGCCGTCGCGGTATCCCAACAAATAAATTATGCCAAAAGAATGTATATCGAACATCTATATACTTTAAGTAACGACAATATCTCAATTTCTGAAGACTGAGTACTTTTGTTGCTTTTTAAATGTTTTATTTATTATTTCTACGAGAATGACAGGAAGGGGTACGTAGCGATAGGAAGGCTACGTTAGGTGCTGTTTTGTTACAGATACACGACGGTATGTACATACATAGTTTATTTTTCTGAGGTTTTCGTTACATGAAAACAACAATTCTATTTTCCTGGGACAGAGGCAAACTCGATTCAGTTTTGTTAAACTGGACTTCTAGTGGCTAGAAAAAACAGTTCGGCGACAATTTGGCAAAAGCAAAAGACTTTTTTTTCTGATGTACTTTGTATTAAATTATAAATTAAAGTGATATATTTTTTAAAAGAATTAAATTTGAAAATTCAGCCTCTTTTTCTCTTTGTTTGTATCACTTTCATTACTTTGACTCCTATAAAGGATTTTTTGCATCCAATGTTTTTTTTAATGTAATTTTCTTGTAATTTTTTTATTTAAGGGTTGTCCGATCGATGTAAAATTCAACATCCACAGGTAAAAATACGTTGCTGACACTTGGGGCGTTTTTCCAAGCTGGACTACTTTTTACCTTAAAATTAGTAAAAATATCGGTCAATCTATTAAAATAATTTTTGCAGAATAATTAATAAAAAAAATGGCGGCCAGAAATGTAATTCATGCAATTTTTCACCTACACAACAAAAAACTAAAATTTTTTCGATTATATTAACCGTTGAAGGTGTAAGTACGAATTTTCAAAAAAAAAATATGATTTTTGGCATATTGATATCCTCCTCCTCTTTTTCCTTTCCCGTTTCACCGGCTCCCATAGTAAAAAATTACAACGCATCGCGATGATCACAAAGAACGCTCGGAACAGACAAAGAGGCTGGGACAAAATTAAAATTTGGGGCATATACAAATTTTTGCTGCCTATAAAAATGAGGATCGTACATGACGACAACACGATGTATCGAAGAAAACTTACAGATGCCGTCTTATAATTAAAAATATTAATAGTAATTGCGAATTTGCCAGATTTCTGCTTTTTCATATATAACAGAAATTTGTACTTTTCTAACGAAACAGTGATATAAGTTTAACAAGTATGATAAACCAATGTGTCAGACAGACAAAAAAAATAGTAATTCAGCAACAATACAATTGGTATTATCAGATTGGCCATGTTTTTTGCTCCTGAATGTGAAATTTGTGTCAGTCGGACAACTCGTATAAAAGCTATAGTGGGTGTGCCATTTAAAGAATCACCCTGTATAGAATTTTTTTGTTAACTGGTTTACAGAGTAATTCCCCATTATCACACTTTGGCACTTTGGTTTTGAGAAAAAGTGTAGGAATAAGTGATTCCTAATATGAAAATAAGCTGTATTTTATTTAAAGTTTTGTAATGAGATACTTGTAATTATCATCACAAGTATTAAACCAGGGCGGATCTGTCGAAATATCCCACTTTTTGGATGTAGGTGGGGGCAAGTTAATTTTTGCTGGAATACCTTCACTACAACTCCCGTAATAAAAGTGTAGATCCCTAGATCTGGGCGCGATCCGGAACATTTTTAAAATTGCAAAAATGCTTAAAACATTTTTAAAAATACCTATTTTATCTGAGTTTTTTACTTATATCTTGAAACCTATGAATTTTGGAAGAATATCGAAGAGGAAAAAAGTTTTAGAATTGAATTTTGCACAATATACTTCAAGTTAAAAATGTTTAAATTTATTACCGATGTGGCAAAATAGCAATAATTGATGAAAAAAGGCTAAAAAAATAAATTTTAATTTTGGAAAAAAAAAACTTTATAGTATAATAAAACAACACACCAAATTTCATTAAAATCGGTTCTATAGTTTTCGCAAAATAATTTTTTGAAAAAAATTTTGAAAAAATTTTTCCGAATTTTCAAAATTTTGCACAGCTTCAAATAAAGCATCTAGATACTTGAAAATTTTTTCACATAGAAAAGACCGCTCAACCTTAAATGGTTTTTTAAAAATTTAAACCAGTTGATTAGGACGGCCACAATAAATTTTTAGAATTAAAAATTTTTGTTAATTTTAAACAATTAGATTACATTTATCAATTTGCAATTTAGTTTTTTTCAGAAATTATAATTTTAAAGTACTCGAAAAGCCCCCCCCCCACTTTTCATGTTTTGAGTCACTTTGCATGTGCGAGCGACAGCTTTTTCGCTGATTTATCTATGTTGCCGATAACTTATGGATATGAAAATTGTTTCCAGCTTAAACTCAGAAAAACGAAGTCACTGGATCAAAGATTATTGCTAAATTGTTTATAAATTAATGGTAAATGCCGATAAACCTTGACTGCTTATATCTCGAGAACCAATAAACGGAATTTAACTTTTTTTTTTTAAAAGAAGCATCTTTCCGAGTACTTTAAAATTATAATTTTTGAAAAAGCTAAATTGCAAATTGATAAATAAAAAAAAAAGAGACCGATTTAAATTTTTCAAAAACCATTTCAATGGTTGAGCGGTCTTTTCTATGTGAAAAATTTTCAAGTATCTAGATGCTTTATTTGAGGCTGTGCAAAATTCTGAAAATTCAAAAAAAATTGTTCAAAATATTTTGCGAAAATTATCAAACCGATTTTAATGAAATTTGGTGTGTTGTTTTATTACACTATAAAGTTTTTTGTACCAAAATTAGAATGTCCTCGGAGCAACTAAAACATTTAAAAAAATTATCCAAGGAACTTGATTTTTTGCCTTTTTTTCATCAATTATTGCTATTTTGTAATATCGGTAATAAATTTAAACATTTTTAACTTACAGCATATTGTGCAAAATTCAATTCTAAAACTTTTTCTCCTTTTCAATATCCTTCCAAAATGCATAGATTTCAAAATATAAGTAAAAAACTAGGTATTTTTTAAAATTTTTTAACATTCTTGCAATTTTGAAAAAAAATTAGCTTGCCCCCTGTCACATCCACCTCAAACCAGATCCGCTCTGATCTATATTGTCTTAAACAATGTTTGTGATAAAAAATTAATAATCGGTTGTACTATAGTCTCATAAAAACATATTTTTCAATATAAATCACATTCTATTCCAATTAATTGAAAGAACAGTTTATCATCTGGTAAACTTCTTATTGAAATTTGGATTTAACTGGTCCAAAATATTGGACGGTCGAAAACTTTTAAACGGTAAAAGTTATACTAGAGAGTCATTCAAAGAGACCTGTTAAACCATCGCTAATTTCATTTTGACTCTATTCTTTTATCTCGAATATGATCTAAGATCGGGGATAGTACAAAACACTTTGATATTATCTGGGAACTGGGTACAACCGCACCCATTCGTCGAATGCTACTTTCCCGTTATGTTAAAAGATATTTTGTCTTGTTACGTTTAATATATTAGATATTTTATTACTAACCATTTCTTGATTAACAATTTATTTCTGAAGAAATATTAGCGACTACCACATTTTCAGTTCTTTTTTATAAGAAGAGTGACAGTCAACATCACCATATAATACAGTTTTCTAATCCATTTATAGAAATGGGTCTATTTTTTATATGTTACATGCACAAATACTTCACGTCCCCTGTAATAATGAAACAGAGGTCGTGAAGTATCGAATCGGTCAAGTATTTGTCAACTAAAAATAATATGAACAAACAATTGAGTGGTGGCGCTACTTCTAATTCATTTGAAACCACAACCAAAGTAATTTATCCCAATTTGTTGTTAAATTTGTTTAAAAAAATAAGTGCCTTATCTTTATTGCATTTTATTTCTGTTATAGTTATTTGTTAAACTTTTGTAAATAGGCTGTAATTAGCATTTGTTTTATTATCGCTTTGCCGCTATTGTTGGATTTTTTTTTGTAATATGTCTAATTTTTTACCAATGACATGTAAAAACTCACCACAATATAATAAATTAGTTACTCGAATATTATTTTTATTTTTTTAAAAACAGTACAAAATATATCATATAAAAAAAACTTAAATATTGGTTTTAAACGTGCCTGGCTGTCTTCACGCCACCGGTTTTCACCGGCTTACTCGATTTCGAATTGGAAGCGCAACCCTCGCACCCGCATTTGGATGGGACGGCTATTTTCTTCTTCCACGTTTGACCGTCTGCGCAAGTCAATTCCACGTATATCGGGGTATAGTCTGTCGCTTGGCAACAAGAACACACCGACTCGTGTAGCCCAGTTTCTAAAAAAATATATATCAGCGCTATATTTTTTATTTGATATGAAATTCTTCTTTATGTAGATTTAATTTTTGTGCAATATGCGAAATATACGCAAAAAAACAATTTTAACACAACTTTGCTACTTTCGATGATTCCTTGTATTTTTCATGGACTTTGAAAAAAAAATTACCCCTCATTACACAAGCTAACTAAAAGTTAAAAATCTCTTAAAAGAATCGAGATACGGTTTTCGACATATAACTTTTCTCAAAAATCAAGACCGAGACATTTGAACTACTTTTCGTTTTATCTTCTCGTGCAATACGAAAAACCCAACAAATGACAAAATTGGGCCATTCCATACGTAAAAATACAATTTTAAAACTTTAAAAAAAATTCGCTACTTTCGATGATTCCTCGTATTTTTCATGGACTTATGAAGAAAAAATTACCCCTCATTACACAAGCTAACTAAAAGTTAAAAATCTCTTAAAAAAATCGAGATACGGTTTTCGACATAAAACTTTTCTCAAAAATCGAGACCAAGACTTTTGAACTACTTTTCGTTTATCTTCTCGTGCTATACGAGAAACCCAACAAATGACAAAATTGGGCCATTCCATACATAAAAAAAAACAATTTTAAAACAACTTTAAAAAAAATTCGCTACTTTCGATGATTTCTTGTATTTTTCATGGACTTTTGAAGAAAAAATTACCCCTCATTACACAAGCTAACTAAAAGTTAAAAATCTTAAAAGAATCGAGATACGGTTTTCGACATAAAACTTTTCTCAAAACTCGAGACCGAGACATTTGAACTACTTTTCGTTTATCTTATCATGCAATACGAGAAACCCAACAAATGACAAAATTGGGCCATTCCCTACGTATATACTTACTTATGTTGAAGTACGTAGAAGAATGACAATTTCCCACGCATTCGGTAAAGTTTGTGATTGGTCCTTTGTTTGTGCATTCCCCGTGAGACATATGATTGTACTTAATTATTCCCACAGTTGTGTCGAGCTGTATGGACTCCGGACTACATATTGCTGGAAAAAATAAGAATTTCAGCAAAATACTAACAAGTTTTTGCAACATAATAATAAATTCAACAAATAAAAACTAAACTAAATAAAAAAGTATATCTCACTTTGTGCCACTGCTGTGAAGTTACACCGTTTGCAACATCCGTCGACATAAATATTTTGTTCCGGACAATCCTCCAAAGAGGGACAAGATTCCTGTGAACTTGAAATTACGAACTGGTTATCGAAATTGTCGCATGTGAACGTCGTACAGTTATCGAATGACAACCAGCTCTCGCCCGGCTGTTTTATTTCACTGTCTGCGACACAAGCCACCTGAAGGCATTCACCACAGCACGTTTCGTTCGATTCAAAGTATTCCCACCCCTAAAACGGAACAAATTTAAACGCTCCGTCACATCTCATGTAAATCTACAAACCAGAGTACAATCCTTTTTGCACGTTTCAACCGATTCCTGCTTAGCTAGGTCTTTATTTTCTTTTTCTATGCAAGTGACGGTTTTACATAAATCACCGTCCGGAGACGGCCATGTTTCTCCAACCTGCGTTAAAGGTAAGCGTATTATTTTATTCTTTTAAACCTTGAGTATTTCCTACCTTGTAAATAGTTTCTCCTACTTTGCACGCCGATGGTATTTGTTGCGGGCAACAATCTCCTTCTACCGGCAATGTTTCTATCACGAAGTCGTTCAAATAGTCTTCTGGTAATTTCGGACAATTCTCCACTAGAGTTTGCACTTGTAGCTAAAAAAGAGTGAATAAGAATTGGGTGCATCCTTGATAGATTTTTTGATGTACAGGGTCGTTTCATTAATAAAAGAACGTGGTTTGATGGAACGTAACTGATGTCGTAGCTGGGAAATCATATTACCACAACCTTGAGGAGGGCGCTACAATCGTCTCGTCTAAAAACGAGTAATCGCTTAATGTTTGACAGAGTTCAAAACAATTTTTGTTTATTTCGTTAAAGAAAAAAACATTATTTTGTAATAATCGTAGAACATGTTTAAAAAATTAACCAGTTTTTATTGAAAAAATAACTTACCGATCCGTTTATATTGAGACAGAAGTACTTGGTGCAATAATCTGCCGATGTCCAATCTTCACCTATTTGATGGATCACTCCGTCGACAACACAAGCAACTTGTTTACAGGCCCCGCAACATGCTTTAGATAGCAGTGTAGGTTCGACGTACTCAAATCCAATATCGCAATTTTTATCACAATTCTTCACTTGGGTTTCTCTCTGTATTCCGGTTGGGGTGTCCACACAATCAAATGTTGTGCAATAATCGGTTCCTTTAGGCCACTTTTCGCCCACTTTGTAGACTTTCCCGTTGTATTTGCAAGCAGAACGTTTAATTCTTGGACAGCATTCCTCGAATACCGGCTCCGGTTCCAGTTCATATTCCACGAAGTCGGCATGCGTCGCTAGCGAAGGGCAGTCTTTTTGCTTGCACACCGGTTGGTAATTGCCTATAATGAAAACATTCGAAGAACTAAAATCGATAATTGCACAATTGGCTATATCTGCTATCACATACTGTTGGAACCGATTCTGCTCCAGGCGGTATCTGTTTTAAAAAGGGTATACTTGAGTAAAACGTATATGATCGGAGATTTTTGCTATAACGTCTTCTAAATAACATCAGAAATGATAATGCTAATAAAAAAAAACGTGGGCTTAATTGTTATTGCAAAAAAGTATAAAAAAATAGCAAAAAAAATTCATTTTTTTCTTGGATTTTTCGTGGACAACTTAGCAACTATTAATTTTAGACAAAAATGGAAGAGGAAAAAAGTTTTGTAATTAAATTTTGAACAAGATAAAGTTAGTTGCAATTCGAAAAAATAATTATTGTTATTGCAAAAATCGGAAAAATCATTTAAAAAATTGCAAAAAATGCTAGTTTATTTGTTAAATTTTTTCACTCTTGAATAATACCTAATATCTTCATACTTTTCTCAATTAAACTTCTTGGTGCATAGAATCATCACACCAAATTTCATCCAATTCGGTTCGATAGTTTTTACATAATTATTTAAATCTTTTTTTAATTAAAAAATTTTCAAAATCAAATTTCTAAAAATCTAAAGCTTTTGAATACACGAAAATTTCACCACAAAAAGAAAAGCTCTCAAGCTAAAATGCTTTTTGAAAATTTCAAATCGGACGATTAGGTGAGCCGTGGTGATTGTGTAAACATTTTCGCAATTTTTCAAAAAGTATTTTAAAGCTCGAGAGCTTTCCTTTTTGTGGTGAAATTTTCAAGTATTCAAAGGCTTTAAATTTTTAGAAATTTGATTTTGAAAATTTTTTAGTTTAAAAAAAATTAACAATTATGTAAAAACTATCGAACCAAATTGGATGAAATTTGGTGTGATGATTCTATGCACTAAAAAGTTTAATTGGGAAAAGTATGAAGATCCTAGGTATTATTCAAGTGTCTGAAAAAAATTGACAAATAAACTAGCATTTTTTGCAACAATAATTATTTTTTCCGAATTGCAACTAATAGATATTGTTCAAAATTTAATTACAAAGCTTTTTGTTTCTCTTCCATTTTTGTCTAAAACGAATAGTTGCTAAGTTATCGATGAGAAATCCAAGAAAAAAATGAATTTTTTTGCTATTTTTTCTATACTCTGCAATAACAATTAAACCCACGTTTTTTTTTTATTTGTATAGAAAAATTATCATTTCTGATGTTATTTAGAAGCCGTTAAAGCAAAAATCTCCGATAATGTGCGTTTTACCCAACCCGAAACAGATACTGCCTGAACTAATGAGACTAAATTGAAAAACAATGTAACTCACCTAGACTGCCTACGGAACACTTGCATTCTCTGCACGGCCCGTCTTGCCACGTTTCATTCGCCCCTTTGAGTAAATTTTGTTTTTCGTACTTCGTTAATGGCCTCGCCCCACCTTTTTGGGCTGCCGCGAACTCAGTTTCATAAATACACTTTTCCTTCGGCGGCTCACAGGAATATATTGGGCAACATTTCCCTTCTATAGTTTCGGTTTTCACAGAATAATATTCAGGGCATTCGTTTGGTTTCGGGCAAAGGTCTTTTTTACAAACCAAATTTATTAGAGGACAACAGCCACTTTCATCAACTTCTTTCACATAACCAGGTTCTAGGGGTGTATCGGTGGAGAGATCTATGGGTTCGCATTCCTCGACCGGTTTACATTCGCAGATGAACGTTTGACAACCGTTTGGTTTCGTGTCTAGTTTCATGATTTGCCCCGACCCGCACACGAGTTTTTGCGGAGTCTCACACGTAGGACCAGCGGTGGGTTCAGGCACTACAAAATAATGTAAAAAATGTGTCTGAAAATACAAAAAAAAAAGTTTTACCGCAAGCGTATTTATCGCAGCATTCCTCCTGATTTGAAGATATTTTGACGGCATTGAAGCCTCGTTCACAGATCGTTGAAATTCCCGGACACTGCTGTGTGTCGCACTTGAGTGACGTGCCCTCACAAGTACAAGACGTGCATTTGTCTTTCTTCCACTTGTCGCCAGGATGGTGACCATCCTCGTCACAAACTTCGCAATCGTTCGGCGTAACGCAAGTATTGTTTAGGAACACCTGCGTTTAAAGATTCAGTGCTTATTATTAACTAAAATAAGCGACCAAGAGATGGCGCTGTAGGAAATCGTATCAGACGAGATTTTAGGTTACACTAGCCTTTGAAAGTGGTTCTAATTTAGTATAACAGATGTCACCACCTCCAATACTTTTACAAATAAGTCACGTTATAAATTGTCAAATCGATAACTTAAGTGTTTTTTGAAATTTTCAAAACTTACCTTTCCTTGAGGACAGTAACAGCCTTCGGTTGGAATAATCTTTTTCGGATTTTTTGTCAAGCCTTTAATGCTGTCGCACGTTTCTGGACTGCTTGTCCCGCAAGGGTCGTAGAATTGATCGGGTGGACAACTTTTCGCCGGGCAGTACTCATTTCTCCAGTTAATGCAGAACCCAGAGCTCGCGCAGTCTCTGGCATAAGCTTCGATGGAAGAACAAGCCAATTCGGGATGTCCGCCGCATGTATCTTTCTGGCACCATTCTATGAAGAGCGACGGGTCCAACACATTTAAGCACTGAAAGAAAAATATGAGTCGAAATATTGATTATATTCAATATCAAACTTACTTGTCCGAACTTGTTAATATCGACTAGTTGTACACATGGATTAGAATCAACCGGCAGCGGAGGACAATCTTCCTCGGGTTTATTTTCACACTGTTCTCTTGATTGGCCACCAGGTAGGTTCTCGTAGAGCCAGCTGAGGGCAAAGTCGTTTATATCTTTCGGTTTTTTGCCTTTAGGGGTCTTGATGTCGTCTTCTAAATCGCCGTTACAATTCCCACAAAGTCCCTCTAATTTTGCTCCGTATTTGTGAGAAGGAGCTTTTACTGACACTCCTAAAGACGGAAAATAAACAGACACCTACAAAACAACGTTTGTTAAAATGAAGCAATGTGCTGCAAATTAAAAAATTACCTCTACTTGAATGGCGGTCAATAGTAACTTTATATGCTTAGTTGCCGTTTCCCTAACGTTAGCCCATTGAGCGACTTCGTCAAAATCTGAAACCCTCTCGCTGTCCACGATTAATTTAAGCTTGTTCCTGTATTCGTCCAACAAAACGTGAATTTTGTGTCCTTCATACAGTACCGTCACTTTTCCGACACACGTTTTATCTTTTTTATCCTTACAAGGGTGGTTTGTAACAAGAACCTGAAATAGAAAACACGTACTAAACCCGTTAAACAAGTAACATTCTAATTTACTTGGAATTTATGTGTATCCTGCTCCGGCAATAAAATGTCCCTGGACATTACGTACACACAGTTGCCGGTAACGGTGAAATTATTTTCGTCGTAAGTCACATACTGGAGGTGAGGAAGGACGTTACATTCGCAGTCTCGACAGTTGGACGGTTTGATGCAAGTCTCGTCTTTGCGAACGTAACCGGGAGGACAGTAACAACCCGGGAAGCAAATGTTGTTTACTTTCGGGCATATGTTGGGATCAGAGATGGATTCACATGTCGGTTCGCATTTCCTTTGATAACAATCGTGATACACCAGGGGAGTCTCGCAGGTGGTAGCTATGTGAAAATTGTGGAATCAGTTTTGTAAACGTTTGCAGTAGAAAAAATTATGTGTGCAAAAAAAAATGATTGACGATGAAATGAACAATTTTTAATTGTTGAATATTATAGAATATCTTCGACAGAACTCAATTTTTAACGAAGAAATTGCAACTTACGGCAATCCTGCTGCATTCTCCAGTCCGATAAATCTATCGTGGAATCTGCGGAAAGACAGTCGACTACAAATGACTGCATGGCCTGACACCTGCATTCTTCCTCGACAGTATGATTATCCAATGAATGCTCCAAACAGGTACAAGCGGTTTCCAAACAACGAGAAATGAACGCTTCTATATCTAGCACTCTCGCACACACCGATAAAGGTTGTTCTCTGTAAATATAACGGTTTTGAGGGCCAACATTGTAAAGCGTTAAAAAAGTTTGATAGTCGTTAAAATCTAGTCGGTGTTCTGTAAATTGCAAATCGTTTAAAAATTGAATAAATAAAACTGAGACGTTTGAACTACTCCACCCACTACAATTAATTTGTTGTTAACAGCCACTTTAAATTTCAATATACAGAATAAAAATTTATAATTAATATTTAACACATTCATTAGATTAACATTTTAACAAACGTTTAAAATTTAGAGGCGATACACAGAATCGCCCCTTTATTTACTTGTTTGTCATGCTCGTATGAAACTTACTTGACTTTATTGCACATCTCCCACGCCTTGTTCTGTATGTGAATAGGGCATGCTTTAGCCTCGCATACCGATGGTTCCTCACTTGCCACTTCCCAGCTGTCTCCGAACTCAACAGAGGTCCTCGCGATGTTCCCGTTAGGTTTCCTTTTATCATCTGTGGCGTCGTCGTTGAAGAATCCACAGAGACCGTCTACTTTATCCACTAATTTGTGTACTACCCCGATTTTAACGTCACCCAGGGTATTCCAAATTATCCAGAAACCGTATCTATTAGAAACGAAGAACAGAGTGTTTCCTAGCTGTGTTATTGAAAACGCATCATTCTGAGATCCTATGCTCTTAGTTTGCTCCACCGAATAAGTGTATCCGTCGAATTCAAGAGAAAGGTCGGGGTGGATGACGAATAGGTGGTTGTGGTGCCAAATGACCAGGTTTCGTGAGCAGAAGGTCGAACACTCTTTTTTTACTAAAAAGTTTATACATACGTAAATAGTGTGCTTGAGTGTAGCGAATTATAATGGCGTTTTACTCTCACGTGTGATATACGACGTTCTGTCCAACAGTTGTTGAACGAAATCACGGGAGATCGCTATCGATTATAATTGACGCGTTTGAACGAGCATTGAAGGAATAACGGCTGCTATTCGAGCAGAGGTTTGAAAAAATATATTGACTCAAAAGACGTGTCATATTTTCGATGTGGAATTAAAATATTGACGGGAAGACAGAAAAAAGTAGTGATTAGTGAAGAACAATAATTTCAGTGACATGTTTTTTACAATTTTTTTAAATAAAGCAATAATTTTCATAAAAAAACAGCGAGAACTTATTCAACATCCCAATCATTATTTTATTTTACTGGTACTAAACAAATTTTGTTACTAGTGATTGAAATTTGCTTTTAGGACTTGGAACTAACCAACAAAATTGCAACTGTCGGACAAAATACGTGTCGTATCGTAAGTTATTATTTGCTCTTACTTACGTGATATATCCCATTCGTAGTTTTCCAAGTCCCTGGTTAAGACGTGATTGCATATGTCGTACTTGAATTCGGTATTGTCGAATGTGTTAAACGTCCGTCCTGTTACGTTGCATATCGCGTCGGGCTCCGGCGGTGGGTAACAGGAATAGGTAGGACAAACTTTGGACTTTACATTGTACCCCTCTTCGAAAACCGGAATGTACCCCGGTTGACAAAAGACGGGCGGGCACTCATACGGTCCGTAATGGAATTTTGGTGGAGGTTTCGTAGATATACATTTATATTCCTTGCACGCTAGCGGCTCTTTGGCCAGTTCCGAAACTACCGTCAGCGGTCTTTGAAGATTCGTATGTTTGGATCCTAAAAACGAAAATAATAATTAAAAAAAGTTTGCGTAAAGCTATTAAAGCGGTTTTTAACCTTTATTTCCGTTTTTCTTTGTTTTAATTCCGCTGTACAAGGCGCTGTTATACGTTTTTTTAGATTTTGTACGACCCGATATCATCGCTGAAAGGTATAATTGGTTTTGTCGATTCTTAGTCAACTTCTTCTCTACTTTCTTGTAGCCTGGCTGGCACTGCGTGATAGGACATAGCTTCCGTGGGCCTTTAAAAAATAAGAATTATTATGTTTATACCACACAGTGTTTACATAACAGTACTGGCAACAGTTGTTTTGGGCGCTGCCTCTGTAGTAGTGGTAGGACAGTCCAGCTCGTCATCAGGACAATCCTGAACTCCGTTGCACCACAGACTCTCGTTAATACAGATATTACTCGAGGGGCACAACACCGTTTCGAGAGGGCAAAACTGGCACGTGCAGGCGCATGTGGAGGTCACCGTACTTTTCAGTCCCTTAAAAAACATTTCTTTTAACACTCGCACGTCAGTTTGGGAAGTAGAACTATTTTACCTCTTTGCATGGTTCGCATTTTTTCGGCTTACAGTGGGGAACCCCACCCAGTTTGCATATGCATTCCGAGCAATCCTCTTGCTCAAAAATTGCACCTACTGCATATCTATTGTAAAAAAAAATAATTAATTGTTAAAGTAAAACAAAGATTTTCACTTATTTCACTGTATTTTAGCACCGAAAGTAAAAGTGGAAAAAAATCAAAACGTATACCACAGCTTGATCAAAAAATTTCCTGATATTTCGAAGATTAGATAGGTAGATTTTAACAAATTACCAGGCTGAAATGTAAGCTTGGTTTTTCCCATTCAATTCCACCATTCAATCATAAATATTTAATGCAAGTCTAATTATTTTGAAAATTATACGCTGTTCCCTATTAAAGCACATTAGTTTTCTGTTGGTGCACTTCAGAACGAAATTCACAACTTTTGTGCGAAAAAAATTGGTAGATAAATTCCGGAGAAAGAGAAAAAAATATTTCAAACTGTTTTAGTCTTTTACAAATTTCGTTGATTCAATACTGTCTAATGAACATGAAAGTAAAGAATTATTTCAAAAACTATCGAGGTTACAAATCATATTACATCCTGCAGTTAGCAGCATTTAATAACATTTGGTAAGAGTGACCGCAAAATCCGCCTGTTTTTGAGACTTTAACAGAGGCGACATGAAAAATCCTAAAAATATTCAAAAAATATCCAAAAACATGAAAAATTAAAATGAGCATCACTTTCAGTTTTTCGAAAATTTTCGAAAATCACCCTTATTTAGGGGTTGATTAAGACAAAAAAAGTAAATAAATTAAGAATTATCAATAGTTGTAAAACAAACCCCAAATATTTCTAGGTTATCAAAATAATATTATGAACGTGAAAATATCTAATTTCGTATTTAATACGGTCTTCCCGGATTGAAAATCAACCTTTAATATCCTAAAGGGGTGAAATCATCCCCTAAACGCCTAAAAATGCAAAAAATATATTAAAAGTTACAATTTTTTTTCTTTTTCTTTTATACGTGATAATTGAACCGTTAATAATCCACAATCACTAGATCCGAAGGAAAATACCCTAAATGAGGGTAAAACCACTCCTAAGTTCAACCATATACGTATAAAATAAAAAGAAGAAAAATTGTAAGTTTTAATATATTTTTCGCATTTTTAGGCGTTTAGGGGATAATTTCACCCCTTTAGGGATATTATGGGTTGATTTTCAATCCGGACAAGACCGTATCAAATATGAAATTAGATATTTTCACATTCATATTATTTTGATAACAACATAGAAATATTTGGGGTTTTACAACTGTTGATGATTCTTAATTTGTTCACTTTTTTTGTCTTTTCAACCCCTAAAATAAGGGCGATATTCGAAAATTTTCGAAAAACTGAGTGATGCTCATTTTCATTTTTCATGACGAGTATTTGGATATTTTTAGAATATTTTTAGGATTTTCTCTGTCGCCTCTGTCAAAGTCTCAAAAACAGATGGAAAAAAGGCTTTTTTTGCGGTCACTTCAAAAGGAAACATAAAAATGAAACCTTTAGTGTAATACGTTTCATGTAATTTATGATGCAGGATAATGTAGATCAAGAACAAATAATTTGGTAAAAATCTATAATTTTTCTGTAATTTTTCATTTTCAGATGAACAACAAATTTTGATGTTTTCATTAAAAAAATTCTGGTGATTTTTGCTAGCGTAGGTAAACTGTATATACGAGCTAGATATTTAGCTTATAAAAAGATGCTGGTATTTTAATCAGCCTAAAATTAAAAAAAAACTATTTAAATAAATCCTAATAGAATATGTGTCTTCAAGTAGAAATTCGTGAAAACCTTTTTTTTTATATTTTTAAAACACCTATATAAGTATAATCAAACGAAAATTTACAAGGGCATTTCACTTTTACCTTTTTTAAAAAAAAAATATAATAACTATGAACTAGAATCAGTTAAGGATTCAGGGGCAGATAAGATTGGGGAATTTGTGTAAAATTTTGCACCTTCTTTCTTGATATGAGATTTTTTTCGCTTATTTAAAATCAGAAATTTAAAATTTGGAATGTTTATACAAAGTCTTTTTCTCTGTTTATTTATGTATTTAGCCTTCATAAATGTTTACAAGCCACCTGACTGTCGAGCTTAGAGAATCTAACAATGCACGATTGGTATTGGTACGGAAATTCCCTAAATCTTGGCATCACCAATGTTAATGATTCGTTTACAATGAACGATGACAAACCGTTACATCTACATTTGAGATAATGCGACTGCTGATTGGTTGAATAGAATCTCATGAAAAATTACACCAATCACAACCGATGAAACAAAATATTGTGTTTTAATGTAACTTTGATCTTATTGTTTTAATTTTACAGAAATTTATTTACCAATACAATTACTATTCCCAACAAAATTACTGGTCATGTGGCTTTATGAAGGCTCTTCAGTATTGAGCCATTAACAAAAATTCAGTCCATTTCATAATAATGTTCAAAAACAATCATAAATACAAAAAAATACAAAAACTACATACGTCATATGGCCAATCACACACGGACATGACGTTCTGTTGACGCAATTTTCTCCATCCCACCATAAATCAGTTAGACATCTACAAGCGTCCATTTCCAGTTCAGGAGATTCTATTCCGGGGCAGTAATTGCAGAGAGACGGTGCCTCTGTAGTTGGTATTTCCACAATAGCTGTAAATATTTTTATTTACTTATATACTAGCCGGGATCTAAGACAGAATAGTTTTAAATCTTCGTTTTCTGCAAACCGAAAATGACGAGGGAGCGAAAGTAATTCAGCAAATTTTTCACCTCACTGCACCAGAAGTTAGTATTAAATATCAAAACTTTCCATTAAGAATTAACATTTTTTCTTTTTGATTAGGTAAAAATATTGAAATAAAATCAACCCTTGACTGATCCCTTTGATATAAGGGTTTATTTAGCTCATTTAATTTTTTTGCAAGTGAAAAAGAGAAAAATATTAACAAAAGTCCAAAAAAACTTAACATTTTTGTAAAGGTATTTCCCCTTCACAGACATAATCAGTATACGCATGATAATAATCTTATGCAAAAAGACTTTAGTCTAAAAAATTCAAAGTAATCATTTTCTACTACGCCTACTTACGATAGGGTTTGTAGCAACCAACCATTTCCACCCTCATCTGAATATCGTTGTGCCACTTGGCTGGTACTATCCTAATGTAACGAGTGTTAATCGGCAAGTCAAAGTTGGTAACGTGCGGCATAACACCGTCGTAATTTCCCAAGAAAACTTTTTCATTTTGCGTGTTGTCCAAAATCGGATTCCATTCCTTTTCGTTTTGGGAATATTGCACGGTGAACGCAGTCACCCAACCGTCTTTGCCTCCCTTTGTGATAAGACCCGTGATATTCCTCGGCTCCAAAAAGTCAAACTAAAAACAATTCATCATATTTCTTGTAATTAAGTCGGGTAAAATTTTTTTACCTGAATCCATTCCGTGGGTGAATTTGTGAAGGGTTGCCATGAAGAGTTTTCGTTTAATTTGAGATTTATTTTACTATGTTCTGGCGACAAATCTGAACTGGTCGATATCTGATGGATTCCCATTTTGCCGTCGCTGAGACCCATCTCATCGTCGCAGTACTGAGGCTTAAAAATCGCTCCAGTCTACAATTTCAATATTTTATCGAAAGTATTTTACGACTTTGGTCTTTTTACCTCTCCCCGCAGTGCATGAATCGTAGTTAATTCTTCTGCACATCCTATCAATTCTACCCTCAGAGATATTCCGTTATTCCAAGTTTGTGGATTTATCCGTACCACTTTGGCTTCTACCGGAGTGTCAAATACTTGTCTGACTGGGGTGGTCGTGTCTATAGATCCTCGGAAAATCTAAGAGAAAAATATCGAAAGTGTCTAAAATGAAGGCATATTCTCCTTGAGAAAATTTTAAGAATATTTTCTTATGCAAATTTTTCTTTGGAGATATTGAAAGAGCGATATATGAATAAAATATCATTCGGAGTGAAAAAAATGAGTTACAGCTCAAACAATTCTTTTTTCCAGGGGTGGAAAGAATTTTGCAAATAAAACCTAGACTTTTTAAAAGCAGATTTACTTGTTAAATGAATGACCTGCAAGGGATAATTTAGCAGCAAACATACACCGATCAACAAATTAGATATTTAAAATAACCTCGTCACATTTCTAATAAAAAATCTAGAGTAGTTGTGTGGATGAAATATAACCTACAAAGTATGTCGTATATTAATTGTAGTAGGTCACTTTGTCAGTAGGTTCGAAACAATGCTTTTTGCCAGTAGGCATTGAATAACAATGACATATATTTTGTAGGTTATGTCTCACCTAGATTGTAATCATTTGTCATTGAAGCATTAATTTTTTAAGGACAAGTAAATTGTGCAAGACAAATTATTCAATCTGTCGAGATTATAGTGTAATCACAAATTCCGTTCATATAAAGCAAGTAATTAACATCAGGATATTCAGTTAAATCATTAATACAAACAACAAACAAAAGCGACTCCAAAATTGAACCTTGGGAATCCTCGAAAATCGTTACTGATAATAAAAGTCAATTGCAAGTTGATAGTTCATACTTACGACTGGATAGTTCTCTTCGTTCAAAATGTAGTAAAAAATACTACCGTCGGGACTGTACAGAACTTTGTAACTCGTCACGTACTCGTCGTACACAGGACTTCCTCTTACGATAACCCCATAAACAGGTTCCTGGTGCCCTAAGTTGATCTCCAAGTATTGGTCTTGGTTGGAATACTTTGGCGCCCAACTTCCACCTGGCAACGGTAAATATATTTTACTGCAGTCTTGTACAAACCTCAAATGACTTACCAGAGGTTTCGGACGGTCGACTGTTAAATCTGGCACTGCTGGGCGCGAAGAAGGGACTTAGTACACTGCTGGCATTGAATGCGTCATCTGGTAGTGGTTGATCTCCTTGTATGAGATCCAAAAACCTGTTGCCGGGTGGAAAAAAATAGTAAATAGTCGCCTTGAGTTAGATTTGAAATGTAGAAGTGGACGCAGACTTCTGCGCACCTTCTCAAAATCCGGTAAACTATTCGGCCATTATCGTTTTGAGGAATTAATATTGGCCATTTGCTTTTTGCCTGCCTAGCGCCCTATTGTCATATCACATCAGGTGGATTGTTATTATGATTCACTTAAAATAGATCAATGTCAGAGGTCGTTGACACCGAGATTCACAAACTAAACACAGTGTTTAGTAACAAATATTTGTCTTTAAAAACTTGAAATGTTTTAAAATATGACTGATAAGAGCACACATACAACCGAGTTGTGGACCTGCCCAGTAACGGCGCAGACAAAAGTTACTAATTGTATAAATACGATTTACTTTTCTTTGTGAATGTTGTTACACAAAAACCTTTATTATTCCTTAAATTTTTAGTACATACCTATCTTCGTCGCATTTAGGAGGCGGAGTTGCCTTAGGAGGTATTAATACAGGAGGCATTGTGGCTAGAATGCCAGGTGCTTCCGGCAATGGCGTAAAATATGGAGTTGTGGTCTCTTTTTCACAAAATTCTTCGTGGCACGTAAACGAGTTGTCTATACATTGACATTTTTTACAACCTTCTTCATAGATATGTCCAGGCTGAAAATTACGTATCACAGATGCATATTTTACCAAAATTACTTAACTTACTTTAATCGGTTGACCGTCATCGGTAACACACGGGCACTCGTCGAGGGAAACGCATTCGTGATCGTTAACCCAGAGCATATTGCTAGGACAGGAGTGTTCTTTGTTAGCCGAGACACACCCATGTTCGCACTTAACCCCCTCCTGACATAAACCCTTTTGTTTCACCAAGAAGGAATAATACAGACACAATTTGTCGCACTCTATAGCACACGGATCTAATATCATCTCGGGTGGACACATTGCTGAAATACAGATACAAATTATAATGTAATATGTTCAACAATTGTTGTCGGTAAATGTAATCAAGTTGCACTTTTAAATTTATCAAGCGCTGCTTATACACAGTTCAAGGTTTCACTTACCTTCTGCTTCAATTGGTTCTTCAAAAGGAACAATCGTAAGTACCGTTGTACTCAGTTCCTCTAAAAGTAAACAGTTTTAAAGGTAAGTATAAATATTAGTTAACTATTTATTACCACATTGGCATAAAACACGGATTTCGAAATCTGGACACCCTCTAGCATCTGAATTGCAAACTAATCCTCTCTCTAAGCTACATTCTACGTCTAAGCCTGTGCTCTTTGCGTCAATATGGGATTTCGCAGTTCTACATTCTATGTCGATCATCTGACTGATGTCGCATCTGTTGGATTCCTTTAGATTATTCTGGAAAACACATGTAGGGCCGATAAGAATTCAAAATTCAGGAAACTAATCAAGCAGTTTCTCGAAACTACCCCTAATATCTAAATGAGGATATACAATGAGGTATTTGAAAAATGATTTGCATCTATTTTGCCTCACATCGAACCTGGTGTGGTGATTGTCATAGATAATGCTCCTTACCATAGCCAAGGGATAGAAAAATTGGTAATATCTGCATGGGGAAAAGAAGAAATCAGGGAAAAATTGAATAGAAAACATATTAAATAAAAAGACACCACCAATACGCAGTTCAGTTGGTATCTGGATTCGACCCTGTCGGAGTGTTTCTTGCGTACCACTATTTCCTTTTCTTGAGGTGTTTTCAAGCTAATGTCGAAAATTGGATTCAAAGGTGTCGTGCGAGCATCGAAAATGGTGGACGTTTTAAGCATATGTTGTAGCTTGTTTTGTACTTGTACGTTTAAAAATTACTGGATTTTGCTTTTTGGTAAGTACCTAAATTATTTATAATACGTATGATCATTTGGAGGACTTGAATCTTTGGGTACTTTAATTACATATTTTTCAAATACGTAATTTGATTGAAAGTTAAGTTCCTGTTTTAAGAGATTCATAATTACTAAAATTCGAGCTAAAATTTAAGCACATCACTATCTTCGTATTATAAAATCGATACATTTTATTTTATTTATTTAAAAACTGGAAAGCAATCATCTTGAAGTTTACTAAATGTTTCACAATAATAGTTGTTTACATTTTTTCCGTAGGACAAGTTTGCCGCATGCACACGTGGTAGGTATCAGCAGATTAAGCTCTGTTACGTCATGATGAAACTCCCTAATATTAATACTCTGGCCATAGAGAAAAAAGGGAAAACTCCCGATGGGCCGCGACCCGAAATGGCCGCTTGGCCTAACATTTAATTAGGTATAATTCAAAATTTGAAACATTTTTAAAATAGAAAGCAAAAAAAAAATTCAAAAATTTAGTCGTTTAGTTGTATACTATTAGGTTAACAGGTCCATATGATTTAACAATACGCTTTCCTTGGTTTTATTTTCGTACAAATTGTGGTTTATTCTAGAATTAAGTTTTTAGATTACAGCTATCATATTTTCATGTCTTATTTAATATAGAATACAAAATCGTATTCTATGGTTCAAGCTTGATGGATTTAGAAAAGTCTCTAGTAAAAGTTACCGAGTAAAGCACTTAAAAGTAGTCGAATGCAAGGTAAAATTATCCACTGAAAAAAATAAAAGAAATCTTAAACTAATTGATGGATAAAATAAATAATACATTTAAAAATTTTCAATCTTCTTAACTTTGGAAAACTAGACATAAATAACGACTATTTCAAAACTGTACACTAGAAAAACTGTTTACTTTTTACTATGGCGAGCCAAGTCAGTTTAGAATTTTTTAGGGCCACTAGTTTGAAAAATTCCCGGGCCGCTTTTTTCTCCCAGTCCGGCGCTGCCTGTAAGTAATATACAACTTTTTTGTTCATTTATGATAACTCTATCCCATGCTGAAATAATGACAGTCAAACTTCCTACACCAAGTATTTTTGTCTTACCAGTTACTACTACTAGGTATATCATTTCCAAACCAAAATTGATGTGTTTATTTGTTGTTTTATATTTAATAATTTTTGGAACCTTTTAAAATGATACACCCATGGAATCCTAGTCCCACACATCTTACCTATCGCACGGATCTACATGTTGTGATTCACTACCCACTATTTTGGTACTGCAGTAGAGACATTTTTATTGTAAGTTACAAAATTAATACCCAATTTGTTGTTGTTTGTGTTTATGTTTGTGTTTAATGTTTAATAAGTGCGAGATGAAGAATGGCCTATAAATCAAGAAAAGAAATCCAAGATATAAAGAAAAAATACATTTTTTTCTTACCAGTACAATTGCAGGCGGCAACGGCTCCACTTCCTTACGCCGGCCTTTGGCCGCACTCTTCACTTTGCTGATTTTATTTTGATTGATCCACTTCGTCCATCCAGTTTTGCACTCGACGACGGCTTCCATTTGATGGGTGGTGAACTGCGGCTCGAGTGTTGTGGCCTCGCACGGTTGACCTTTACAGAATTTCTGTTCTCGGGAGCAGTAACAACTATGACATTCGTCTTCTTCCATCAGATCTCCTTCGTAATAGACGACACCGTTTTCTTCCAGACATACAGGCTTGCACGCGTTCCTCGGAATGCAGTCGAGATATGACGAATTCGAGTAGATAAAACCAGCGGCACATGGTTTTGGGGAACAGCCCTCTATGCAGGTATCCTCACCGCAGGTCTTAGACAGCTTGCTGTTTATAAGCGAGTTGTCGCAGGTTTCTATGGGGCAGGTAGAGATGCAGGGGCTGTATTTCGAGCAACGTTCGTCGCACTGCATAGCTGTGGATTTGTTATTTACGTTATTTATTATCGACACTTTTTTCCAAATTAGTACTCTTTAAAGATTTTTAACTATTTGAAAAATGTGTGAAAATATGTGTGATATTAGCTTCAATAACTCATATAAGGAACATAAATTTTAGTTAGATTTTAAACGTGACTGGCGACCAATTTTCTTGGTTTTTGCAGAGGACCCTCCGCCTTTACTACGGCAACGGAAAAAAAATCAACAAAGAATAGCGTCACTGCCAAATTAAATCTTAGGCTTTAGCCCAGTTACTGTAGCTGAAAATATAGTTAATACCTCTGAATTTTTTATAACTGAACCAATTTTTCTCAAAATTTAGAATTAGGCTCATCTTACCCCCCACTTTAAAGCTTATATATGCACTAGGTGTGCTTTTTGTTCTTAAGGGTGAAAACCACCCCTTATTGGAAAAAAAAGAAAAAATACAATTTTAAGCGTTTTATGTAATCAAATCTTTTTTATTTATGCAATATGAGTAATTTCATTGGCTATCTAACATGAAACTTAATGTATCCCAAATTTTCAACCCGAAAAAACCTTTAAAAACCACTTCTTTGGATGAAAAAATTTTTTTTTTAACTTGAAACGTTTTAGTCAAGCATTTTTATCAAATTAAAATTGATTTCTTGATTATATAATATTTTTTATCGATTGCAACTTTTCAACCCTTGAAATATACCCCTTCTTTCGAAAATAAAATGAAAAAATATTATTGAAAGAGTAGAAACATTTTAAATGTGCATTCGTATTAAATAAACATTTATTCCCTTCTTATAAAATAATTTTGAATTGATTGCAACTTTTCAACCCTTATTAATTGATACTTTAAATAACTAGATAGATTTCACAGGGTCTAACGACACTTAGTGTACGATAATTCAATAAACAAAGAAATCTAAATAAAAAAATTAGATAAATTTGGAGATGAATTTTTCGAGACAAAATGTCTGAATCTGGTTCGGGCTGAGGCAGTACCAGTATTGGCGGTCATGAAGGCTTGCAAAAAATGTAATAAAATTTACAGGGTCGTATTTAAAAAAATGAAGTTGATGATGGTCCTAGAGAGACGAAACGTTACATATAAAAATTGATTATGCCATTCGATAGAGGGCAAAAAGTGGCCATGAGAAAGTATTCTTCTTTTTTCAATACCACCTCAAACAAAGCTGAAATGAAACAAAAACAGATTTCCAAAATTTCGGTTTTTCTTCAAATATAAAGTTGGTCCCCTGATTACGCAACTTTGCCCCCATTTAAGCTAGTTCGTATCTCTTACCGTTTTTGAAATCCCGGTAGCGAGAAGTCGAATTTGTAACAGCTTGTACATGTGTGTGTGTGTGTGAGAGTGTGTGCGTGTATGTAGTATAGTGTGTATTATAATATAGTACTGGTTTATTCAAATATACACATACTAAATACATATATAAGTATACAACAAAGATCTAAATGCTTCAAAATTCTTGTTTGACCTAAATTTTCTTAAAATTATCACCTATACACGTGTTAATTTTTTTGACGATAACTTTCTTACTTTTTAAGATTTTTAATCGCACAAGGGCTCATTTTGCAGGGAAATGTAAGGGCTACGTGAACTGTTGAGTTGATCTTTTTTAAGCCCTTCATTTTTAAGTTTGAATATCATGCTTTGTAAGTGAGCCAAACACCCAAAACATATTCTTAGAACATAAATGAAGAAATCTATAAATGGATTGCATTTAATTTTAATTCTGTCGCCAAAGGCATTGATTTGTATATTAATTTTATCTTAAAAAAAAATTAGACTATCATGATATTTCGATCATATTTCCGTTAATTTTGATTCTAAAGACTTTTAAAACAGCTCATTTTAAAGGTTTTTCAAAGTACTTTAATAAAGGTTCAAATAGTTTTTTTCCTAATATTTATGGTTTTAGCGTTATTTAACGTTAACTGGTTCCAATTTAGTTTTTAGCTAACATATAATAATGTTTAAAAATTCATAACTCGGTTTATATTGCAATTAGAGAAATCAAAATAATGCCATTAAATTTGTTTTTTTATTACCTTTCTTTTTGTTCATTAAACTTTTTCGTTAAATCCAATGGTTTCAGAGTTATTTGCAAAAAACTGTCCGAAAACAAGCACTTTTTAAGTAAAAAATTAACATTTTCAATGACAAATTACTCGGAAAATATTGGATTATCGAAAAAACTTTATATAACATTTGTTACTGAAAATTGACTCCTATATGGTTATTTTGTGTGTAAAAATTTCCATCCCCAGGACAAAAGCACACTTCGGCACTATATAAGTTTTGTTCCTTGAGGCATTCCCCACATTCAGTCAAAATTTCACGTCAATCGGTTCAGTTATAAAGAATTCGGAGGTAAAAACCCTGAGTAACTGGACTACTTCTCACACCAAAATTTTAGCAAATTACAGATTACAAATTACAAATTTTAATAATTTACTTGTTTTTAATATTTGAAAAAAAAATGGAACTACCCTGAAAAAATTTTAACAAAAGTGAAATAAAATTATTTCAAAGCAAGATTATCCAATTTTTGAATTGGGTGCATGTTTGAAAAGGGGCTTATAAAATTTTTTTTTATGTTGTTCAAATGAAAAACTTACGACACAACTGCTGCGACCTCCATTTAATAGGGACCCCTCTGTTGTTACATTCTTGGGCGTACGCTGCTAAAGCCGTACACAAACATTCGCAGTCTCCTCCCTGATCACAGGCGCAACTGTCAAATACGCACTTATCGAAATAGTGACTCAAAGGTACTTCCGAGTGGCAAGGCACAAACAAAGGCGATTTCAGTACACCACACTTCTTCATAGCCCACACTTTTCTGTCGGGACGATCTTGGCAAGTGTCCTATAAAAAAATATTGCGATAATAACCTAAGTTCCCAGCAGAACGCAATTTTAAAACTAATGTGATAGAAGTTTACAAAAATTTAAACATTTGCAACTATCTTGTAAGTAAAAATCGAGGGCCAGAACATCACAAGTCAATGACCAAACCATGCACAGCAAATATAAATACCGGCCAGAGGACTTAATCTCTCAAATTATCAAGAAACCTAAATCAATATGGCAACCAGCCGAGAAATAATTGAATTTCCTGTACTTACCGTTACTTCAACAGCTTCCGGACAATAAGATTGAAGCTTCCAAGAGTCACCGAAGATATTAGCTGATACCTCAGGGATCCCGCCAGATGGAGTTTGGAAGTCATCAGCGTCATTGTCGTTATAATTACCGCAAAGTCCATTTATCTACAATAATGTAATGGTCAGTTTACAATTACATACACATTTCTCTTGAAATTACTCTGTTTTTCCATCGTGGGTCTACTTTGACGTAAGCTCGAGTTCCTTTGTCCCAGTGAACCACCAGACCTAAATCCGGAGCTTCCACGATGACGAATATACCTTTATCCCGTAAAATGAGGTGTTTGTATGTTTTGTAACTCGGCGTTGGTTTGTCTTTGGAAAGCGTGATGCTTTCGGAATCTCCACTCTTGGACACTTTTACCGTGATGGACTTTGAACAGGCGGTTCCAAGCGAACCGCAAGGTACGTTCTGGAAGAGGAAGTGTAAACTAAATATTGCAGTGCAGGTGTATAATTTACCTGAATGGTGATATCGAATGAATCAGTTTCCGAGCTCCCCTTGGCTAGGACGTAGTCGCATTGGCCTTGATAGTCGAAGTATTTTCCGTCGAATGTTTTATAATGCGAGTCTCCCCAAGCGCTACATTCGGCTGAGCACTGTCTGTCGGTGCATTTCCATTTTCCATTTTGGCAAACGCTTAAAAAAAAATGAAATGTAGAGAGTCCCAATATCTCGTGCACATGGAACTAACATAAATTTCTTGGGGTCAAAATGGGACGATTTAAGTGTAAAGTTGCTTAATCACTAATAATCGTTAAAAATTTACCAAACAGTACTAACCAGGTGTTGCAATCACTTTGCACCGTCGAATTTTCTTTGTAACTCCTACCCCCGTGGTGGCAGGGGCATTCCTTTGGTTTTACGCAGCGTTTGGTTGATGTATCCAGCACGTAACCTTCCTTACATTGACAACCGGAATGGCAAACGGAGGCCGAGAAGTAATCTGGCGAGTGCATATTCTGTAAGAAAGGTACATTTTAAGAATGCGTTCGATTTTACACATCTTACTGTATTTACTTTGCAGGTTACCGGTTCCACGGGTTCGCAAGTGGTGAATTCCATGTTGTTCGAAGCGTTGCACTTATTCCTGAGATCGTTGGCCTGCGGGAAGTCCTCGATTTCTTCGGGAGTGGCTAATTTACATTGCCAGATGGCGTTCACGCATGTGCTATAAAACATTTAAGTTCAAAGATCCTAAATCCACAGAGAGATATACTTATTGCATACCTACTGCGACAATTGGTACAAGTTTAAAAAAAAACAGGGAAAAGAAAGAAAACATTTTTTTCAGTACAAATAGTTAATAAATAAAATGTCACAAGAATATCCCCAATAAAGTAAATGCAACTAGGTAAACCTAAACAGGCATTTTGACAGTCTCGTTATGACAACTGTTGTCTGTGAAGAGCGATTTTCAATGTCATATTTGGAATTCCCACTTCAAAATCCCTCAAAAATAACTTTCTCGAAAAACCCACTCTTTCTGTCATTTTGAAAGTTTCGACATGACAGCTGTCAACTGTCAAGAATCATTTCTGAAGATTCGCAATCGTCAATGTCAAAAACCCCTTTACCAACATTATCCAAGATCTCGACTCGCTTCGTTAGTAATATGACACCGTTTTGACAGCTGTCAAGTGTCAAATTGTATTTATGAGCTCAAGTTCGTAATCAGCGACCCCAAAAACATAAGGATCCGTAGCGGAAATGTCACTGCATTCTCATGAAAAAATGCGCTTAAAAGGCTTAACTAAAAAAAAAACATCTTTTCTTCTTTATTTACCCCCAGCTCTAAATAAAAAACATCTCCACATACCGAACAATTTACGATTTCCCATCTATATCTGCTATTAGGAGTTTACACTCTATCAGTGTTTGAATAAATTTAGTGTCGACAGGAAAACAAAAACTTACCATAACTCGAGTCCGTTGGTAGCCGGCCGAACCTCCTTATACCCGGGGGGGAAATACAACCCGTCAAACTGACAGTTGCATCGCCCTATGGGTATACATTCCCCATTATCGTCGAGAGTTTGACCTTCCGGACAGTTGCAACCCTCGACGCACTGTTGTTTGCAGTCGGGATTTGTGGCGATGTCGAAGCAAGTTCTCGTGCAGGAGTTACCGCAAACCTGATATTTCTGTCCTCCCGGACAGTGAACGCCACATTCTCTCACTTCGCCTCTCCAGTTAATCTTGACACCTTTACGGGAACACTCACCGGCGTAATTCGCCAATATCGGGCAGAGACACTTCGACACCTAAATATTAAAGGTATTATTCCAAGAGAAAGTTATTAGAAAAAAATAACAGATCACCTGGAATTCGCAGGAGCACATGTCGTACATGCAATCGTCGTAAAACTTTTCCGGGTCGACAAACCAATGGCAATCTAGAAGAGACGTCACATTATTGAGACAATTTGTGTGAGTGAGAGGCTTTAATTACCTTTAAATAATTCTGATTTGATTTGGGAGCAGTATTTCTCTGCTGCGGGTTTTTTCTGAATATTTTTGTCGCACGGGTGTGAAGTTAGAACTTCGGGTATGTCGTTGCACTTTTCGTGAGTTTTCCACTTGTTGGCAAAAGGAATCACTGACTGTTCCACGTCGTCTTCAGGTGTTAGAAAATCGTCCTTTTGGTTGTTGTTGAAAGTTCCGCAGAGGCCCTAATAAATATAATAAACGTCGTTATCAATTAAAGTATTCATTTAAACATGGACTTACCCTTGTTTTCTCTTTAAATTCAGCTGGTAAATCAATATAAGCCCTCGTAAGACCGTCCCACCACACTTCGACACCATTCGGTAGTTTAACTATGAAAAAATGGTAACGTAATATAAATTTACTAATAACTAATAATATTAATAATTTTGTAACACAACCAGAATAATGAACATGAGATTGCAATAACAATTCGACGTATAATAAAAATGTCTTTTTAGACACACTCAAATCTTCATGGAACCTACACAGGTCTGGAAATCTATTGCTTACACATGTATGCCCGAGCGCAACAACACAGTGCTGCCAGTTTGTAGATTTTTCCTTCAGTTATAGGATTTTTTCAGTTGAAAATGTTAATTATTGTTCTATATGATTTATTTATACAATAAGCAAATATAGCACTGACGTATCTTTAAATACAGCGTAATTCACAATTTATCCAAAAAAAAATTTGTTTTATGCAATTTATAAATAAAGCATTGTAAAAAAATGCATGAAACTTAAGAGAAATTTCCCGATACTTCCAAATCTATAAAATTCTCTGAAAATGACAGATTTTCCATATTGGTATATACCGTATCAAAACATGTCCTGGGATCAGAAACATCAGGCGTGGAATCCGAAGATTTTAGCCTTAGCTAAGAATCTTGTCGTTTTCGGACTAGACTTTGTGGAGGCGTACTCACTATTACAACTCCTAGGCCTGCCTTGATGGTCTTTTCAGTTCTTATTGTTGGTTCTAAGGCTACTATGGATGGAACCGCTTTTCAATCATGATGAGGAACAGCAAAATGTTTGGAAGCATTGGATGCCACTATAGAACATTTCAAAGGGCCACCATTGTCTGAGGAGTGGTCCGGTCTGTAGTGGCCTTAGAACCAACAATAAGAACGGAAATGAAGATTAGGGGGGCTTAGGAGTTCTGATAGGAGATCTGCTTCCACAGAGCCGAGTCCAAGAACAACAGGGACAGATCATAGCTAAGGCCAAGGAAGTGCAAGGAAATTCTGTAACTGGCAGCGACGAGGTACATAGGCCAGTGCATAACAATCCCAAATGCTTTTTTCTGAGGTTAGTTTTTAATTTGTTTAAAAAACACTTGAAATATTTTTTTATGTTATACAGAACTGAAATTTTGTTTCTTCTCCTTAGTTATTCATAAAAAATTTAGCTTCTTTTTGTTATTTTAAATAAAATATTTACCTTTTATTTGTTAATTTTTACTTTCGCTCAGATTTGGGAACATTTGTTAGAATATGTTTTCATAATCATGTTTATTCCAGCAAAATATTTTAATTTTTTCAAATGTTTCTATTTTGAGTTTTTTAAACTTTTCCAATTTTTTACTTCGAAAAATAAAAGAAATCTTTTTACAGTTTTTTTGTGTTAGGTACACATTATATCCAATAATAAATTTAAATAGTTATTTTTCAATGTTCTGATTGAATTAATTATTGTCATTCATTTTTTGATACAAATAAAAAAAATATTCCGTAAAAAAATAAAAAACCTATTGCTCTTTTCTCTATTAAAAATTATTTTTTTTTAATTCACCATTCATTACCTAGTAAAAATATAGATGAAACACTCCGTATGTTAATTCCACCGATTGAAAATGGTAATTTGGAGACATCCTGGCCGTTTGCAACTACATCATGATTCTGTTTGAGCTTAATATTTTGCCCATTTATTTTAATCGTAACGGTTTTTGTGCAAGAAGGTAAACCGGTAGAGACACTAGCTGGGAAATTCATCGCCTAAAAATGATATTCATATATACGTGACATATGTAACAATATCAATATATTTACTTGAGAAATAGATCCAGCACAAGCGACATTCTCGGCTTCGATCGAGAAATTATCGTTCTTCACCAAATAGTAAGAGCACTGCCCCATGAAATCGAAAGCTTTTCCATCGAAAGTAACATAATGGGGGTCTCCGATTGCGGAACATCTCGATCCACAAGACACCTAAACTCGTCACATGTACCCGTTGCTCCAAGAGGAAATTTCAAAGTCTTACCTGTGTGCAAATCCACTGCCCGCTATCGCACTTACAAGTGTTGCAGTCCTTCGGCACGGAACTTCCCGCTGCGAAACTTCTTCCTCTAAGTCGACAGGGGCATTTTTCTTTAGCGATGCATTTGTTCTCATGTACTACGGTGCCTTCGGGGCAATAGCATCCTTCTACGCAGGGTCCGACATCTTCCGGTAGTTCCGTTGCGGTTCCACATCCCTGCTGACCCTTGGCAGGGCCGCAGGCTTTGTATATTTTACCTCCCGTACATTGCATGGCTGGAATTACACCACATTAAACGAAGATATAAAAAAGTTATCAGATGAGATTTGCATAAGAAGCGAAAATTGTGTATTAGGGTGTCCTGAAACAAATGGACCATACTTGAAGTAGCAGAGAGTAGCCTAGCGAGACACTAGTGATGCTTTCATAGTACATACGGATTAGTAGGTTGCTCTGCCAGTAGGCAACGGGCATCAATTACATACTTTGTAGGTTATATCTCACCCACAGATCAAGTTAACTTACAAACAAATCGAAAACACTTAACTTAAATAGTTATTTACACCATAAAGGAGGTAGGGATTATTTACCAGTCGAGGACGATTTTGCGCCCAAGCGGAGCGAGGGCTGACAATAGAGTCCGTTTTTTAGAGAAGTCGAGAACTTTAAAGTCACATTGGAGTTTGTGGAGTGAATATTCAATGATTAAGGCAACTATTTTCAGAGAAGAAGAAGTGGATATATCAAAATACCCCAAGCTGAGAGCATTTTTGAAACGTAAGACCGACGGCTATACACCTAAACAGTCAAATGTTTTTACAAGAGAACAAGTCTACGATTTTCTCGTTCAGGCACCAGATAACACATATTTGCCAATGGAGATAGTGACGGTCTTAGGCATTACAGGAGCATGCCCTTCTGATGAGTTATGCAAACTTACTTTAGACGTCAATTTAAAAAATTTCGATGACATTGTTCTAGTTACAATTCCAGATTCTAAAAATGGTATGCCACGTACGTTTACAATTACTTCTCGTCTGGGTTGTTTCTCACCTAGAAATTCTCAAGAAATATATCCAGATTAGATTGGAAATTAAAACTGAAATTTCACGCTTTTTTATGCGCTATCAAGCAGGTAGATGTTACAACCAACCAGTCGGCAAGAATACCCATTCTATGATTCCTAATAAGATTGCACAGCTTTTGAAACTAGAACATCCTGAAACATATACAGGCCATTCATTCCGAAGAACATCGGCAACGTTACTGGCTAATACAGGAGTTGATTTATTAGCAATAACAGACATGGTGGGTGGAAATCAGCCACAATTGCAGAGAGTTATGTTGCTGACAGTTTAAGTAACAAAAATGAAATAGCCAACAGGATTCTTTACAATGACACTTCAACTCCAGGTTCTAGTAGTATGTCGCATCATGCTGTTTTAATGGATCAATCAGATAATATTGAGCCTCCGGTAACTGAAATGGAGCGGTCAAATCATTTTGAGAAAAATGCGACAATTAGTAAACGTGAGGGGAATAATTATCCATATTTTATAAATGTTACTTAAATGTAATAACTGTACAATTACTATAAATATTCATTCATAATAATTACTTAATAAACTGTAATGTTCATCAAATATTTCTATTTATCCTCCTAGGGGAGGTACGTTACCTCACTTACCTCCCATTGTTCATAGCAACTTCGACTTCTACGGTAAAATCCACTTACCTCCTTAAAAACAATGTATGTCTATTTACTATAATGGGAGCAGATGAAAGTATATGCACTCCTAAGGGTCGTTTTTGACATAGGCAAAGAGCATAAGCTTATTTCTTACTTAAAAACAGATTGCTAGTATTTTTTTTTTTTGAAAATTAGTAGAGATGAAAATTGTACAAAGATAACTTCATCTAAATCCTGTTCTTCTCAACCAACAACTCTTGAAATATAGTTCACTCATTTCTGAACACCCTATATATTTATTAAATTATAAAAATATTATATTCTTATGTTATATGAATTTTTAAAACATATCGAGGGGTCATATCAGAAGGGCGTATGAACCAAATCTGAAATTTTACAAGCATACGCCTTTCTGATATAGTTTTGCAAAATTGGTTCATACGCTTAAATAAAATGCGTTAGAATAGTGTTGATGTTTATGAATATATGTACGCCCTTCTGATATATTAAGCGAATTGATTAAATGAGGTCATACGCCCTAAAAACACAAAACCGACCATAGTGGCTCTTACGCCCTTCTGATATGAGACCCTCCATATAGAACTACTTACGACAAGTATCTGCATCCCTCCAATTAGTTAGTCCTGTAATTCCTTTAAGAGAACAATCTTGGACGTAAACATTAAGGGCTTCGCAGGCACAAATAAATCGGTCGTTTTCTTTACAGTTACAATAATCCCACCTACACGCATCCAACATGGAAGTTATATCTACCACCTACAATCGATTTATTCCAATATCACAAAATGTCTGCGCTATACAAACAATTTCCATGAAGGTATATATTTCAAAAAATTTCCACAAAGTGATTATTTTGACCCAATAAATTTTTAAGAAATTGTCGAATTTTAAAATAAATAGCAGTCACGATGGCAATAAACCACACATACAGGGTGTAACTTTAACTGGGGGTCAGTTTTTTAAGGGTAACAGTATGTGTTTCCTTGAATTTTTAATTCCTACTAATGCAATGTTTTCACTTCTACACTTTAATCAAAGCAAAGTACCAATTATAAAGCGTGAGCTAGTGCACATGGGTGTGGCATCATCGAAAAATGTCTGCCATTTTGAGGTCTGAAAAAGGTAAGTTAGTTAATGAAAGTAAGGGTGGTTTTAAGGGCTGACCTGTGTTTGAAAATTTGGAAAATTAATTTCCTTTTGCATAAAATAATTAGTTTTTCACTCATCTTAAAATGTCTGGCAGTAGATGCAAAAATAGACATTAATAAATATCTAACAATTTTCAAATGCCAGACGGTTTTATATAGCCGAAAACTTGAACTTGCAAGAAGATAAAAAAATTCATTGTTTACTTTTTGTCTGGCAGTCGAAACAATGAAAATTTTTATTATGAAAATGATAAAAATATTTTGTCAGACGCTTTCCAATGTTCGGAGTCGAGTATCTCTGTGGAAAATTATGTGAAAATGTTTAACATTTTTCAGTGATCTTAATGTACAAAAAAAGAGGGCCATTGTGTTTGCGGTATTATATGTTATTCATTTTTCAATGCCAGACAAATTGTCTGGTTCGAAAATTTATAAATAAATAAAAAAGGTGTGAAAAAATTTATTTTTATCTGGCATTTTGCATTTTAATTAGAAATGCGTATATATGTAAACACAACATATAAATGCCAGACAAGTTGAACTGTTCGAAAATGTATAAATGAATTAGAAAGTTACAAAAAAATTAACGAAAACTTGGTTTTCTTTTTTTTTTCTAATTTAAACGATTTATTTTTGTCTGGCATTTTGCATTTCTATTGAAAATACATATTTATACTTCAGGTTAAAACGCCAGACAAGTTGGGTTGTTTGAAAATTAAAAAAAAATTAAGTTAAATTAAATAGAAAAAATTCATTAAAACGTCAGTTTTTTTTTTGTCTGACAATTCGTTTTTTAATAAAAATACACTTACAATCTCAAATTAAAAATGCCAGACAAGTTGGGCTGTTCGAAAATATATAAATAAATAAACAAAGTTGTAAAAAAATACAATTTCTCATTTTTTTTTCGAATTTTTCCCCTTTATATTATATGCTGTAATTACTAGAGAAACATACTCAAGATACTATTTCCTACTGAATCTGATGCTGTCAACGGAAGTGACTTACCTAGTCAAGAAAAGCTGGAAAATAGGAAAAAGCTCCGTAAATTTAAAAAATTCACATTTTTTAAAAATATTTCAATTAAGAAATATAATTGCATAAATAAAAAGTGCTTATTACAAGATGTTTCCCAAATAATTATAATATAAATGGAAAAAGTAAAAAAAAAAATGAGAAAATATATTTTTTTACAACTTTATTTATTTATACATTTTCGAACAGCCCAACTTGTTTGTCATTTTTAATTTGAGTTTGTAAGTGTATTTTTTATTAAAAAACGAACTGCCAGACAAAAAAAAAACTGAAGTTTTCATTAATATTTTTACAACTATTTAATTTAATTTAATTTAATTTTTTTTTAATTTTCGAACAACCCAACCTATCTGGCGTTTTAACCTGAAGTATAAATATGTATTTTCAATAGTAATGTAAAATGCCAGACAAAAATAAATCATTTAAATTAGAAAAAAAATACCTTTCCTTAATTTTTTTGTAACTTGAATTCATTTATACATTTTTCAACATCTCCACTTGTCTGGTATTTGTATATTGTGTTTATACGCATATTTCTAATTGAAATTCAAAATGCCAGACAAAAATAAATCATTAAATCTTTAATATATTTTTTACGAATTTTCTTTTGTATGCCACAATTTTTTCATTTTCCAATTTGTCTGGCAAATTTTTTGTGACAAGAAATATGGATATTAATTTTAAGTACCCGAGCTACCAGACAAATAGCGATCACTGAAAAATGTTAAAAATTTTCACATAATATTCCACAGAGAAACTCGACTCCGAACAATGGAAACCATCTGTCATCAATTTATTTTTATCATTTTCATAACAAAAATTTTCATTGTTTCGACTCAGACAAAAAGTAAACAATGAATTTTTTTTCTTCTTGCAAGTTCACCCCTATAAACCCCCCTTTCGGCTATTTAAAACCGTCTGGCATTTAAAAATTATTAGGTACTTATTAATGCCTATTTTTGTATCTACTGCCAGACACTTTAAGATTTGTGAAAAACTAATTATTTTATGCAAAAGGAAATTAATTTTCCAAATTTTCGAACACGGGTCGACCCTTAAAACCACCCTTATTTTCATTAATTAACTTATCTTTTTCAGACTTCAAAATGCCAGACATTTTTCGATGACGCCACACCTATGTGCGCTAGCTCACGGTCTATTATGCAAATATATAAATTTAAAATACAAAATGTGTCCTACTTACATTTTGACACGCGAGAAATCTCTTATCCGACAGCAATCTTTTACAGAATAAAGTGGCTTTATTTGCCAACGTATCTTTCACTCCCGTGTCCTGACAGACGTGAGCATCGTTGGGAACATCATCGCACACACCTAAAAAACACATTTGTGAATTCCATGCGTATTTCACAAGTTTACTTACTCACTTTCTAGGTCGTCGACTTTCCAACTCTGAGCCAGAGTGGCGATATTTCGAGGCGTAAGTCTGTCCGTAGTTAATAAATCGTTTTGTTGGTCTCCGTCAATCCTCCCGCATAAACCTTCCGTTCTATTCCACAAGCTTTCCTTCACCTCCACTTGTACCAGTTGCTAAAAAATTATTGGTTAAATCCTACAAACACAGAAAATTTATAAAATATTTACTTGGCCGTCCCATCGAATCTTCGCCCCCACAGCGTCTAGCGTCACCACGATGTGGTGAGCGGACATTTCAACACGGACTCCGGGTAACTGTCCGGGTATCGGAAGAACTTTCTTGGACGTCGCAAAAATCGGTACACCTTCAGGAGATCTTCGCAGGTAATAGTCTTTGTCTTGTAGGTATATTTTTACGACCGTGTGGCAGTGGAGAGGATTGGAATAGCAGTCTTCGTGATTCTGGGTGACTATGCTGAAGGTGTTGTCCACGGCGTCTCTTGCAAGGACGTGGGAACACTTCGATTCAAAGCTGAAATGAATTTTCAACTTACAACCACATTTTTTTAAAAAAGATTCAAAACATTGTTAAAAACATGGCAGCAAAATAAAATATAATCACCTGTAAACTTTCCCATCGAATGTCTTGTAATGCGAACCTCCCCAGTGGAAACACGAACCAGGTTTGGGAAGGTTTTGCTCGAATATAACGAATTCATTACCAATGCCGTTGTCCCCGCCCCCATAAATTCCTACCGAGACAACATCTAGACTGTTGTCAGTAACGAAAGTCTCCGGTTGACCCCCTGGTTGGCCCCCCTGGAATTAAGAGATAACATATATCGCAGCGGTTAACAATATCGCTTAACAGAAATTTGTGCGAGGATATTCACGTAATATTCTCTCGAATTCATCTCTTATTATGGTATTTAAAAAGTTATGGGAGGTTTGCTTGCGATTTCAAAGCAATATTTAAAGAAACCATTGAATTTTTCAATGCATTTTTACACATTTGGTTTGAATGTCTTTTTGAGGCTACAGCAGCTAATTTTTGTAAAATCCTCATAGTTTCCGAGAAAAAATTATTAAAGTAATATTTTCAACCCTTACATAGCCAGACCACTGTAGTCTCTAGCATCATTCGCGTTGTGCGTTGTGCGCAATGCACTCTCCACATGGCCCCAGGTGATTCAGAATACTGAAATCCGATTTTGATAGTGTTTACATTAGTTTTCAAGTGTCGAAAATGGCTTACGTGTGTAGCAACTCGGAGATAATGGATATCGTTTTAATTGATGGTGAAGCAAGACAGCATTTGTGTTATGGTGGAGCAAGACAACATTTGTGTTAGTTCGTAGAAACTAGATAAGACGGGTCTAAATGCATTTACAAGTCGATGGACAAAATTTTGAACAGTTGTTGCAAAATCAGGTATGTGAAATTGTTTTATTAATTAAAACCATAAATTAATTTTATTAATTGATAACAACAATAGCGGCAGAAGCAGTTGAATTTTTTTTATTTCTCTCCTTGGGAAATATTACAGTTTGCCGCCGTGTGGATCGCCTACTTTAGAAAAGTTCTTGCAATCTCTGATGGATAAGTTGAATATTCATTCAAAATATTGTGTCGCGTTGCAAGGTGTTGAAATTTGGTTATCTTATATTTAAGTTTTATTTAATTTTTCGAGTTTTATAATGCTGCAACTTTAAGATAAATAAATATTACACTTTTGATCATATCTTCCTCAAAATTGGAGACAGATCTATCAAACGTTATATCTACGTAACTTCGAGAAACTTTTCGTACTAAATACGTAAAAATTTACATTTAAAACAACATGAGTTTGGTTTATAAGTTTGAGATGCAACTTTCAACGGTTTTTCCAAATACTGTTTTACGATTATAAGAAAATCACCTACCATTTTTTTTCTTAGAGTAACAGTCAATAAACTAACAAAGGAAGAGAGGGAATTTATCAAAAATTACTTACATAACCATATAGATTTGACGGAACAAACGGATACTGGCCAGGAATATTAAAACTTGGTACCACATGCACAGATTGGGCTAAAAATTTCAAATTTATTAGACTATATCTGTAATCGCTTCATTTGATTTTGAATTTCAAAGATGGAACTATAAACTTCAATGATTAATTTTAATTGAGTACTTTTTTAAATAAAAATTTACTTACGGTAGACGCACTTAGGGATCGGAGTGGGCAAGAATATTCCTTGGGAGTATAAACAAGTATATACCGGTTCGGGCTGAAATTCAAAAGGAATGCCTTCGGGACAGGAAATAGAACAACTGTATGATTCACTATCGCCAGAACAGTTGTATCCTCCGTTAGTCGGCAGCTTTCTGAAGCTACAGACGTCGATTTCTATAAATTGTAAAAAAAGTTTTATATTAAATTTTTGTTTTTTTTTGCATCGGTCAAATCTACCAGATATTAATAAAAAAAATATGTACAATCTTTAAAATAAAAAGACGGTAAAATAAACGGAGGGAAACGATACCTGTTTGCTGTTTTTATTGAGACCTGTATCATTTTGGAATAAATACAGTGTGGCACATTAAAAACCGTAGCAGTTAGTCAAAGTTTCATCTATCTAGATGAAACTTCTTCAGAGACGTTTGGATAAGTGTGATATTTTTTTAATACGTCGACCTTGCAGGCTTCCGTGGTAAGCGTTATTGGTTACACAATTTCTAAGCTGGTTGCTACCTCGTCCGTTTAAATTACTTGACGTTTCGAGACATTTATTGGTGTCTCCTTCAGAAGCTTTCAAAACTTCTGAAGAAGACACCGATAACTCGATCAAACTCAAAATTAAGTAACATGTCCGGCTAAAATTAATTAAAAATCTCGGCTAGCTAAAAATTTCTTACCATATTGACACTGAGATCCCCGGAATTCGAATGGACACTGGCAAACGTTGAACGCTAAGCAAACCCCTCCATTCTGGCAAGGAGGGTTGCACGTTGCTGTAAACAAATTTGACCAACATGTATTTTATAGAAATGACCATTTTATAAAAAATTCAGTTCCTTACAAAAATTTCACGAACACAAAAAGTGCCTAATAATCGACCCCAGAAAATGAAAGACGTCTGTTTTGTTGATCAAGAACAGAACATAAGAAAAACATATATTTGTTGCGATATTTATAAAGGCTCAAGTTTTTAATATATTTTATATTTTCCAAATACAAAAAACATTTAACTTACCCTGGCAGTCAGGAACGGTAACCCACTTCTCTCTGGCCGGTATCCACTGTCCGTTACTACACGTCGCTGTGGTAATGGCGGAACCATCGGGGAATTCATGGCCTCTCAAGCAGGTTATAGTGCATTGCCTTTACGAATAATAAATCTTATGAGATATGTGTCGATAAACTTAATGTCTGAACTTACGTGGCGCTACATTTTCTGTGTGAGTTCCTTGGCATCGGTGGATAATTCAGACATGGTCTATTTTCAAACTGGCACTGCGGTCCTGAGAAGTTTTCGGGACAATTGCACTGGTTTGGCGCTACACATATGCCGTTGTTTTGGCATGGCGGTGAACAAACAGCTGCAGATAAAAGTTAAAAATTAAAAAACCATCAGCTAAATACTGTTGAAAATGTCAACACTGTCAAACTAAACACTAATTTTGATCTTCTACGTTGAAATATTATGCTCTTTGACACCAACACAGAGGTATTTCTAAAGTTAACCTCAAAGACAAGCCGTATTAATGATACTGTAGAAAACTACTCTGCGGACTAATGCCCCAACCAGCTTTGAACTACACTTACAATAATCTGTTAAATATTTTAAATCTATGTAATTCGACGGTTTTATGTATCTAACAATTTAGTGAGCTATGAATTTTATTAAAAATGATGCATTTATCAGCGTACCTATTTCAAAATATCTAAAAAGAAAAATCTTACGTTCACAAGGTGGAATAGATATCCAGTCGGTTCCCAGAATTTTCCAGCCTGTATTTTCACAGTATATTCTGAGTTGAGATTGTCCATTAGGAAAACGATACTGTTGTCCACAAAGGGCCTCGCACTGATTAGGATTGTATCTAGAGCAACGTATGTTCACGTTAGCTGGTGCCGGGTATTGACTATGGCAACCTAAAAAAAAATATCGTATTCAAACAGATTTCAAATCCAATATAACTTTTTGGAAACCTTAAAAAATAGAATTCTCTCCATTTTGGGAGATATTTTGGAAAATATAAACTTTGGAATTTCCATTTTATCATTTTGGGGGTTTATTTAAGGACCTACATGAAATTCAGAAACATGTTAAGGTTGTGCAAAACCATACTTATCGTATCAACTTGAACGTCACCTGTTACATGGGTATTGTATAATAATGAAAACGTAATAATGACAGTTGGTAGAAGGAAGCGCAAAAAACAAACGCTTAGATGGAGAATTCTGGAAGGAAGCCTAAATAGTTGAAGTGAGAACAGTGTGGAGATGGGAGTAAGACGATCGGTGGGCAGTGTAGCAAAATAGTGAAAAATTAAAAGTGTTTAACCGGTATTAGTTAGCAGGTAATTATTCTCTAAGTACTTTGTTGTTAATTGTTCAATATAATCTTATGATTGTGATGATTATAGACGTTTCATGATAATAATTCTGTATATGTTTAGCCTTCATTGTCTTATGCTCAGGGGCGTATATTTTTCTAATGTAAAATTGTTACAATTATTATTAAAGATTGCTCATTATTTATTGCATGTTAAAATATGTATATATTGTCATGACTGCCCGTATATTGCAATAACAACTCCTTTGTTTCACATTTAACTTGTTTTGTCATGATCACGTTGTTCGAAAAACAAGTAATAAAGCATTTCTTGTGCTCACTTTATGCCATACGCATATAAGAACTTTGTTGAATTTACTAACATTTTCGCCCGTGAGGAATGAATCTGTAAAAAGAACAATTAAATACAAAAAAGAATTGCTAAAACAGATCTTCCGAAATCTCAACTCATATATGGATTGCCTCCCGTATGGGACTCCAGTACCTTTTGTCATTGTTATTTATCTGTTATATATTTGTATGAATTCTTATTGTGAATTTTATTGTATTTACTTGATGTTTTCCATGCATTGTATTATGTCTCAGGAGAAATAAAGCATATTATTATTGTTATTATTATTACCTTCCGGCCCTGCCAGCTAACTAACACCAAACCTTTTCAGTTTTACTTGGAAGTGTGTATGTCTAATTCAAGTGAGGTGACATTTAGTGACACATTAAATGAGTCGGGCGTTAATTATCATTAGCAAAGGATCCTAATTTATGCCTTTTGTTAGCGGTTGTTTTTGTATTTATATTTGGGTAGTTAGAGCAACGATCGTGGGTTTCTCTGCCATACTCTTTCCCCGCAGGAGCTCTAAGTGAGCCTGGCACTCTCATTTTATGTTAAATGGTTGTTAATGTTTTTGTTCTTTCTATTTGTCACATGTTTAATTTGAAGACTATTGTACGTAAATAATAAAATTAGGTGTATTTACTTTGTTTTTGTTTTATAAAATTAAACCATACTTCCCCTCTTTAAAGTTAGTAGCCAGTGCCTTTCGGTGAATTAAAAATTGATGTATACAACGTAGGTATTCCTCATGACGATCACATATTTCTGGCCACAACTATGTTTACATATTTTTTTTTTCGATCGAACCCGGGGTTGTTATACTACAAGGTTGTATTCGCTGTTCAGATTCAAATATTCAGTGAGACAGTACAACTATAACTATCATCCAGCTTCTTCTTTTTAAATACAAATGTATTAATATTATTGCCCTATTTGAATTCCCTTGCGAGTTCAAAGATGATATTGTTTAGTTCCGTTTCGGACTGGCGAACGTTATCATGAGTTATTTTTCTACGACAGTGTCCATCAATTTTTGTGTACGTTAAAAGGGAAAAGCAAATAGGAAACTGGCATCATTATGGCATTATGTTATAGGTAACGATTATTTTTCCCATTTTTATAAATATTTTTTTATGTCGTCTTTCTCAACCTTTATAAAAAAAAATTACATTTATGGTGGACCATTCTGTACTTAAATAAGGACTTCTTTTCAAGATTAAATTTCGGATAAAATTTCGATTGCGGTAAATAAAAACATTTGTTTTGATAAAGAATAAGTCTTAATTGCCAGATATCTTGTTGATAATTGTTTAATTGCGGAAATAGCGGTTTAATAATACAAATACGGCTTATCGTTTACACCCACAAGAACACGCGGGCAGAAATTAGTGCTTTAAAAAATTGCATAACGTAAATAAGCTTTTCTGGAAAGTCCCGATAAGACCCCATAGTGAATTGAATTGCGTATTTTTCATGATTAGTTATCTATTTTTATGTCTAGCGTATTTACTTTATCGTAGTGCGTATATTACCAACTGCTATGTTCTAAGTCCTAACTACCTACTACCACAGCCAATTCTAAATACTAGCCATCCTACTATAGGGAAACTCGAAGTAAATTGGTTAGTATACTGTCATTGAATGTAGACCACACGACCTCTCTCCTTAACTCTTAATGCTTCTTAACAAATAAATATAAATTATCCAATTATAAAAGAATGCGATATGTTCACAATTTCTTTGAAACAAGTAAAAGATGCGTGCCCTTAAATTAATTTTTAGTTAAAGGCCTGTCTCATAATGACTTATTTTTTATTAAATTTTTCATATTAGGTGAGTTTTAAGTTGTAAATGTGGAATACACAAATTGTTAGCTTACCTTTCTTTTGAGCAGCAAATAATTAACACTGTCACTAATTCTCAGGCCTTATTTGTCTAACTTTTAAACATCTTCGTTATAATTTATAAAAAAAAACACCGTTCTGCATGAAACCCGGAAACATCCGAAGAAATCACGACGTTGGCCGATGGGCAAACCCGCAGTTCGGGGTTGGCGCGAACACCCCTAGTTTATACTTATTTTTATCTAGCAACTAATTATAATTAAGGGATTATTAAAATTACTTATTATAAGGTTTGCACAATTCTTATTTTTTGAGAAACGTAAATAAGTATCTCAAAATCGTAAATAAAAGCAGTAAAGGAAAACAAATATTTACTTCGAACCGCTGCGCTTCTTCGAATAGCAGGCTTGCCATTTTACTACCTTGCGCAAAGGGTCTAGGCAAAGGGTTGTCCCTGAACGAAAAAATAATATGCACAGTTTTCCCCAAAATTAGCTACATTTTATCAAATTGTACTATATCGAACTTTCAAAAGCAATAAATCTTGCAATCCTAAATTAGAAACTATAAAAACGGCTTTCTGAAGTTTTATTTTGCCTCCAGACCAGGGAAAAATCCTGTTGTACATTTATATCCTTATTTTACAGAGACATAAGGCTTTTTTTCGCGAGTGAAGTCGTATGTTGTAGTATGTGTAGTATGAGTGAATATTACGATTTTGCGAGAATAGTCAGTCATTTAAACTACTATGTGACCTCACCAGTTTAGATCAAATGACTGAACTCTTCACCCTTCAGCTGAATATTCTGTTAGTATTATTCAACTAGTATTGTCAGCCGGTAACTTAACCTTTTTCTTTTTGACATTTTGTTTGAATGAGGATAAAAATCGTTCAGCAAAATGATGGATTCTGATACAGATGTTTTAGTAAACGTAGACGTTGAAACAGCAAATATTTTACTTAATGGTCGCAAGATTAATTTTTTATATGGGACATATTTGCGATCCACTTTGCTTCAGGATTATCCTCTTTTTTTTTGTGACCTAGGCCAGAGATAATATTGGTGGAATCATTTGTAATTCAGGTCTTTTTCGTATGAATTTCATAAAAAACCGACCTAACCTCTTTCTAGTTTAATTTTTTTATATAAAAAATTTAAAAACATATATGGGGAGCCTTGAAGCCATATGTCAAAGTCGTCACAGTATATGACAGGTTGCACCACTGAATAGTGAATATATACATTTTCGCGATCTGTTCAGGTTAGACAAGGTTAGAAATAAAATTAAAAGAGATAGAAACAGTAACTACAAGTCAGACGTATTTAGCAATATTCACTCGCGAAAAAAAGCCTACAGGTAAAGGCTATTTTTCTCTTATAAGTAAGTATAACTCCAGAGATAACTTGACGTAAATAAACTCGTAGTTTAAAATAGGTACTCATCGCGCTATTATTCTAAACAGAAACAGTTTTGTTCCTAGAGCAATCCAAAACAGTTTCCACAAATCAGATGACGCGTTAAATATTATTCCAAGCAATAAGGGTTTTTTGGCGAGCCAAACCACATCAAACCCGGTTAGCTCGAATTTGATTGTGTTAAGAGTTTGAGTTAACATTTGACAGAACTCGCAAAAATTCTTTTGGTTTGGATATCTAATCAATAATGAAATCGTAACCTATAATCTATGATAGTGCTCGTAGCTCAAGTTGTTTAATTATTTCTTATATACTATAGTTGTTATTCCTAATCTGAAATGCAGATCCATGAAAGAACGTTAATGTATGGTTATTAAATCAAAATGGGTTTACCTTGTTCACAAATATTATCTATTCAAACGCAAATGTATCGTCTAAAAGGAAGTTAATAAAGATCTATACAGTACAATATATAAAATGCATATTTACCATCTAATAAACGATTAAAGTTATTTGGATCCTCGATTACTATTTTTTTATTATCAATTTCAAATATTACTTTGTATTTTTTGCAGTGAATCCATTACCAAATTTTTTTATTTACAACTTAACCTATCCAAACCTCTAAAAAAACGAAGTAGTGACTACTAGGTACGAAACAGAAAATACATAAACAAAGATAGAAATATTAACAACCCACAAGTCCGGTTTGATGGTTAGGCAAACTCTGCCAAACCGGGTTAACAACATTTCTCGCCAAAACGGCAAACCGCAACAAACTATAGTTAACCGGGTTAGCGGTTTTCTCGCCAAAAAACCCTTAATGAATTTTGAGGCATATTGTAAACATTACATCAGAATGCGCATGCGTCTCACATTTTGGATTGCTCTAGGAACAAAACTGTGATTTGCAAGATGCAGGTAGTTTACACGTTTTAAGGCCGGTGTCCCATGCATCCGAATTCCGATGTACGATATCCGAAAATATTTTAATTCGTACGAATGATAATATTATAATTCACATGCATCCGAAATTAATCTCATAGAAATCAAGTATAGAACCATCAAATTTATTACAAGATGAAGGTGAAACATTTTCAAATGACAACCATAGGAATACATCGTAGAAAATATACGTAGTATTATATTTTCTACATTCGACATTATAATGTAACATTTATTTGACTGTAAATATACCAAACAACAATCATAGCATGTTAAGAAATGAAAAAGTGAGGTTAAAAAACGTACGATTTTGGATAAAAGTTAAAATTATTTCTACTTTTTCCGACAAGATATGAATTTAAAAAATTTCGGATGGAAATGAGCGGTAAAAATTTGAATGTATATTAACCAATAGAAACACTTTCGGACCTTCGTATCGTCGGAATTCGGATGCATAGGACACCGGCCTAAAAAGTAGGTATTATTTTGCTACAATAAAAATTAAAATTTTGACGAATGCCTGATGAATACTTACTACCTGGAAAAGCCGAAATTTCAAAACCTGGTCGAGCCGTTTTCACCCCAGTTTTCACTCCAGTTTTTACCCCCGTTTTCACTCCGAACGTCTTTAATCCAGGTTTGGTTCCGTATTTATAATACGCGGTCTTTCCTCGAGGAGTTGGAGTTTTATAACCAGTATGGGTACTCCCCATACCAGAAACTTGCCTGAAAATACACTCTCCTTATTATCACTATTAAGTATTTCGCATATTTTGAATTAATATTACACTCCAGTCGATAATATCAAAAAAGTAACTCGAAAGAAGTGACAGCAAATTGAAAATAAGTGATAAAATTACGTTTTTTTCATCACATATTTTACTGCCCATGAAAATATAGACGATCTACCGGAATATTAGTTATTTTATGTTGTGGGCAATTAAATTACCTACAATTTGGTATCTAAAATTATATTTCACCTATTTGTTAAAACTGTAAAATAAAATCGGACGCGGAAAAATCAGGTTTTGAAAATTGCCCGCATTATTACTGCAAAAAGCGATGGATGTTGATGAAATTTATGGAAAAGACGGTCAATCTAATGAACAACATTTGTACTAAAGACCGATTTAATTGACTGTGAAATTATTGCTCCAGGTATTTGTTTAAAGTTGAAATTAAGCTGCCCTTTACAATACAACTAACAATGTTGGACGTGAAAAACAGAGATATTTTTAACTGAATTTGAAACGTTCAAGTAAAAAATCTTCAAATACTTAATTAACAATTATAAAATTATCTTGGGAACAAAGAGGTGCAGATGATTTCTCTTTTTTTTTAATTATACCGTAAAAATAAGCTCTATTTAATGTAAAAAGAGCGAATTGCCGAGCGGCTTTTGCTTTTTGCACGTCCTACTTTGTTAGCTGTAAAGGGTTACTTAATTTCAATTTTATGAAATTTTTCTTTTTCGATACGTAACTTTGGATCAATGAGAACCTATATCTCCGATATTAACTTCTAAAATTGACCTTTAATAGCTAAAAAAAAGGAACGAAATTAATTAACAAATACCCAGAGCAACAATTTCGCGGTCAATTGAACCTGTCTTTAGTACACATATTAACCATTGGATTGACCGTCTTTTCCATAAATTTCATCAAGATCCATCGCTTTTTGCAAGAATAATGCGCAATTTTCGAAAACTGATTTTTCCGCGTTTGACCTTTATTTTACAGTTAACAAATTGGTAGGTACCTTAAATTGTAGGTAATTTAATTGCCTACAACACAAAATAACTAGTTTTCCGATAGGTCGTCTAATTCAAGTTTCATGGACAGTAAAAAAAGTGAAAAAACACGTAATTTTGCAACTTATATGCAATTTGCCAACTTAGCGTCATTTCTTTCTAGTTACTTATTTGATGTATTATCATTCTTCCTTGTCTTAAATTGCAATAAAATGTCTACTAATAAGTTTTTTACATTCAAACTCTAATTGGACTGTAGTATTAAAACCAGAATGTCAAACAGGTGATGGTTTTAATCATCTACATTTATTATCTAAATGCATGTATTAAATGATAAAATTTAATTTTTGTTTTTGAAAACAAATGTTTTCTACGACATATAAGTTTCCCTACATTACAATGTGTCAAAAAATATAAAGGAAAAAAAATGTTTTCATCTTTGACTTCCTGCATATCTGTTATTACTATCTTTTGTACATGTTGGTTTAGATCGGACAATTTTTTTTCCAGAAACCTTCCAATACAGTATGGCCCATTCGTTACAAAACACCTTGTATGTATATGAGTTATCTACAGGGTGTCCCGAAATTCATGCAACAAACTTTCGTCACAGATTCTTAAGACAAATTTAGGGGACCCGTATTTTTTATTTTTGCCAAGTGGCCCCCTCTTTCGGAGTTACAGCCCCCTGAAGTCCACCCCAAAGAATAATCTTTTTTTATATCTCAGAACCCTATTGTACGAGAATAACTAAATTTGGTACACAGTAGTTTTATGACATGTGGAATCTGATGGTGCTACGTTTTTTGGCGGGGAACCTCATTAAGACAATTTTTCGTGGGCCCCCTTGTCTTTGGAGCCAAAAAAGTTTGGTCGCAAATTTGAATTTCTTAAAAATTTAACAGTCCACTAGAAAGAAAATTTAGAAACTTTTTGTCCCTTTATACTTTTTTTGTAAAACGCAATGTTCTCGAAAAAAATGTCAAAATGTAATCGAATGCATATCGTGATTTGCCATTTTCCTCAAAAACATTGCGTTTTACGAAACAAATATCAAGAGATAAAAAAGTTTCTAAATTCAATGGCTTTCTAGCTAACTAATAATTTTAAAAAAAAATCAAATTTGCGACCAAAGACAAGGGTGCCCACGAAAAAGTATCTTAAGGGGGTATCTCGCTAAAAAGCGTAGCACTGTGAGATTCCACATGTCATAAAACTCCTATATACCAAATTTAGTGATTCTCGTACAACATGGCTTTGAGATATAAAAAAGACTTCTTCGGGGCAGATTTCAGGGGGCTGTAACTCCGAAAGAGGGGGCCAGTTGCCAAAAAAAAAATACGGATCCCCTAAATTTGTCTTAAAAATTTATGACCAAATTTTCTTGCATGAATTTACAACAACTTTATCATAAATTCAAAAATAAAGATGTTCCACAAAAAATTGGGTATATTATGAGTGCAGTCTATATCTATTTTAATCTTTTATTATTTAATTCATTAATTTGTAAGACATTTTTTTGTATTGTATCTGCATCTGCGTCTTACGTAGTTAAAGTATAGTAAAGTAAAAAGTAGAAGTAAACTATAAGTAGTGACGCGTGTAAGTAAAAAATAAGTAATAAAGCTAATAAAAGTAACTAAAGTAAAGTAATAAAATAATGTAGTAACTTACATAGTACTTCCTGGAAACTGGTTTCCAAATTTTTTCTGCATGAATTTGGGTATTTGGATTTCAAATCCCCTTAGAAACAAAACAAGTCATAAATGTAACTCATTTTTAGGTATAGATTCATAATTTATTTTTCTCTATACATTTTCCAACAAATAGTAACATTTGTTCACAAAAATTCTTCACTTCAAAGTGAGTTCGCTACCACGGTTCTTTTTAAAACTGTTTCCTAACGCTGATTATTTTATTTTATAATTTCCGACGACAAAAAATTAATAAAAAAGAAATCGTTAACCACCAAATTATATAAAAATTAGAAAAATATACCTAATTATTTTTTGTGTATTTAAAATTTTAGTACAGGTACTAGATGGAAAAAAATTAATCGGGTCATAAGTTAAAAGAAAATTTGGGAAAAAATTGAAAAAACACAATTTTGGAAGATATAAATAACAATAAAAGATTTTACTTACTCCGAATATTGCATAATTATCATAGAGACCACCACTAAGGGCACCGCGTAAATGCGAATCTTCATTTTGACCAACACTTGCGGATGCTGGCCAAACACTGATTGAATCTTGCCGTCGTTCGCACATTTATCAGTTTTGAAAATATATATGTAGATACATAAAAATATGGTGCAGACTAACATTTCATTGAAATTAGAATAGACTTAGATGTACTTTGTATTTGGGATGTATTGAGTAGGCATTGTAAATGTTTCTGCAGTAGGTAGCTTAACAGATAACAGCAAAGGGAAATAGAGAATCCCAATTCAAAATTTATAAAAAGTACGAAATGATATGGGTATTACAATGAAAATTTTGTAGTTGTCGCAATAGTTGGCAATTGTTAAATAATTCCGAATTTGAGTTTTTTTGCTGAGATTTTAATCCAATAGAACTCTGGGTGTGAGGATACATAAAATCTCTTGTAAGTGAAGAGACAATAAATACTCGAGAGAAATTGTGACAGCGAATTGAAAATGCCATAATGAACACCCATTTTTTAAAATCAAATGATAATTTAATAAACGTGTTTCTAAATGGATACCACTTTAACAGTTGCTACAGAAAGTGAATAGCTTTTTTTATTAATTGTTGATTATTTATTTTTTGTAATATATATTTCATTGTATTTTATTGTTTTTTCATTTCAGAGTATATGTTTTCTCATTTTTCTGTCAGCAATCGAATTTAATAATTCAAAAAATGTAAAAAAAGATAATTCTATAGTTAGGCCGGTACTCTTCCCAATTCACTCTTTCACTTCCCTCCCAATTCTTTTTTTATTTTTGGGGTTACTAAGCTTGAAAACATATCTTATTAAATTTGTTTTTGTTTTATACTAATTTAAATTTGTTGAATTGGAAACTTATCTCAAAAATCTTTTTATTTTTTTGGTAAAAAAGTATAGGAAAATGATGCCTCGTAAAGTGCAGCAAGTGGCGCCCTCTAATCAGTAGCGGCAAAATTACGATTGGATTTGAATTCGTCGCGTCAAAGAACTACGATCCCCTGTAATTTTGAAACGGTTTATTTTAGTGAGTAGAATCCGCTGTTGCTCCATATACCTTTATACTTATGGGACACCCTGTATAGTGTAGTTACGTCCCACTAAACACGAAACGTAAATGAAACGTTGCAAATGAGATGTTTTACTAAACAATTGAAACATTAACTAGAAACGTTTCTGTTTCATTACAGAAATGTAGCACTTGAAAACTTATTTAGTGAAACCTAGCCGAAACGTTACAATTGAAGAGAGTTTGAAACATTACTCGAAACATTACCTTTCGATCTCGGAAACATAACAGACGAACAACCCTTTGCTATTTTTGCTTATCTTATGGAACAATCGGCATTAGTTAAATTTTGCTCTCAATCCCCAATCCTTCTCAAGCGTTAGTTCATTTGCCTTTGTTATATAGACATAATTAGAAAAAAAAATGTGGTAGCATATTTATAACACAAGTCTAGAAAAAATGTAATGTTTGTGACTTGCGTAGACTGCGCGTAACAGCCCGAGTTTATTTGTTTCCCGTGTGTCGTTTCAATTCGTATTATGTTAGGTTAGGTTTGCGGTTTGTCAGTTTGCTTGGTTTCGTTGTTATTCATCTTTACTTTGACGCTATTTTATGTGATAATTTGTAGTGTGTGCAGTTGTGGTTATTGTAAGGTGCATATAAAATAATGAATATTGATGCAAAATGTTTAAAACGATATGTGTAGAGATTTCCAATTTTGCGTCACATCTACCTAAATATAGTTATACCCACTACCTATTACAGACAAGAGGACAAGGGACAAGAACTAAGAAAATGGAACAACAACTATACGTTTCGATATAATTTGAAGAGCAACTACTTAGTCAGTGAGAACTATTTGAAATATGGATGAATCAAGTGAAATAGACGTCATTTATTTTATATTTTGTACAAATGTTTATATTTGTTTATGTGTATAGGCATGCTTAAATAAAAGAGTTTAGGTATACCTACAGATATTTACTTTGTCAAGATATCATTTTGTATCCTTATTTCTGCTGTATAATTTATTATTATTAAAAGGATATATGTAATATTGACCATGCGTAGAAGAAATTATAACTTTATATTATTTTTCAGTAATGTTATTTGTTTTTCATGTACCTACCATTTTAAGATTCATAATCATAACTAACTTTTTCTAATTATCAGTTCGTCATTGTTACCATATTCATGAAGGTCTCAACATTAGAAAATTTCCATTTCAGAAGCGTATTTGAACTATATAAAATGTGTAGCTTTTTTTTAATGCTTCTGATATTGTTTTGTGATATTTTTATTTGTACGATGAATGGCAAAATTCATAATCCATATTAGAAACTTTTTTCAGTGGCTTCTCAAAAAGAAAGAAATTCTTAGTAAAAGTTGCCGCATCCCCAAACTAGAAGAGCATATTTATTTTTTTTAATATACAATGTAACTTTTTTTAGTTCGAATTAAGTCATTCACAATACAAATAAAAATATCACAAAGGAGTATTAGAGATATTTAAAAAAATACTCACACTATTTATACTATTTCAAAAACGCTTTTGAAATGAAAATGATCTAAAGTTGAGAGCATTATGAGAACAATATGGTAATAAAATTATTATGTTACTCAAACATTTCTGAAAATATACTGAAACGTAAAACAAAAATATCGAGGGCATAAATGGAACATAAAAAGAATGTTACTGAAACCAATTTTTTGAAACGTTTCATTGGAAACGTATTTTGGGGAGGACATCTTGGGCTTCTAGAACGTTACCAGAACGTTGCATGGATTTTTTATGAAACGTTTCAAGAAAAATGGAAACGTTTCTGAAACATATCAGAAACTGAAAAATGTTTAGTGGGGTACTACCTACATTGTGTCAAATAATTAAACTGCTTCACTAATACAAACAATGCAGCAGTAATTAGATATATTCATATCGAATTCACGCAGATATAAAAAAACGTAAACAAACTCCGCCATGTTTTAAAGAAGTAGTAAAAAATGGTTATCGGCAACAATCGCTCTGTGACTGATTTGTATATATTATATTACCTGTAAAATAAATCTCTAACACTAGAAGAGATGATAATGCAATAAGAATATGAGACATATTAAGCTGTTTTGAATTAGAAACATTACGTTTGTGACACGTAACTCACGGTAGTATATCAGCCTTATTGCGTATGTAGACCCATAATTAAATCTCGAATATTGGTAATCCCGAGAAAAGAACGGTTTGTAATTTTTACTTTTAATACGGCTTTATTAAATATTTGTTGGAATTTAGCTATAGAAATGTCAAGGCCTTATAAATAGGTCATGAATTAGGAAGACAAACTAACTTCGAACTAATCGCGCGCCGCTGCAAATTTGGTTTACCGGATGCACTGTGTGCTTTTATCAAGTTCTGCATGCTGCGATTATTCTATATAGTTACTTCAGGCTACGCGTGGCCTTATTATTTCCGTTAACGTCCCTTTATATACGTAGTAAAAAAATCGCTTTTATATAATTTCAAGAACTTATTAACTAGGTCACTTATGACAAACCTTTTATTTCCGGCAGAAATTCCAGATAATTCAAAAGATAATCCTAAAAATTCTAAATATTTTATATGGAGTGATAAAAAATAGTGACAAAAACTTTTTCCATCTACTGATTTCTAGTTAAATATATCTGCATAAAATTTATCAGTAGCTTTCTGTACCGAAATTATCAATATTGCCTGTCCAAAGATATCCTCAATATTTTTTATGTTATCAATTTCTAACAAAAATAATACAAATGTTCACATTTTGTCAAACAGGAAATTAGACAGACAAGATAAATCAAATCGAAAACTAATGCAGATATACTGATCTATACTCAACTGAAAGTGATGATAAATTCCTTAACTTCCGCAAAAGATATGAATTCAAATCAAACCTAAGAGTGGGACGTGAAGTATCATTTACTAAATGTCTTGAAACCACGTGTTCTTTAACCAATCATTATATATTAAACGCACAGTGTGTAAATGCAATTATTTTATCAATTTATGAAGTGCATAGCACCGCTGGACTATGTGGTTTGCATCTACGCGGACAAAAATAAACTACTGAAAAGCCTGTGGTTAGGTTGGTTGCTCTTAAAAAAGTCCCTAATATTTGACAACACGACAATTGTTTTAATTTGACAGGTGCCAAATGTCGAATAGGTTAAGTTTTATACTTAAATTTTCAAAATGTTAAATTTTATATTAAAAAAATGAGACTTTATACAATCCTGCAGCTGGGAATTCTGTTGTCTATAGCATTAGTTATATTTTATTTGTATAGTATAAGGTTAATGAACAACAGAGACAGTATTCTAGAAGAAGATCCGGAGTTGTTTGAAAATGAAGTTACTACAGAAAAATTATCATTCACGAAGTAATTTAATGATTGGCTTGCCAAATCTCAAATAATTACATCACATCTATTTTGTAGAAACGATATTGTGGTGGCAGTTGTTGCTTGTGGCGATAGACTCCAGGAAACTCTCAACATGCTAAAATCGGCTTTAATGTTTAGTAAAGAAAGACTAAATTTTGTTATTGTGGCAGAAGATAGATTAATAGAAAGTTTTAAAGAAAAGGTATAAAATCAATATGATAAATAACTGCGATAAAATATTTCTTTTAGCTAGGAGAATGGAAATCGTTTACAAATAACGGTTTCACATTTAGGGTTCTGCCCCTCACTTTTCCTGCAGATAATCCTTTGGAATGGAAAAAATTGTTTAAACCCTGTGCCGCGCAAAGGCTATTCTTGCCAGTAAGTACAATTTATGTAGTATAATTTTTATTTTGATGAAAACGTGTGTATATCCAAAAATAAAATTCTTTTAGAATTTATTAGAAAATGTCGATTCAGTTTTGTATGTGGATACTGATACATTATTTTTAACACCCGTCGAGAATGTTTGGGAGCATTTCCATAAATTTAATGCTAGCCAGATGGCAGCGTTGGCCCCCGAACACGAAGATCCAAACGTGGGGTGGTACAATAGATTCGCAAAACATCCCTATTATGGAAAATTGGGTGAGTCCATTGGTATTGCAGCTAAAGGATAAATAAGTAGATAGTTCAGAAGCATAAATTACCTACATCTAGGATATATTTAAATAGGGAGATAGGTATATAACACAATTTTAATCCCGATTTTCTTAACTTTTTTCCAGGTGTCAATTCTGGAGTTATGTTAATGAACTTAACAAGGATGCGAGCTTTTCGATGGAGGGAATATGTTGTCCCGATTTATAAGAAATATAAACTTAAAATTACTTGGGGCGATCAAGATATTATCAATATTATATTTCATTACCATCCAGGTTAGTAAACACATTTCAATGTATGGTTTAATTCCTTTAAATATATATTTTTTTCAGATAAATTGTACATATATTCATGCAGGTTCAATTATCGTCCTGATCATTGCATGTATACCAGCGTCTGCAAACCTGCCGAATCTAAGGGGGTCGCTGTTATCCATGGGTCAAGGGGTTTTTTCCACTCGGAAAAGCAGCCAATATTCCAAGCTGTGTATAAATCATTTGAAGAGGTAAGTGAGAAAGATTTTTATGTTTAATCCTCTACTGTTTGTGTCCAAGTGAGATATTAAATTTACAATTAATAGACAGGGGACCAGTTTTTGGGAGTAATAATTCAGCTTTAGTTTTCGCAATAGAATTTGTGAAAACAAATGTTAAATAAATATGTCCCCTTATCAAAGTTAAACCGTGTATAATTTACAGAAAGGATATTATCCTGTTAAAAATGTTTTTGAAAAAGTACTTTTCTTGTTCATCTAATCTTCGATAATATCGCTATATTTGGAGTAGCAAAAATTATGTGTTGGTTGAACTAATACTGTAATGTATGTGAGATATAACCTATAAAGTTTATGTCATATGTTAAATGTCATTAGTACTCAATGCCTATAGGCGCAAGACATTGCTTTGTATCTACTGACAGAGAGTGACCTGCTAATGTGTAGATACTAAGAAAGCGTGATTTGTTTCTCACAGTATCATTAATTTTACAGTTTAATACTGTAATATTCTCGTTATCTTCAGTTCCAGCTAGGTGGAGACATTTACAGAGAATTTTATCAGACGTTGGAGGTCTATCTAGAAGCCGCTCAAAATAACAATTGCGGTAATGTTAAAGATATCTTCCTGAAAAATCTTAGAAAATATATGGACCTCGATTTTGACAATACATAAAAGTGAATTATAACCAATTTAAACGAATAATATGATTGAAAAAGTAAAAAATTCCATGATCTGTTTACATTTTTGATAGTATTCACTTTAGATCTGATTAATAATTTTCTGGTGGTAGGTTTTGATATTAAGCCAAAGGAAATGTATTATTAGATGTAATATTTTATTTAGGAAAAAAAGATATAAATCTCTTAATGTTCTGTCTTAGTATTATTATAAGGTCTCTTTATTTTTTTATTCTTTTTGATATTTTTTTATATATATTTTATGTTTTTATATTATATAAATATAAATATTATAAAAAGACCTACTACCTAAAAATTACATCCTTATTGAGTATTTTAGTTATGTTCGATATTGTATTTACAGAAAAACACATTTTGTATTAAAAAGAAGCATGATCTCATTTAGGATCAAATTATTAGTACTTAGGATATGTTTACATGTTTACCATATTATTTTACAGAATCTATTTTATTTATGACATGCTCTCATGTACATGTCTTATGTGTATTGTGTATGCATAAATTTTAGATATATGTGATTATCGACTAACAAAATAAAACACTAGTAATAAATTACTGTGTACTCAAAAAAAAAATGTTTTAGTGTTAACAATGTTTATATCATTGTGATTATGTTAAGAAAACTCGCTGCCATATACTTGTGCTTAATTGTAAAATATATACCTCTTCAATGTGCAACGAAATTTTGCTTGCAGTATTTTCATTGTGCTAAATAAATTATTTTGTATACTATTTATATATTTTTATAACTGAACTATTAGCAGTTTGATTTATAATAAATGTTAATTAGTAGGCTGGCTGATTTTTTATCTTTCCTTCAACATCAATAAAAGATTTTCAGTACTTGACTCGAGTTATCGGATTATTTTTAGTACTAGAAAATTCATTGTGACCTACTTGTTTTTAATAAAGTTTAAGATGCCTACGAAGTACTTAAAATATATGCTCCTTAACCTGTCTGTAAAGTGTTAAATTTTTAGAAGAAGAAGACGAATATAACCATAACCTCAAAATATTGAAAACTTCGAAATAGGTTATGTAACTAAAAACAAAATGATTTCACAATTTAAAAAATATATTATTTAACTTATTACAAAATGATCCGAAACACTTTGCAGAACGGAATTAAGTATGCATTTTTACCAATTTCAAGCTGGTTAGATGGAGATCAACTAGAAAATAGAACTCCAACAGAACAAGAAGCTAATAAATCTTTAACAGAAAAAGAAACGGGATGGGATCGTTTAAAAAAAATGTTTGAAGTAGAGTAGGCAATATTTTAAATGGTAGAAATGCATTTAATGATTAGGTGTTTATTTTAGTGAATTTGGAAACGTTTCTCGAGAAGTTAATTCAATATTACAGGTTGGAGTTTTTAGTTTGTTTATTGGTGGGGTATATGGTGGCGTTATTAATAGTAGAAGTGCGTACCTGGAATTTATGCAGAACAATGAAGCTACTTCGTTTAAAAGTCATTTAGATGCAAAGGTAAAATTTTCCCTATGTTGTAGAATAAAAAAAACATGTTATAATTAAATTCTTGTTTCACAATCAAATTATAAGTTGAAATACTAATCCTATATTTTAACTGTTTTATTTCTAGCAAAAATTGCAGGACAAAGTTACCATCAGTTTTGGAAAAGGAGCTTTTAAATGGGGTTGGCGGTTAACATTATTCTGCACTTCGTTTGTGTAGGTTCTTCATTAACACGTACAATGCATGAGGCTTTACAATTTGTCTTATCTTTTTTTAGCGGAATATCTACTGCGATTCAAACGTACAGAGGAAAATATGGAATTAGAGAATATGTTATTGCAGGCGGCATGACTGGAGCAATGTACAAATTCAATATGGGCCCAAGAGGGTGGATAATTGGTGGCGGCTTAGGTGAGCATTTAAAACTAAACTACCCTTCATGGGAAAATCACCTTTAAAATTGGAATGTGAATTTAGTATTATAATTTTTGGTTCTACAGATGAAAACAAATTTCAAAAAGCAACACTTTAAGAGTGAAATTGAATTTCAATTTTCTTTTGTGGCAGGATCTGTCTTGGGCCTCATTTGTGGGGGAACTACCATCGGCCTGCTCAAATTAACTGGAATTTCAATGGAAGAGGCCAGATACTGGCAATATTACTTAAAGCATTCGCGTGACGAATATTTCAGGAAAGGAATGGCCGATTATTTGCAAAAAGAAGACTTTGCCGTTATAAAATTACACGACGATCAAATAGGCGAAGCGGGCAAGGATATTTCAAATTTAGATAGAAATGTTAATAGCGCAGATAAGAAATAAAGTGATATTATTTAAACTGGCTTTCTTTAGTGTTTCTTTCATATTGTCGTACCTGGTATAACTTTAAGTGCGAGTCAGTTTTTTAAATCAAATAGATAGTCGATTATAATTAGTTTTTCACACTGCACCGAAAGTCTTGTCTATGCCATCACTGGGCAACACCCGAGCCAGAGTATCAGTGTTGCCAGTGGAATTGCTTTTCTACGTCTTTGTGACATGTTATTTCAGTCACCAATTTTTTTTAAACTGTAGTATTTTTAAAATAATACTTTCTGCATGATTTATTTAATAATAACTAATATGCGGATAAGCATAAGTTATACTAATTGCAAATAAAACTAATTTGTTTTAAAATAATTATTTTTGCTGTTTTATAAAATGCCTTAATAAATGAAAACACTAATCGATAGATTTAAATTGTTTTAAAATAATGTCAAGTTTTCAATAAAAAGTATTGTAGTATATAGCACTGTGTTTAGTTCGTGAAATTCTTGGGTCAATGACCTCTGTTATTAGCCTTAAGCGAACTATACTACGGTCACTTTACATATTCCAATGAAGTGAACAATTGCATGTAGCCACAGTGTAATCGTAAAAGTAGGCAAGCACAGGAGAGTTGAAACAAGTACTATTGAAAAGTTATAAAATAGTAGAATATCCATTTTTCCTCCTTTTTCTTATTCAGCACAAAAAAAAATGTACTTTACTTTCTATTTATTTATGAAAGGCCAAAATAATTGAGACAACTGATTTGCATATTTTTATTAAATTATGTACACACTAAAGATACATTTATTTAAACTGTATGCATATTAATGATGTATGACACTTTTTAAAAGTATTCCAAATGTTCTTTAATAGTAAAAATTCTAAGGACAAGTTTAACGGTTTGGAATATGGATGTATTCGATTCACCGATAATACACAAAAATAAAAATAATTCTTAATATTTCCTATTTTTCTTGGATTTTCAAAATTTTAGGCTAAATCCGGGTCCTCCTCTTCTATTATCCACTCCCATTCCTATTCTAAATCCATAACCGTCATCGTCTCCGTCGCCACCCTGTAAAAAAATAAGTCAGAGTATAACGCCACGTGTTGAAATGAAGGAGCGTTTTCTTCGCCCAAATTTAAGATTATTTTTCGATACAGAGTGGGTTAAATTTTTATACTGAAACTTTAAAGGTTAACAGATGATATCATTCTAAAAAAAAGGTCATATGAACAAAGGTTGTAGAACGCTTTGTTTACGAGATATACCGACTTAGCTAGTTGTGGGAAAAAATTCACTGAGTTGGTATAGAAATCCATGAACCAGTGGCGGATACTGGGAAACAATGTCAAAGAGCACTTAAAATTTTTGACGCTACTGAGTATTTTCAAAATTCGTGCATCCAATTCCAATTATTGGTATTTCTAACAAAAAGATATTTGGTATTTTGTTCAAAAAACAAGACATTTTTGAGTTATTTGTTTAAATTTAAAGTAAACCTACGACCAACAGCATATTACGACATATTTCCACATATTTGGTAATTAATAATATGATTGTAGAGGATTTGATCCCGGGATCCCGACCGCTTTTCAGATCCGAAATTTTCGGGACTGTTTTTCTGATTCCGAGATTTTCGGGATTAACATAATTTTAAAAAAGTTGCAAAATAGACTGTGTGAAGTGAAACGCTCTGTGCCAGTGCTCTCAACAGAATTGCTTGCCTCTCATTTTAATATAAAACTTCTTATATTTTGAACTAAAACTGGGTCATTTTCGTATTTTTGAATTGTGAATATTATTTTTAAATATTTTTTGCTAAGAAACTTACTTTACTACCTACTTACTAGGTCATTACATGAAAGTCGTCTTTTTAGTCGATGTTAAGACAGATTTTTGTTAATTTTCAAAGATTATTTGCACAGTTTGTTACATAAAGGTTTTTTAATTCATCTAAGTTTAAAGAGATCTCACTGATTCTTGAAAAAGAATAACTTAAGACACTGAATGATTTTAAGTCTGGTTAGTCTGACTCTAGGTGTCTAATTAGTTAGAGTGATTAGATTATAGTGGAGTAAAATAAGATTTTGACTTCGGAAAAATTAGCAGATCGGGTAACTTTTGAGGACACACTCGTGAGGGTGTTAGGAACAACAAATAAAAAGTTACCAACCGTAGAGTGTACGCTTGATTATTTATTTAATAAATTAGTTGCAAAATTCCATTGTTTATTGTATATCTTAACAATTTTTAAAAAAAAACTGATTGCGCTAATCGAAAGAACGGGAAATTTTACGTCCCCCGCGCTATCTTGTTATAACTTTTGATCTATTTCAAATAATAAAGTCCACAAAAATTTAAATGAAAGAGAAATCTTGTAGCTAAGAAGTTATCATGATTTTAAAATCGAAAAAAATATATTTACAGGAATAGTGTGTAAATAAAGTTACATAACGGTAGAATTTTCTACAAAATTAATTAAAGATCTGCCATTTTTTAAATTTTTAAGATACAAATTTAAAACTTTCAGAGATTACTTTTGAAATAGCATTTAAAATAGTGAGTGATATAAAAAAAATCTTAAAATTTTAATTCCAAAAATACAACGCTCGAAATATTCAATAACTTTTAAAAAAGGCAAATTGTTGCAACTTTACAGGAGCACTTTTTGGAGCTTGAAAACTGTACTTTAAGATGGTCCATTTTATTTTATTTAAAACGTTGAATTTATAATAAAATTTAAAGAAAAAGAAACAAAAAATTTTTTGTTCTGAAACGAAATTTGTTAAATAAACTTTAATGAAGTTAAAAAAATTTTTTTTTTGCTTGTTTAACCAATATATTTTCAAACTATGATCTAAAAAAAATAATCAACGAAAAAAAAATTTTTTGTTACTATAATATTGTATAAAATACGAAAAATACGGTTTTGCAATAAATTGTCGTCACGAGATTCAGTTTTACCTAAATTTTTTCATGATGAAATTATGTAGTAGAAGTTTATCTGATAATCAAATTCTCGTGATTAAAGAATTATATTTTTGAATATTAGAAAGAGATAGAGGGAACATCTGCTCGGTGAATGGAGTTCACCTGGCGCATGCTACGTGTCTAACGCAGGGATTCGGGTATGACTCCATCTTTTATGACTCAAGATCCAGCACCAAGTGAACTTCTCAAAATGATTTTTGTGCTAATAATTGCGGTTGCCAGAAGGCAGGTCTACTTTGCACCATAGTTTGCTCTAATTGTTACGGAACTGATTGTCTCAATTGCCAAGCATTTTTCGAAGAAGAACAAGAATCAGACCAATTGCCAGAAGTTATAATGATTCAAGAGAATGAAAATTGAATATTGTTATTTTTTTATATTTCTATTTTTAATATGCAAATACTTTTTCATATTTAATAAATTTGTTAATTAAGAATCCCATATATTGACTTTTTGCAGAACCCTAAACATCATACCCAAATTTCTTTAAAATTGAACGAGTTGATTTCATTTTATATTTNTAGATAGATAGATAGATAGATAGATAGATAGATAGATAGATAGATAGATAGATAGATAGATAGATAGATAGATAGATAGATAGATAGATAGATAGATAGATAGATAGATAGATAGATAGATAGATAGATAGATAGATAGATAGATAGATAGATAGATAGATAGATAGATAGATAGATAGATAGATAGATAGATAGATAGATAGATAGATAGATAGATAGATAGATAGATAGATAGATAGATAGATAGATAGATAGATAGATAGATAGATAGATAGATAGATAGATAGATAGATAGATAGATAGATAGATAGATAGATAGATAGATAGATAGATAGATAGATAGATAGATAGATAGATAGATAGATAGATAGATAGATAGATAGATAGATAGATAGATAGATAGATAGATAGATAGATAGATAGATAGATAGATAGATAGATAGATAGATAGATAGATAGATAGATAGATAGATAGATAGATAGATAGATAGATAGATAGATAGATAGATAGATAGATAGATAGATAGATAGATAGATAGATAGATAGATAGATAGATAGATAGATAGATAGATAGATAGATAGATAGATAGATAGATAGATAGATAGATAGATAGATAGATAGATAGATAGATAGATAGATAGATAGATAGATAGATAGATAGATAGATAGATAGATAGATAGATAGATAGATAGATAGATAGATAGATAGATAGATAGATAGATAGATAGATAGATAGATAGATAGATAGATAGATAGATAGATAGATAGATAGATAGATAGATAGATAGATAGATAGATAGATAGATAGATAGATAGATAGATAGATAGATAGATAGATAGATAGATAGATAGATAGATAGATAGATAGATAGATAGATAGATAGATAGATAGATAGATAGATAGATAGATAGATAGATAGATAGATAGATAGATAGATAGATAGATAGATAGATAGATAGATAGATAGATAGATAGATAGATAGATAGATAGATAGATAGATAGATAGATAGATAGATAGATAGATAGATAGATAGATAGATAGATAGATAGATAGATAGATAGATAGATAGATAGATAGATAGATAGATAGATAGATAGATAGATAGATAGATAGATAGATAGATAGATAGATAGATAGATAGATAGATAGATAGATAGATAGATAGATAGATAGATAGATAGATAGATAGATAGATAGATAGATAGATAGATAGATAGATAGATAGATAGATAGATAGATAGATAGATAGATAGATAGATAGATAGATAGATAGATAGATAGATAGATAGATAGATAGATAGATAGATAGATAGATAGATAGATAGATAGATAGATAGATAGATAGATAGATAGATAGATAGATAGATAGATAGATAGATAGATAGATAGATAGATAGATAGATAGATAGATAGATAGATAGATAGATAGATAGATAGATAGATAGATAGATAGATAGATAGATAGATAGATAGATAGATAGATAGATAGATAGATAGATAGATAGATAGATAGATAGATAGATAGATAGATAGATAGATAGATAGATAGATAGATAGATAGATAGATAGATAGATAGATAGATAGATAGATAGATAGATAGATAGATAGATAGATAGATAGATAGATAGATAGATAGATAGATAGATAGATAGATAGATAGATAGATAGATAGATAGATAGATAGATAGATAGATAGATAGATAGATAGATAGATAGATAGATAGATAGATAGATAGATAGATAGATAGATAGATAGATAGATAGATAGATAGATAGATAGATAGATAGATAGATAGATAGATAGATAGATAGATAGATAGATAGATAGATAGATAGATAGATAGATAGATAGATAGATAGATAGATAGATAGATAGATAGATAGATAGATAGATAGATAGATAGATAGATAGATAGATAGATAGATAGATAGATAGATAGATAGATAGATAGATAGATAGATAGATAGATAGATAGATAGATAGATAGATAGATAGATAGATAGATAGATAGATAGATAGATAGATAGATAGATAGATAGATAGATAGATAGATAGATAGATAGATAGATAGATAGATAGATAGATAGATAGATAGATAGATAGATAGATAGATAGATAGATAGATAGATAGATAGATAGATAGATAGATAGATAGATAGATAGATAGATAGATAGATAGATAGATAGATAGATAGATAGATAGATAGATAGATAGATAGATAGATAGATAGATAGATAGATAGATAGATAGATAGATAGATAGATAGATAGATAGATAGATAGATAGATAGATAGATAGATAGATAGATAGATAGATAGATAGATAGATAGATAGATAGATAGATAGATAGATAGATAGATAGATAGATAGATAGATAGATAGATAGATAGATAGATAGATAGATAGATAGATAGATAGATAGATAGATAGATAGATAGATAGATAGATAGATAGATAGATAGATAGATAGATAGATAGATAGATAGATAGATAGATAGATAGATAGATAGATAGATAGATAGATAGATAGATAGATAGATAGATAGATAGATAGATAGATAGATAGATAGATAGATAGATAGATAGATAGATAGATAGATAGATAGATAGATAGATAGATAGATAGATAGATAGATAGATAGATAGATAGATAGATAGATAGATAGATAGATAGATAGATAGATAGATAGATAGATAGATAGATAGATAGATAGATAGATAGATAGATAGATAGATAGATAGATAGATAGATAGATAGATAGATAGATAGATAGATAGATAGATAGATAGATAGATAGATAGATAGATAGATAGATAGATAGATAGATAGATAGATAGATAGATAGATAGATAGATAGATAGATAGATAGATAGATAGATAGATAGATAGATAGATAGATAGATAGATAGATAGATAGATAGATAGATAGATAGATAGATAGATAGATAGATAGATAGATAGATAGATAGATAGATAGATAGATAGATAGATAGATAGATAGATAGATAGATAGATAGATAGATAGATAGATAGATAGATAGATAGATAGATAGATAGATAGATAGATAGATAGATAGATAGATAGATAGATAGATAGATAGATAGATAGATAGATAGATAGATAGATAGATAGATAGATAGATAGATAGATAGATAGATAGATAGATAGATAGATAGATAGATAGATAGATAGATAGATAGATAGATAGATAGATAGATAGATAGATAGATAGATAGATAGATAGATAGATAGATAGATAGATAGATAGATAGATAGATAGATAGATAGATAGATAGATAGATAGATAGATAGATAGATAGATAGATAGATAGATAGATAGATAGATAGATAGATAGATAGATAGATAGATAGATAGATAGATAGATAGATAGATAGATAGATAGATAGATAGATAGATAGATAGATAGATAGATAGATAGATAGATAGATAGATAGATAGATAGATAGATACACATTTATTTAGCAAATGCTATACATACAAACGATTACATAAACTCAAGCAACAAAAATCCTTAACATAGAAATATATAAAAGTTTACCCTGGTAGTGACCTAATGTAACTAACAATTAGCTTATTGAAATGATTAACCGGCCCATTACAATTTTTTATATATTCTGGTAGCTTATTGTATTGCATAAGACCCTGGTAAAATAAAGATTTACTAGTTCTTAATAAATTGTGTCTTTCTATATAAAAGTCATCCTTTTGGCGAGTGTTATAAACATGTCCATCTCTTACATAAGTTATTCTACTGTGCAAATAGCTAGGTAAGAGCAAATTTTTTTTTTTATATATAAATTGTAACGTTCTTAACAAAATTCGTTGTTTTATGTTTATAAAATTTAATGCATTTAACATGTCCTGTATTAAAGTATATCTACTACACTGCAAAATAATCCTCATAGCTTTATTCTGCATTTTCTGTAGAGTCTGAATCTCATTGTTATTTAAAAATAATAAAATCGTTGAACAATATTCAAAATGTGGCGCAATTATCGTTTTATAAATGGTCAGTCTGGCAAAAAATGATAAATCCTTAGATATACGCCTTAAGAAATTAATTTTTTTGGCAACTTTTTTAACAATATATGCGGTATGTTGTTTAAAACACATACATTCATCCAACATCACACCCAGATATTTTATCTGATGGACTCTTTCTAGTTTCTCGTTATTTAATTTAATATAATCCTCTATCGAAATTTTATTCAATGTATGTTTTTTGCCTAATACTAACCACTTACATTTATCAATATTTACTTTCAAATTATTGTCACAAAGCCATGCATATAAATTATTTAGTTCCCCGTTAATATTTCTTATAATATCATTAACATTTTTACCAAACATATAAAAATAAAAATAAAATATAAAAATCTGCAAACAGATGTGTTTTGCAATCAGTTAAACAACAGAGAATGTCATTGATAAAAATAATAAATAATATAGGACCCAATACTGAGCCTTGAGGTACGCCATATTTAGTTTCCTTTCTTCCAGATACTCTCTCACCATATTTTGTTTTTTGTCCTCTTTTTGTTATGTAAGATGAAAACCACTGCAAAACATTTCCTCCAATTCCAATACTTCGTAACTTCGAGAGAAGAAGACCTCGATCAATGGTTTCGAATGCACGTTTAAAGTCTAGAAATACAGCCACTACTATAGTATCATTATCAATTCCCCGTACCCAGTCGTCCAAAATACACTGTAATGCAGCAGTTTCACATGAATGCGCTCCTCGGAATCCTGATAGTACTGATATGATGATATTATTATTTTGTATGTAATTTATTAATTGTTCTTTAACTACCAATTCCAATACTTTTTCACAAACTGGCAATGAATTGATTGGTCGATATTGGTCACATAAAATAGTATTAATAACTTTTGGTATAGGTGTAACAAATGAATTAGTCCATGCATCTGAAAAAACGCCCGACTGAAGAGAACAATTAACCACATCCAAAAACCTGTTGCCGATGATTTCAAATGTGTCTTTAATAACATTTGTGGGAATCCCATCACATCCTGATTTATTTGGTAATGCATCAATAACTTTTCTCAATGCATTCATTTCTATGACTTTAAATTCGCGTAATCTACAATCAACTCCAAAGTCATGACTTGTGTACAAATCAAATTTTGGTATATCATGAATAATCTCTACCACACTCTCTATAAAATAGTCATTAAATTTTTCTGCAATCTCCAATTCATCCGATACTTCTTGTTCATTAAATTTAATACATTTAGAAACATGCTTTTTCCCTTTATTCATTTGTTTCAATGTTTTCCACATCAATTTCGAATCACCTTTACAATGGTCTATTTTGTTTTCATAATACTGTTTTTTCTCTTTTCTTATCATTGTAACTACCTTATTCCGTTTTTCTTTGAATGAATTCCATTCCTCTTCTCTTCTCATTATTTCGCAAAATTGCAAACGGCGGTCATAATCATCCTCATGAAGTTCCTGGACTAAATGTATTTTGTATGGTATAATTTATTCTTCTTCAAAATGGTTTGTATGCTAGTTCGATTGATCCCAGACACAGATGCCAGCTGCCTCGTACTTAATGTAGGATCAAGAACATGTCCCAAAACTTCAACTTCACTAGCTTCATTAACTATAGGTTTTTCAATTTCTCGTTTTTTATTGACTACGTTCCCAGTCCCTTGAAATTTTTTTACTAACTCTGGAACATACCTACTTCCTCTTGACATGTCGATCTTGATGTTGTTCATTAAATAGTTGAGCTGTTCTATTCGCATATTTATTGTTCATAAAGTAAAGCGAAATTATATCTACCCTTTCCGCAATGGAATAAACCAGTGTTTAATTTTCAAAAACACAGTTAAATAAACTACCAACCAACGCTTCCAAATAATACTAGAAAATAATTTGGAATCTACTAATTATATGTTCATTGTGTGTGTATAAAATTCATTTCTGTTTCTTACAATTGTGTTTTTGTTTACGAAAGTGATAACAAATCGCCAAAAACCAATGTAACACAAGAAATACTAAATTTATACCANTTTTCTTATTCAGCACAAAAAAAAATGTACTTTACTTTCTATTTATTTATGAAAGGCCAAAATAATTGAGACAACTGATTTGCATATTTTTATTAAATTATGTACACACTAAAGATACATTTATTTAAACTGTATGCATATTAATGATGTATGACACTTTTTAAAAGTATTCCAAATGTTCTTTAATAGTAAAAATTCTAAGGACAAGTTTAACGGTTTGGAATATGGATGTATTCGATTCACCGATAATACACAAAAATAAAAATAATTCTAATATTTCCTATTTTTCTTGGATTTTCAAAATTTTAGGCTAAACCCGGGTCCTCCTCTTCTATTATCCACTCCCATTCCTATTCTAAATCCATAACCGTCATCGTCTCCGTCGCCACCCTGTAAAAAAATAAGTCAGAGTATAACGCCACGTGTTGAAATGAAGGAGCGTTTTCTTCGCCCAAATTTAAGATTATTTTTCGATACAGAGTGGGTTAAATTTTTATACTGAAACTTTAAAGGTTAACAGATGATATCATTCTAAAAAAAAGGTCATATGAACAAAGGTTGTAGAACGCTTTGTTTACGAGATATACCGACTTAGCTAGTTGTGGGAAAAAATTCACTGAGTTGGTATAGAAATCCATGAACCAGTGGCGGATACTGGGAAACAATGTCAAAGAGCACTTAAAATTTTTGACGCTACTGAGTATTTTCAAAATTCGTGCATCCAATTCCAATTATTGGTATTTCTAACAAAAAGATATTTGGTATTTTGTTCAAAAAACAAGACATTTTTGAGTTATTTGTTTAAATTTAAAGTAAACCTACGACCAACAGCATATTACGACATATTTCCACATATTTGGTAATTAATAATATGATTGTAGAGGATTTGATCCCGGGATCCCGACCGCTTTTCAGATCCGAAATTTTCGGGACTGTTTTTCTGATTCCGAGATTTTCGGGATTAACATAATTTTAAAAAAGTTGCAAAATAGAATGTGTGAAGTGAAACGCTCTGTGCCAGTGCTCTCAACAGAATTGCTTGCCTCTCATTTTAATATAAAACTTCTTATATTTTGAACTAAAACTGGGTCATTTTCGTATTTTTGAATTGTGAATATTATTTTTAAATATTTTTTGCTAAGAAACTTACTTTACTACCTACTTACTAGGTCATTACATGAAAGTCGTCTTTTTAGTCGATGTTAAGACAGATTTTTGTTAATTTTCAAAGATTATTTGCACAGTTTGTTACATAAAGGTTTTTTAATTCATCTAAGTTTAAAGAGATCTCACTGATTCTTGAAAAAGAATAACTTAAGACACTGAATGATTTTAAGTCTGGTTAGTCTGACTCTAGGTGTCTAATTAGTTAGAGTGATTAGATTATAGTGGAGTAAAATAAGATTTTGACTTCGGAAAAATTAGCAGATCGGGTAACTTTTGAGGACACACTCGTGAGGGTGTTAGGAACAACATATAAAAAGTTACCAACCGTAGAGTGTACGCTTAATTATTTATTTAATAAATTAGTTGCAAAATTCCATTGTTTATTGTATATCTTAACAATTTTTTTAAAAAAACTGATTGTGCTAATCGAAAGAACGGGAAATTTTACAGCCCCCGCGCTTTCTTGTTATAACTTTTGATCTATTTGTTCAAATTAAGTTCACAAAAATTTAAATGAAAGAGAAATCTTGTAGCTAACAAGTTATCATGATTTTAAAATCGAAAAAAAATATTTACAGGAATAGTGTGTAAATAAAGTTACGTAACGGTAGAATTTTCTACAAAATTAATTAAAGATTGTCATTTTTTTAATTTTTAAGATAAAAATTTAAAACTTTCAGAGATTACTTTTGAAATAGCATTTAAAATAGTGAGTGATATAAAAAAAAATCTTAAAATTTTAATTCCAAAAATACAACGCTCGAAATATTCAATAACTTTTAAAAAAGGCAAATTATTGCAACTTTACAGGAGCATTTTTTGAAGCTTGAAAACTGTACTTTAAGATGGTCCATTTTGTTTTATTTAAAACGTTGAATTTATAATAAAATTTAAAGAAAAACAAAACAAAAATTTTTTGTTCTGAAACGAAATTTGTTAAATAAATTTTAATGAAGTTAAAAAAAAAATTTTTTTGCTTTAACCAATATATTTTCAAACTATGATCTTAAAAAAATAATCAACGAAAAAAAAAATTTTTTGTTACTATAATATTGTATGAAATATGAAAAATACGGTTTTTCAATAAATTGTCACAAGATTCAGTTTTACCTATATTTTTTCATGATGAAATTATGCAGTAGAAGTTTAGCTGGTAATGTAATTCATTCTCGCGATTGGAAAATTATATTTTTGAATATTAGAAAGAGATAGAGAGAACATCTGCTCGGTGAATGGAGCTCACCACATGTCTAACGCAGGGATTCGGGTATGACTTCAAGTTTGCTGTAATTGTTACGGAACTGATTGCCTCAATTGCCAAGCATTTTTCGAAGAAGAACGAGAATCAGACTAATTGCCAGAAGTTATAATGATTCAAGAGAATGAAAAGTGAATATTGTTATTTTTTTATATATCTATTTTTAATATGCAAAGACTTTCATATTTAATAAATTTGTTAATTAAGAATCCCATATATTGACTCTGCCGAACTCTAAACATCATACCCAAATTTCTTTAAAATTTAACGAGTTGATTCCATTTTATATTTGTTCAATGATCTGAAAAATCCTAAAAATACCAATATGAGTAAAATTGCTTTGCCATATTGGATCAGCCATTTTGAATTTTCATTTTCTGATATAATATTCTTGTTCAGACCTAAAAAAACCCTATAATGTCAATTTAACTAAATTTACTTCGAAATTTGTAATTTTTAAATAAATTGTTTAAAAAAGTCGGCCATATTGGATCAGCCATTTTGATTTTTTTTTTATTTTTTAAAATTATATTCTTATTCAGTGACCTCGAAAACCCCTATAGTATCAATTTGATTAAAATTGGTTTGAAATTTTTTGATTTATTTAAAATAATCTTTGAAAAAGCATTTTTAAACAATTAAATAATAATTAGCGTACAAATAGAAGCTTATAACTTTTTTCTATAAGCCATTTCAAGACGATTGCAAAAGGTTTTATGAAAATCCAAGGCTCTGCTAATTATTCCGAAATAATGCATATTTTTAAGCTACCTTTACTCCACTACTAGGTGTATACTGTAAAATAGTTTTGATTTATTGATTAAAGAGCTGATTTTATTTTGCCTGGTGCGACAGTAGTCATTCTTTCATACCACCTCCAGATTAGTAGGTCACTTTCTGTCAGCAGGTACTTATTAATAAATTTTTTATTCATTAACTTTGTTAATGGTATGTGATTATTCTGATATTATTTTCCGTCGACGGCTTACAAATTAAGTATTAAAACCTTGATAGAATGTTTTTTTTTTTAAGTTTTTTTATAAGTATGCGATGTGGTGACACTGTTGGAAACCTCTAAGACTAAAGTAAACTCAAACCTGTTCTAATATAAAAATTTTTTTTATACAAATTTGAGTCTTTTTTCTTAATTAATCCAACTATACCGAACTTTAAAAAATGATTGTTTTTTGATAAATTTGCTCATCCTTTTTTTTTTGTAAACTTAACATTCTGTATCTCAATAACAAATATTTATGAGATTGAGAAAAGTATCTCTTACTTTTGGCAAGTTATAATGTTACAGTCCATGCAGGAAAGAGTGGAAATCGTTATCTTTGTATTATTTTCAACAAGTCGTCTGTATTTGAAAACAAAAATAATTGTTTTGGTCCAAATACAAAAATGGCGATAACAATTATTGAATTATTTAATCTTTCTCGCGATTCGATTTGCATTGTTTCGGTCCTCTCAACTCACCAGTTTTTTATATTCTCCCCCTCCGGACGGTGGCTTGGGACTCGCGGCCAACGCTCTCTTCTGCCCCAATTCGCTCTTGGCGGGCCACGTTGGGAACATGGCGGGGTCGATGGGTAGGGGAGGTTCGCTGAAGTAGCCGTGCTTTATGGCTTCCTCCGCCGTCGTTCGCTGAGCGGGATCGTACGTTAAAAATTTTATCAACAGCCCCAGTCCTATTTCGCTCAACGTGTTAAATTTGCCCCTTAAATTCGAGACGGGGTATTCGTTGAATTTCATTTTCTTTACTGCCGGCAGCTGGTTGAAACCGGGCCATATCTTTTCGCTCGGGGTTCCCAGATCCTGGAAAATTGTTAACATGAATGTATTAGTAGATACGTAACTCAGTACGTACATTTGTATTATTATTATTATTATTAATTAGATATAATATACAGGGTGACCAAATGAAAACGAAACAAAGCCATTTTCAGGAACTGCGTCAAGATTGTAGAAAAACGCTCAGACCAGTCGATTTTAGATTAAAGGGGGACATTCTTTGCTGGTATTTTTGACTCCGCCACTTTCACCCCCAAGCAAGGGTAAGCATCACCCCAAAATATTTAAATGGCAT